AGATCTGAAAAAGTAAGAAATACAAAGATTTGAGTAACAAAATACAAAGATTCAAAAAGTAAGAAATACAAAGATTTGAAAAAGTAAGAAATACAAAGATTTGAAAAAGTAACAAATACAAAGATTCAAAAAGTAAGAAAATACAAAGGTTTGAAAAAGTAAGAATACAAAGATTTGAAAAAGTAAACAAATACAAAGATTCAAAAAGTAAGAATTACAAAGATTTGAAAAAGTGCAAACAAACAAATACAAAGATTCAAAAGAGTAAGAAATACAAAAGATTCAAAAGTACAATACAAAGATTTGAGCAAGAAATACAAAGATTCATAGAACTACAAAAGATTTGAAAAAGTAACAAATACAAAGATTCAAAAAGTAAGAACTACAAGATTTGAAAAAGTAAGAAATACAAAGATTCAAAAGTAAGAAATACAAAGATTTGAAAAAGTAAGAAATACAAAGATTTGAAAAAGTAACAAATACAAAGATTCAAAAAGTAAGAAATACAAAGGTTTGAAAAAGTAAGAAATACAAAGATTTGAAAAAGTAACAAATACAAAGATTCAAAAAGTAAGAATTACAAAAGATTTGAAAAAGTAACAAATACAAAGATTCAGTAAGAAATACAAAGATTTGAAAAAGTAAGAAATACAAAAGATTCAAAAAGTAAGAAATACAAAGATTTGAAAAAGTAAGAACATATGCAAAGATTTGAAAAAGTAATAAATACAAAGATTCAGTAAGAAATACAAAGATTTGAAAAAGTAAGAAATACAAAGATTTGAAAAAGTAACAAATACAAAGATCTCAAAAAGTAAGAAATACAAAGATTTGAAAAGTAAGAAATACAAAGATTTTGAAAAGTAATAAAATACAAAGATTCAAAAAGTAAGAACTACAAAAGATTTGAAAAGTAACAAATACAAAAGATTCAAAAAGTAAGAAATACAAAAGATTTGAAAAGTAACAATACAAAGATTTGAGCAAACAAATACAGATATCAAAAAGTACACATACAAAGGTTTGGAAAAAGTAACAAATACAAAAGATTTGAAAAAGTAACAAATACAAAGATTCAAAAAGTAAGAAATACAAAGATTTGAAAAAGTAAGAAATACAAAGATTCAGTAAGAAATACAAAGATTTGAAAAAGTAACAAATTACAAAGATTTGAAAAAGTAACAAATACAAAGATTCAGTAAGAAATACAAAGATTTGAAAAAGTAAGAAATACAAAAGATTCAGTAAGAATTACAAAGATTTGAAAAAGTAACAAATACAAAGATTCAAAAAGTAAGAACTACAGCTTTTGAAGAAAGCAACTAAATACAAAGATTCAGTAAGAAATACAAAAGATTTGAAAAAGCAACAAATACAAAGATTTGAAAAAGTAACAAATACAAAGATTTCAAAGTAAGAAATACAAAGATTTGAAAAAGTAAGAAATACAAAGATTCAAAAAGTAAGAAATACAAAGATTTGAAAAAGTAACAAATACAAAGATTTAGAAAAAGCAAACAAACTACAAAGATTCAAAAAGTAAGAAATACAAAGATTTGAAAAAGTAGAAATACAAAAGATTCAAAAAGTAAGAATTGTCAAAGATTTGAAAAAGTAACAAATACAAAGATTCAAAAGTAAGAACTACAGAGCTTTGAAAGAAATAACAAATACAAAGATTCAAAAAGTAAGAAATACAAAGATTTGAAAAAGTAACAATTACAAAGATTTGAAAAGTAACAAATACAAAGATTCAAAAAGTAAGAAATACAAAGATTTGAAAAAGTAAGAAATACAAAGATTTGAAAAAGTAAGAAATACAAAGATTCAAAAAGTAAAAATACAAAAGATTTGAAAAAGTAACATACAAAGATTGAAAAAGTAACAAATACAGATTCAAAAAGTAAGAAATACAAAGATTTAGAAAAAGTAAGTAAATACAAAGATTCAAAAAGTAAGAAATACAAAGATTTGAAAAGTAACAAATACAAAGATTTGAAAAAGTAACAAAATACAAAGATTCAAAAAGTAAGAAATACAAAGATTTGAAAAGTAAGAAAATACAAAGATTCAGTAAGAATTACAAAGATTTGAAAAAGTAACAACACAAAGATTCAAAAAGTAAGAACTACAGAGCTTTTGAAGAAATAACAAAATACAAAGATTCAAAAAGTAAGAAATACAAAGATTTGAAAAAGTAACAATTACAAAGATTTGAAAAAGTAACAAATACAAAGATTCAAAAGCAGAAATACAAAAGATTTGAAAAAGTAAGAAATACAAAGATTCAAAAGTAAAGAAAAATACAAAGATTTGAAAAAGTAACAAATACAAAGATTTGAAAAAGTAACAAATACAAAAGATTCAAAAAGTAAGAAATACAAAAGATTTGAAAAAGTAAGAAATACAAAGATTCAAAAAGTAAGAATTACAAAGATTTGAAAAAGTAACAAATACAAAGATTCAAAAGTAAGAAACTACAAAGATTTGAAAAGTAACAAATACAAAGATTCAGTAAGAAATACAAAGATTTGAAAAAAGTAAGAATACAAAGATTTGAAAAAGTAACAAATACGAAAAAGATTCAAAAAGTAAGAAATACAAAGGTTTGAAAAAGTAAGAAATACAAAGATTTGAAAAGTAACAACACAAAAGATTCAAAAATAAGAAAATACAAAGGTTTGAAAAAGTAAGAAATACAAAGATTTGAAAAGTAACAAATACAAAGATTCAAAAAGTAAGTAAAATACAAAGGTTTGAAAAAGTAAGAAATACAAAGATTCAGTAAGAAATACAAAGATTTGAAAAAGTAAGAAATACAAAGATTTGAAAAAGTAAGAAATACAAAGATTTGAAAAAGTAACAATACAAAGATTTGAAAAAGTAACAAATACAAAGATTCAAAAAGTAAGAAATACAAAGATTTGAAAAAGTAAGAAATACAAAGATTCAAAAAGTAAGAATTACAAAGATTTGAAAAAGTAACAAATACAAAGATTCAAAAAGTAAGAACTACAGAGCTTTGAAGAAATAACAAATACAAAGATTCAAAAAGTAAGAAATACAAAGATTTGAAAAGTAACAATTACAAAGATTTGAAAAAGTAACAAATACAAAGATTCAAAAAGTAAGAAATACAGATTTGAAAAAGTAAGACAATACAAAAGATTCGAAAAAGTAAGAAATACAAAGATTTGAAAAAAGTAACAAAATACAAAGATTTGAAAAAGTAACAAATACAAAGATTCAAAAAGTAAGAAATACAAAGATTTGAAAAAGTAAGAAATACAAAGATTCAGTAAGAATTACAAAGATTTGAAAAAGTAACAAATACAAAGATTCAAAAAAGTAAGAAATACAAAGATTTGAAAAAGTAACAAATACAAAGATTCAAAAAAGTAAGAAATACAAAGATTTGAAAAAGTAAGAAATACAAAGATTTGAAAAAGTAACAAATACAAAAGATTCAAAAGTAAGAAATACAAAGGTTTGAAAAAGTAAGAAATACAAAGATTTGAAAAAGTAACAAATACAAAGATTCAAAAAGTAAGAAATACAAAGGTTTGAAAAAGTAAGAAATACAAAGATTTGAAAAAGCAACAAATGCAAAGATTCAAAAATAGAAATACAAAGATTTGAAAAAGTAAGAAATACAAAGATTCAAAAAGTAAGAAATACAAAAGATTTGAAAAAGTAAGAAATACAAAGATTTGAAAAGTAACAAATACAAAGATTCAAAAAGCTAAGAAATACAAAGGTTTGAAAAAGTAAGAAATACAAAGATTTGAAAAATGTAACAAATACAAAGATTTGAAAAGAAGTAAGAAATACAAAGGTTTGAAAAAGTAAGAAATACAAAGATTTGAAAAAGTAACAACATACAAAGATTCAAAAAGTAAGAAATACAAAGATTTGAAAAAGTAACAACACAAAGATTCAAAAAGTAAGAACTACAAAGATTTGAAAAAGTAACAAATACAAAAGATTCAAAAAGTAAGAACTACAAAGATTTGAAAAAGTAACAAATACAAAGATTCAAAACAACTAATACAAAGAATGACAACTAATACAAAGAATGAGCAACTAATACAAAGAATGAGCAACTAATACAAAGAATGAAAAAGCAACTAATACAAAGAATGAAAAAGCAACTAATACAAAGAATGAAAAAGCAACTAATACAAAGAATGAAAAATGGAACTCATACAAAGATTTGGAAAAGTAACAAATACAAAGATTCAAAAAGTAAGAATTACAAAGATTTGAAAAGTAACAAATACAAAAGATTCAGAAAGTAAGAAGATACAAAGATTTGAAAAAGTAAGAAATACAAAGATTTGAAAAAGTAAGAAATACAAAGGTTTGAAAAAGTAAGAAATACAAAGGTTTGAAAAAGTAAGAAATACAAAGATTCAAAAAGTAAGAAATACAAAGATTTGAAAAAGTAAGAAATACAAAGATTTGAAAAGTAAGAAATACAAAGATTTGAAAAGTAAGAAATACAAAGATTTGAAAAAGTAAGAAATACAAAGATTTGAAAAAGTAAGAAATACAAAGATTTGAAAAAGTAAGAAATACAAAGATTTGAAAAAGTAAGAAATACAAAGATTTGAAAAAGTAACAAATACAAAGATTTGAAAAAGTAACAAATACAAAGATTCAAAAAAGTAAGAAATACAAAGATTCAAAAAGCAACTCATACAAAGAATAAAAAAGCAACTAATACAAAGATTCAAAAAGCAACTAATACAAAGAATGAAAAAAGCAACTAATACAAAGAATGAAAAAGCAACTAATACAAAGAATGAAAAATGGAACTCATACAAAGATTTGGAAAAGTAACAAATACAAAGATTCGAAAAAGTAACAAACACAAAGAAAATATGAATAAAAGCTAGTTAGAACGGTCATAACAAAAATTTTTAAATCAAAGCTCAGATCATGAAAACGTCGTTTTTTCTAGAATTACCTTTGGAGTGCGCCGACGCAATCTCGAAATGTCACATCCAACAAGCCCTCGATCTTCTCTCAGTCAGCTTCGAAATGAGCGAACCTTCCGGTTGCTGGAAAAATTTACTTTGTGCCTCCGGACATTTTCGATAACCTTCCCAAAACGGTGATTTGAACGAAAATTTGAACCGTTTCTCTCAAGAGCACAGAAAATATTACCTGGGTAATCACTTCCAGCACTTGCGCTTTTTTCAGTCTCTTTGTACCGCAAATGATAAGCCACTTTGAAGGGATGCGTAATGGAGCGTGGCCTCGACTGATATCTTTCTTCAGCTGAGCGATGCCTGAATTGGAAGACAGTACATCAAAAACGTTGAAAGAAGAGAGGCAAAGGTCTATCTGATGATTCAGGTGCTTTCAGGAATGAGCAAATTTTACCTGGAAGATCAAGTCCCGAACATGCGTATCTCTTACTCACGGTCTTCACAGCGTGTTCCACTTCTTGGTTTAATGTGGTTTCGTTAAAGTCACCTGAAACAGACTTTTGATCTAATTGTGTTTTGTATTTCGAAAAAAAAAAGTTGATTCACTTTCTGAAGATCTCCCGAGGAAAACATACCTGGGTGTCAAGGCATGGAGCTCTTCTTCTCTTTTCAACTTTTTCGATCAACTGAGACGGGGGATTTATTCCCGTCTTGTACTGTCCTCCAACGACGGCTTTCTGTATAGGTAGTGGCCCTGAAAGATGTTGGAAAGTGAAGTCTTAAATTTTTACTGTGAGAAAAGCGGAATTTGTCTCAGGGTTTCTCGATTTATTCGTAGAAAAACACAAGGTATTAAAACAGAGAAAAATCGGCACTGCCCGGCAAGTTTTGATTTTTCGATTCCATTTATCTCTTCTTTAGAAAACAGAAGTTTTCACATCTTTCAAAGGCTTTTTCAAGGCCAGAATGAAGCGAAAGGATGAAATTGAATCAATGAAAGATCACAAGATCATAACAAAAGATGAGACTCACGTTCACTATTGTTGATCTGTTGTACGTTGATCCCTGGAAGTGAGATCAACCGAGTTCTACCAGACGGCGCGGTGATATATTTTAGTCTCGAATCTGAAACGATTGTTATCAGGAACTTTTTGCCGACCTGGGAATTACTCGAACAGCTGCTTTGATTGACAAAGTTGTGCAAAATGATTTTTGAGATCATTTTTTTCTGAGAACTTTGTTGTGTGAACTCTTCACACGTGGTCGCTCTCACTCTGAGGCTTCCATTTGAAGATTGTTTTTCTAGATGTGAAATCTAGAAAAAATATGCTATTGAAAACGAAAAATTTATGAGGATTTTTGATCTCGAGTGTTTGTGAGGATTTTTTTACTTTTCCGACTGTTCATCCATCATTTTTTTCACAGATTAGGAACCTGAGATAAATAATCGATGAACAAACTAAAAATAGTTTTGAGGATTTCATACCTCCTTGTGAATAGCTAGTGGAAAGATGAGAAGAGAGGATGAAGGGGATGGTGGCTAAGATTTCATTGATCAAAAGAGGAGATGAAGAAGACTCAATGGTTTTCCACGCCATTGAGTCGTCCTTAGTATATGGATAGCAGATTAATAAGTAGATAGGTTTAGGGGGATGCTATAAAAACATTTAAAAAATCACTAAAGGTCATAAATTGCTTGAGTAAGGGAAGTGGAGTACACATTTGATGGGCTCGTAAGCAGAGGAAAAAAATAAATAACCACAGAGTATATAATAGTAGGGAACCGAAACTTTCGGGAACTCATGTTTACATAAATAAGAGGAGGAGGAGGGGGTGGTGGTTTCGATGTATCAGTGATGGGAGGAGGAGGGAAAGAAGGGAAAAATATATTTAAAAATGAGGGAAGAAGATCATTCAAAGAAGGGGATCATTCAAAGAAGAGGATTTTCATTTTGACAGGAGGATTTTTGGGTGTCCGAAGGCAACAGTGAAATACCACGCAAATTGTACGACAAAGTTTTTAATTGGCTCGCATGATTCCCCTCTCGTTGAAAAAAAGGAATTGCATGTTACTTCTACACCTTTTGCCCTCGAACTATATATATTTAATTTTTATATCTATATCTTTTTCGTAGGTCGTTGTTGAGCTTGCCATCGCGGTTCAGTTAAAGTTCTTTTGGACCGCTTTTGACAATTATCGAGGGTGTTCCAGGAAATTTCCAGAGTACCAGTTCCAGCTGTTTAGGCGCGGTCAAAGTCGCAGGCAGAAGAAATTGAACAAAGCTGGTATTTTTGGAAATCGTTGGCAATCGTTGAATCGGGTGCACTCTAGTTATCGGTCGTGAAGAATTCCAATATTTCGGTTGTGGGTGCGGCAGGAGCTAGAAAGTAAATCCATGGTTTTCGATAAATGTTTCGGAAATATCAAAGTTAACGGTTCTTGGATGAGTCGTCGAGATATTTTCACAAAAATGAAAAGAGAGATACCTGGGGATGAGTTCCAGGAACTGTGGCGTCTTCTTTTTTGTCGCCATGGTTCTCATTGATGGTCCTCGTTGGGCGTCGTCTCTTTTTCCTCGCCATGTTGCACATGTCGCGGACCTCATTCAGCGTCTTGAGAGTGTCCTGCGATTCCAAGTCCGGGGTGCGGCAGAAGCTAGAAAGTAAAACCATGGTTTTCGATAAATGTTTCGGAAATATCAAAGTTAACGGTTCTTGGATGAGTCTTCGAGATATTTTCACAAAAATGAAAAGAAAGATACCTGGGGATGAGTTCCAGGAACTGTGGCGTCTTCTTTTTTGTCGCCATGGTTCTCATTGATGGTCCTCGTTGGGCGTCGTCTCTTTTTCCTCGCCATGTTGCACATGTCGCGGACCTCATTCAGCGTCTTGAGAGTGTCCTGCGATTCCAAGTCCGGGGTGCGGCAGAAGCTGAGAAAAGTAAAACCATGGTTTTCGATAAATGTTTTCGAAATATCAAAGTTAACGGTTCTTGATGAGTCTTCGAGATATTTTCACAAAAATGAAAAGAAAAGATACCTGGGGATGAGTTCCATGGAACTGTGGCGTCTTCTTTTTCGTCGCCATGGTTCTCATTCATGGTCCTCGTTGGGCGTCGTCCCTTTTTCCTCGCCATGTTGCACATGTCGCGGACCTCATTCAGCGTCTTGAGAGTGTCCTACGATTCCCAAGTCCGGGGTGCGGCAGAAGCTAGAAAGTAAAACCATGGTTTTCGATAAACGTTTTCGGAAATATCAAAAGTTAATCGGTTCTTGGATGAGTCGTCGAGATATTTTCACAAAAATGAAAAGAAAGATACCTGGGGATGAGTTCCAGGAACTGTGGCGTCTTCTATTTCGTCGCCATGGTTCTCATCTGATGGTCCCTCGTTGGGCGTCGTCCCTTTTTCCTCGCCATGTTGCACATGTCGCGAGCCCTCATTCAGCGTCTTGACTGTGTCCTTGCGATTCCAAGTCCGGGGTGCGGCAGAAGCTAGAAAGTAAAAACCATGGTTTTCGATAAATGTTTTGGAAATATCAGTTAATGTGTTCTGGATGAGTCGGTAGATATTTTCACAAAAATGAAAAAGAAAAGATACCTGGGGGATGAGTTCCAGGAACTGTGGCGTCTTCTATTTCGTCGCCATGGTTCTCATTCACGGTCCCTCGTTATGTCGTCCTTTTTCCTCGCCATGTTGCACATGTCGCGGAGCTCATTCAGCGTCTTGACTGTGTCTTGCGATTCCAAGTCCGGGGTGCGGCAGAACCTAGAAAGTAAATCCATGGTTTTCGATAAAATGTTTTCGGAAATATCAAAGTTAACGGTTCTTGGATGAGTCTGGTCGAGATATTTTCACAAAATGAAAAGAAAGATACCTGGGGATGAGTTCCAGGAACTGTGGCGTCTTCTATTTCTGTCGCCATGGTTCTCATTCACGGTCCCTCGTTGTCGTCCCTTTTTTCCTCGCTCATGTTGTATACATGTCGCGGAGCCTCATTCAGCGTCTTTGACTGTGTCCCTGCGATTCCGAGTCCGGGGTGCGGCAGAAGCTTAGAAAGTAAACCATGGTTTTCGATGAAATGTTTTGGAAGATCAAAGTTAATTGGTTCTTGGATGAGTCTGTGAGAAATATTTTCACAAAATGGAAAGAAAAGATACCTGGGGATGAGTTCCAGGAACTGTGGCGTCTTCTTTTCTGTCGCCATGGTTCCTCATTCACGGTCCTCTGCTATGTCGTCTCCTTTTTCCTCGCCATGTTGGTACATGTCGCGGAGCTCATTCAGTCTTGACTGTGTCCTTGCGATTCCGAGTCCGGGGTGCGGCAGAAGCCCTAGAAAAGTAGAAACCATGGTTTTTCAGATAAATGTTTTGAAATATCAAAGTTAACGGTTCTTGGATGAGTCGGGAAATTTTCACAAAAATGAAAAGAAAGATACCTGGGGATGAGTTCCAGGAACTGTGGCGTCTTCTATTTCGTCGCCATGGTTCTCATTCACGGTCCTCGTTGGCGTCGTCCTTTTCCTCGCCATGTTGCCCATGTCGCGACCTCATTCAGCGTCTTGACAGTGTCTATCGATTCCAAGTCCGGGTGCGGCAGAGCTAGAAAGTAAAATCCATGGTTTTCGATAAATGTTTCGGAAAATATCAAAGTTAACGGTTCTTGATGAGTCTTGAGATATTTTCACAAAATGAAAAAGAAAGATACCTGGGGATGAGTTCCAGGAACTGTATGCTTTTCATTTCGTCGCCATGGTTCTCATTCACGGTCCTCGTTGGGCATGTCCTCCTTTTTTTCCTCGCCATGTTGACATGTCGCGGAGCCTCATTCAGCGTCTTGACTGTGTCTCTTGCGATTCCGAGTCCGGGGTGCGGCAGAACCTAGAAAAGTAAAATCCCATGGTTTTTCGATAAATGTTTTTGGAAATATCAAAGCTAACGGTTCTTTGGATGAGTTTGTGAAATATTTTCACAAAAATGGAAAGAGATACCTGGGATGAGTCCAGGAACTGTATGGCGTCTTCTATTTTCGTCGCCATGGTTCTCATTCACGGTCCTCGTTGGCGTCGTCCCTTTTTCCTCGCCATGTTGCACATGTCGCGGACCTCATTCAGCGTCTTGACTAGTGTCTTGCGATTCCAAGTCCGGGGTGCGGCAGAACTTAGAAAGTAAATCCATGGTTTTCGATAAATGTTTTCGAAACATCAAAGTTAACGGTTCTTGATGAGTCGGTGAGATATTTTTCACAAAAATGAAAAAGAAAGATACTCTGGGGATGAGTTCCAGGAACTGTGGCGTCTTCTATTTTGTCGCCATGGTTCTCATTCATGGTCCTCGTTGGCGTCCTCCTTTTTTCCTCGCCATGTTGCACATGTCGCGGACCTCATTCAGCGTCTTGACTGTGTCTCTGCGATTCCAAGTCCGGGTGCGGCAGAAGCCCAGTAAAATCCATGGTTTCCGATAAATGTCGGAAATATCAGTTAACGGTTCTTTGGATGAGTCTGGTGAGATATTTTCACAAAATGAAAAAGAAAGATACCTGGGGATGAGTTCCAGGAACTGTGGCGTCTTCATTTCGTCGCCATGGTTCTCTATTCACGGTCCTCGTTAAGGTCGTCCTTTTCCTCGCCATGTTGCACTGTCGCGGAGCTCATTCAGCGTCTTGACTGTGTCTCTGCGATTCCGAGTCCGGGTGCGGCAGAACCTGGGAAAAGTAAACCCATGGTTTTCGATAAATGTTTTGGAAATATCAAAAGTTAACGGTTCTTGGATGAGTCTGGTGAGATATTTTCACAAAAATGAAAAGAAAGATACCTGGGGATGAGTTCCAGGAACTGTGGCGTCTTCTATTTTGTCGCCATGGTTCGTCATTCACGGTCCTCGCTATGTCGTCCTTTTTCTCGCATGTTGCACTGCTCGTCGGAGCTCATTCCAGCGTCTTGACAGTGTCTGGCATTCCGAGTCCGGGGTGCGGCAGAACCTGAGAAAGTAACCATGGTTTTCGATGAATGTTTTGGAAATATCAAAAGTTAACGGTTCTTGACGAGTCGTGAAATATTTTCACAAAATGGAAAAGAAAGATACCTGGGATGAGTTCCAGGAACTGTGGCGTCTTCTATTTCGTCGCCATGGTTCTCATTCACGGTCCTCGTTAAGGTCGTCCTTTTTCCTCGCCATGTTGCACATGTCGGACCTCATTCAGTTCCTGACTGTGTCTCTGCGATTCCGAGTCCGGGGTGCGGCAGAAGCCAGAAAGTAAATCCATGGTTTTCGATAAACGTTTCGGAAATCATCAAAGTTAAGTCGGTTCTTGATGAGTCGGTGAGATATTTTCACAAAATGAAAAAGAAAGATACCTGGGGATGAGTTCCAGGAACTGTGGCGTCTTCTATTTGTCGCCATGGTTCTCATTCACGGTCCTCGTTGGGCGTCCTCCCTTTTTCCTCGCCATGTTGCACATGTCGCGGACCCTCATTCAGCGTCTTGACAGTGTCTCGCGATTCCAAGTCCGTGCGGCGAAGCTAGAAAAAGTAAATCCATGGTTTTCGATAAATGTTTTCGGAAATACTAAAGTTAACGGTTCTGATGAGATCGTGAGATATTTTCACAAAAATGAAAAGAAAGATACTCAGGGGATGAGTTCTGCGTGAACTGTGGCGTCTTTTCTCGTCGCCATGGTTCTCATTCATGGTCCTCGTTGGCGTCCTTTTTCCTCGCCATGTTGCACATGTCGCGGAGCTCATTCAGCGTCTTGACTGTGTCTCTGCGATCCCGAGTCCGAGTGCGGCAGAAGCTTGGGAAAAGTAACCCATGGGTTTTCGACAGAATGTTTCGAAATATCAGTTAACGGTTCTTGGATGAAGTCGGTGAAATATTTTGCTCACAAAATGGAAAGAGATACCTTGATGAGTTCAGCGAACTGTGGCGTCTTCGATTTCGTCGCCATATGCTCCTCATTCACGGTCCCCGCTAAGGTCCTCCTTTTCCTCGCCGCTATGTTGCACTACATGTCGCGGACATACCAGCGTCTTGGATCAGTGTCTCTATGATTCCGGAGTCCAGCGCGCGCAGAAGCTAGGTGCAAATCCATGGTTTTCGATAAATGTTTCTGAAATATCAGTTAACGGTTCTTGATTAGTCGGTGATATATTTCACAAAATGAAAAAGAAAGATACCTGGGGATGAGTTCCAGGAACTGTGGCGTCTTCTATTTCGTCGCCATGGTTCTCATTCACGGTCCCTCGTTAGGCGTCCTCCCTTTTCTTCCTCGCCATGTTGCACATGTCGCGGACCTCATTCAGCGTCTTGACTGTGTCTTGCGATTCCAAGTCCGGGGTGCGGCAGAACCTAGAAAGTAAACCCATGGTTTTTTCGATAAATGTTTCGGAAATATCAAAGTTAACGGTTCTTGGATGAGTCGGTGAGATATTTTCACAAAATGAAAAAGAAAGATACCTGGGGATGAGTTCCAGGAACTGTGGCGTCTTCTATTTCGTCGCCATGGTTCTCATTCACGGTCCTCGTTGGGCGTCCTCCCTTTTTCCTCGCCATGTTGCACATGTCGCGGACCTCATTCAGCGTCTTGACAGTGTCTTGCGATTCCAAGTCCGGGGTGCGGCAGAACCTAGAAAGTAAATCCATGGTTTTCGATAAATGTTTCGGAAATATCAAAGTTAACGGTTCTTGGATGAGTCGGTGAGATATTTTCACAAAAATGAAAAGAAAGATACCTAGGGATGAGTTCCAGGAACTGTGGCGTCTTCTATTTCGTCGCCATGGTTCTCATTCACGGTCCTCGTTGGGCGTCCTCCCTTTTTCCTCGCCATGTTGCACATGTCGCGGACCTCATTCAGCGTCTTGACTGTGTCTTGCGATTCCGAGTCCGGGGTGTGCAGAACCTAGAAAGTAAATCCATGGTTTTTTCGATAAATGTTTTCGGAAATATCAAAAGTTAACTGGTTCTTGGATGAGTCGGTGAGATATTTTTCACAAAAATGAAAAAGAAAGATACCTGGGGATGAGTTCCAGGAACTGTGGCGTCTTCTATTTCGTCGCCATGGTTCTCATTCACGGTCCCTCGTTGGGCGTCCTCCTTTTTCCTCGCCATGTTGCACATGTCGCGGAGCTCATTCAGCGTCTTGACTGTGTCTTGCGATTCCGAGTCCGGGGTGCGGCAGAACCTAGAAAAGTAAATCCATGGTTTTTCGATAAATGTTTTCGGAAATATCAAAGTTAACGGTTCTTGGATGAGTCGGTGAGATATTTTCACAAAAATGAAAAGAAAGATACCTGGGGATGAGTTCCAGGAACTGTGGCGTCTTCTATTTCGTCGCCATGGTTCTCATTCACGGTCCTCGTTGGGCGTCGTCCCTTTTTCCTCGCCATGTTGCACATGTCGCGGAGCTCATTCAGCGTCTTGACTGTGTCTTGCGATTCCGAGTCCGGGGTGCGGCAGAACCTAGAAAGTAAATCCATGGTTTTCGATAAATGTTTTGGAAATATCAAAGTTAACGGTTCTTGGATGAGTCGGTGAGATATTTTCACAAAAATGAAAAGAAAGATACCTGGGGATGAGTTCCAGGAACTGTGGCGTCTTCTATTTCGTCGCCATGGTTCTCATTCACGGTCCTCGTTGGGCGTCGTCCCTTTTTCCTCGCCATGTTGCACATGTCGCGGAGCTCATTCAGCGTCTTGACTGTGTCTTGCGATTCCGAGTCCGGGGTGCGGCAGAACCTAGAAAGTAAATCCATGGTTTTCGATGAATGTTTTGGAAATATCAAAGTTAACGGTTCTTGGATGAGTCGGTGAAATATTTTCACAAAAATGGAAAGAAAGATACCTGGGGATGAGTTCCAGGAACTGTGGCGTCTTCTATTTCGTCGCCATGGTTCTCATTCACGGTCCTCGTTGGGCGTCCTCCTTTTTCCTCGCCATGTTGCACATGTCGCGGACCTCATTCAGCGTCTTGACAGTGTCTTGCGATTCCGAGTCCGGGGTGCGGCAGAACCTAGAAAGTAAATCCATGGTTTTCGATAAATGTTTTCGGAAATATCAAAGTTAACGGTTCTTGGATGAGTCGGTGAGATATTTTCACAAAAATGGAAAGAAAGATACCCTGGGGATGAGTTCAGGAACTGTGGCGTTTTTCTATTTCGTCGCCATGGTTTCTCATTCACGGTCCTCGTTGGGCGTCCTCCCTTTTTCCTCGCCATGTTGCACATGTCGCGGAGCTCATTCAGCGTCTTGACTGTGTCTTGCGATTCGAGTCCGGGGTGCGGCAGAACCTAGAAAGTAAATCCATGGTTTTCGATAAATGTTTTCGGAAATATCAAAGTTAACGGTTCTTGGATGAGTCGGTGAGATATTTTTCACAAAAATGAAAAAGAAAGATACCTAGGGGATGAGTTCCAGGAACTGTGGCGTTTCTATTTCGTCGCCATGGTTCTCATTCACGGTCCTCGTTGAGCGTCCTCCCTCCTCGCCATGTTGCACATGTCGCGGAGCTCGTTCAGCATCTTGACTGTGTCTTGCGATTCCGAGTCCGGGGTGCGGCAGAACCTAGAAAGTAAATCCATGGTTTTCGATGAAATGTTTTGGAAATATCAAAGTTAACGGTTCTTTGGATGAGTCGGTGAGATATTTTCACAAAAATGGAAAAGAAAGATACCTGGGGGATGAGTTCCAGGAACTGTGGCGTCTTCTATTTCGTCGCCATGGTTCTCATTCACGGTCCTCGTTGGGCGTCCTCCCTTTTTCCTCGCCATATGTTGCACATGTCGCGGAGCTCATTCAGCGTCTTGACTGTATCTTGCGATTCCAAGTCCGGGGTGCGGCAGAACCTAGAAAGAGTAAATCCATGGTTTTCGATAAATGTTTTCGAAATATCAAAGTTAACGGTATCTTGGATGAGTCGGTGAGATATTTTCACAAAAATGGAAAAGAAAGATACCTGGGGATGAGTTCCAGGAACTGTAGGCGTCTTCTATTTCGTCGCCATGGGCTCTGCATTCACGGTCCTCGTTGGGCGTCGTCCCTTTTTCTCCTCGCCATATGTTGCACATGTCGCGGAGCTCATTCAGCGTCTTGACTGTGTCTTTGCGATTCCCGAGTCCGGGGTGCGGCAGAACCTAGAAAGTAACCATGGTTTTCGATAAATGTTTCGAAATATCAGTTAACGGTTCTTGGATGAGTCAGTGAGATATTTTCACAAAATGAAAAGAAAGATACCTGGGGATGAGTTCAGAACTGTGGCGTCTTCTATTTCGTCGCCATGGTTGGGTGTTGGGTTGTTTTTTTTGTGTTGTTGTGGGTTGTGGTTTTTGTGTTTTGTTGGTGGGTGTTGTGTGGTTTTGTGGTGTTTTAAGTTAGCGGTTTTTGATGAGTCGGTGACATTTTCGCCAAAATGGAAAGAAAGATACCTGGGGATGAGTTCCAGTGGAACTGTGGCGCCATTTCGTCGCCATGGAACTCTCATTCACGGTCCCTCGGTGGCGTCGTCCTCTCTCCTCGCCAGGTTGACACATGTCGCGGAGCCCATTCAGCGTCTTGATCTGTGGGCCCTGCGATTCCGAGTCCGGTGCGGCAGAAAGCTTAGAAAGTAAATCCATTGTATTCTCGATAACGTTTCGGACATCAAACGCGTTACGCATCTGGATGAGGTCGGTGAGATATTTCGCACAAAATGAAAAAGAAAGATACTGGGATGAGTTCATAGAACCAGGACGCCCTTCTATTTCGTCGCCATGAGTTTCCTCATCTCACGGTCTCATGTCGTCCTTTTTCCTCGCCATGTTGTGCACATGTCGCGGAGCTTCCATTCAGCGTCTCTGACTGTGGCTGCCCGCTAGATTCCGAGTCCGAGCGGCAGAACCGCCTGGCGCGTAAATCCATGGTTTTCGATAAATGTTTCGAAATATCAAAGTTAACGGTATCTTGCATGCCTGTGAGACATTTTCACAAAATGAAAAGAGATACCTGGGGATGAGTCTCAGGTACCTGGGGCGTCTTCTTTTTGTCGCCATGACTCTCATTCACGGTCCTCGTTGGGCGTCGTCCTTTTTCTCGCCATGTTAGCATCATGTCGCGGACCTCATTCAGCGTCTTGACCAGTGTCTTGATGATTCCAAGTCCGGGGTGCGGCAGAACCTAGAAAGTAAATCCATGGTTTTTGATAAATGTTTCGGAAATATCAAAGTTAACGGTTCTTGATGAGTCGTCGAGATATTTTCACAAAAATGAAAAGAAAGATACCTGGGGGATGAGTTCCAGGAACTGTGGCGTCTTCTATTTCGTCGCCATGGTTCTCACTGATGGTCCTCGTTGGGCGTCGTCTCTTTTCCTCGCCATGTTGCACATGGCGTCGGACCTTTATTCAGCGTCTTGACTGTGTCTTGCGATTCCAAGTCCGTGCGGCAGCTAGAAAGTAAATCCCGCTGGTTTTTGATAAAATGTTTCTGAAATATCAGTTAACGGTTCTTGGATGAGTCGGTGAGATATTTTCACAAAAATGAAAGAAAGATCCTGGGGATGAGTTCCCGGGAACTGTGGCGTCTTCTTGTCGCCATGATCTCATTCATGGTCCTCGTTGGGCGTCGTCTTTTTCCTCGCCATGTTGCACATGTCGCGGACCTCATTCAGCGTCTTGACTGTGTCTTGCGATTCCAAGTCGGGGTCGCGCAGAACCTAGAAAAGTAAATCCATGGTTTTTCGATAAATGTTTTCGGAAATATCAAAGTTAACGGTTCTTTGGATGAGTCTTCGAGATGATTTTTCACAAAACGAAAAGAAAAGATACCTGGGGATGAGTTCCAGGAACTGTAGCGTCTTCTTTTTCTGTCGCCATGGTTCCTCATTCAGTGGTCCTCGTTGGGCGTCGTCTCTTTTTCCCTCGCCATGTTGCACATGTCGCGGACCTTATTCAGCGTCTTGACTGTGTCTTGCGATTCCAAGTCCGGTGCAGCAGAACCTAGAAAGTAAATCATGGTTTCGATAAATGTTTCGGAAATATCAAAGTTAACGGTTCTTGGATGAGTCTTCGAGATATTTTCACAAAAATGAAAAGAAAGATACCTGGGGATGAGTTCCAGGAACTGTGGCGTCTTCTTTTTTGTCGCCATGGTTCTCATTGATGGTCCTCGTTGGGCGTCGTCTCTTTTTCCTCGCCATGTTGCACATGTCGCGGACCTTATTCAGCGTCTTGACTGTGTCTTGCGATTCCAAGTCCGGGGTGCGGCAGAACCTAGAAAGTAAATCCATGGTTTTCGATAAATGTTTCGGAAATATCAAAGTTAACGGTTCTTGGATGAGTCTTCGAGATATTTTCACAAAAATGAAAAGAAAGATACCTGGGGATGAGTTCCAGGAACTGTGGCGTCTTCTTTTTTGTCGCCATGGATCTCATTCATGGTCCTCGTTGGGCGTCGTCCCTTTTTCTCGCCATGTTGCCCATGTCGCGGACCTCATTCAGCGTCTTGACTGTGTCTTGCGATTCCAAGTCCGGGGTGCGGCAGAACCTAGAAAGTAAATCCATGGTTTTCGATAAATGTTTCGGAAATATCAAAGTTAACGGTTCTTGGATGAGTCTTCGAGATATTTTCACAAAAATGAAAAGAAAGATACCTGGGGATGAGTTCCAGGAACTGTGGCGTCTTCTTTTTTGTCGCCATGGTTCTCATTGATGGTCCTCGTTGGGCGTCGTCTCTTTTTCCTCGCCATGTTGCACATGTCGCGGACCTTATTCAGCGTCTTGACTGTGTCGATTGTCTTTCGCAATTTTTGAGTCCCTAAAAAGTAAATACATGGTTTTCGATGTATGTTCAACTATGAAAAGTGTTTTCAATTTTTCCGAAAAAAATTTTTATCGATAGGTTTTTCTGAGTTTTTGCAAAAAAAAACTCACATGAGTCAAAGCACGGTCGGAAAAAGTGTACACGAAAGATATGATACAGACATTTCACAGGTTGTTTTCGCTCCCCATCGAAGCAGCTATTCTGAAATATTCATCCTATCAACAGTGCTTGAATTTGTCGCAAAACCATGACCGCGTGAATACGCGAAAGCTGCTTCAACGTTCTTCCTCAGCTTCTGAAAATTTTGATTGAATGGTTTCAGTTAAAGTTCACTAACTTTGAGCTGAGGCAGACTCGGGGAAGCGCAGGCGACGAGCCTCCTGGCCGTTGTCCGGGCCCTCTGGAGCATCGTGAGCCCGTCGTGCGTCCCAAGACCTGCCGCCATCAGACCATCAATGAGTTTTATTCGCTCATTGATGGCCTTCAGCATCTGCTCCGGCGTCATATTGGAGCAGTCCAAAATGACGGGCGGCAGGTCTTCAAAGTTGGTCCCGCCTCGAAGACGCGCTGATCTCGATCTGCGGCGGAGGTGAGGGCGGGGGCGATGTCGCGGCGAGCGACGGGGCGGCGAGGGTGCGACGAGGGTGGCGGCGAGGGGGGCGGCGTGGGCGACGACGACGGGGGCGATGACGATGGGCGATGACGAGGGGAGTGACGAGGGGCTGCGGTGGGGGCGGGAGGGTGGCGACGACGGTGGAGGGCTCGACGCTCTTCGCTTTCTTGATGGCGCACTATGGACCGGTGTCCGTGCCCCAGAAGGAGGTGGCGACGATGATGTTTCGTGCCGCGGACTCGCCGACCTCCTTCTCTGTTGTTCCAGGGCTAGACGATGGGGCCGGTACACCGGGAGCCGCTCCAAGCGGGGCTTCTCCCGCTTCCACTTCTTCGTCCTCGTCATCGGACCTGAAATTGACAGTTGCGAGAAAAGTTGCTCCTTTCCGTGGCAACTGAATTGGTGGTGAGTTGATTTCCGTCGAGTTCGCCCGTCTCGACTTTCTGTCGCTAAAAAGATAAAAACTCAACTTTGCAGGCTATAAATGGACTCAGTACGGAGTTTTCATTCAATTTCATTTATAGAATGTGGCATTGACATCAAAAATTCTGGTAAAGCATACTCACAGCTCTAGAAATATAGGTAAACGAAACTTGAACTGTGTCAGAAATGGGGAACACAAGTAAAAACTTTAGTAGCAGGTATCCATCGATGAAACATACCTCGACAGGGTTCGATCCGACGAAATCCAGGCAAGTGGGGAGTTTGCCCTTGTGGCGGAGTTGTGCGCGGTCGAACGTTCAGGTGGGGAGCTTGCCCAACTGATCGTGGAGATTTGCTCCCTCTCCGTGGCGTCCAGGTTGGAAGCCGGTTGATTTCCGCCCGCTTCAGATTCGCCTCCTTCTCGGCTGAAAAGATGAAAACTCCACTTTTCAGGCTTGAAATGGACTGAACGGAACTTTTTCATTCACCTTCGTTTATAGAATGTGTTATTGAAAAACATCAGAAGTTTATGTGCTACACTCAAAACCTCAGAAATATATGTAACGAACTTGAATCGTGTCAGAAATGGGAAAATATCAAATAGAACACATTTTTAGCAAAAATATATCCATCGATGAAACATACCTCGACAGGGGTTCGATCCGACGAAATCCAGGCAAGTGTTGCTGCTTAGTTTTTCTAATTTTATCATTGGTTCTAAACTTGTGGTCGTCCACGACTGTCAAATTTTCCGCTCGAATTCGCGAATCAAAATGGGTACCGGCACCTCTTCACCTTAACATCTCTTTCTCAAGTACGGGCAAAACTTCATTTTTGCGATTGTATTAGAATCTATAGCAGACTCTCTTTCCCGAAACTGTATACGTTTTTCGAAAAATATAAAAATAAAGACTTCCTTTTTCAAAAATAATGGAAAAAATTCTCACGTTGCGGTGCCACTTGGTGGGGCTTCCGAGTCAAATGAGATCGGCGACAGCGGCATTCTCGGGATCGGGCCTAAAAAAATCATTCATAGGAAAACACAGAGTTGTCGGTTTTCAAGTTTTAGAAGAAACAGAAAACAACGAAATTTTAATCATCTTTGTTATTTTAGGCAAGTTCCAGTCTCTTGAAAACGATAGTTAAAGAGTATGCCATCAAAAAACTCAATCTGCAAATCTACAAAGGTTTCAATATCGAAAAAAAAAGAACGAAGAAATTTCCCAAATTATTTTCTACTTGGAAATAACTCGAGATGAGATCACTGCGCTGCTGTGAAATAGAGAAAAATAAAAATGACCTCGGCGCGATTCGTGGAATTACGAGTCCTCTTCCCGTGACATTGGGGAAGAGGACGTGCGGCGGCGGGAGAGGCGGGAGGACTTCGTCCACACTGAAAAAGCCTTGTTGAGTCTCATTCAGAATGAGTTGCACAGTTATTTCACATTTTCACCAGAAAAGAACAATTTCAAACAATCAAAAATGGTGTCTCATGATGTGACAAGTTTTCTCTTGTTAATAGGAACTGTAACTCAATCAAGGAAAGTTCTGAAGCTGAGCTCGTAATTATCGTAGTTTTAATTAGTGAGTAAACTTTGTGCCTCTAGTGATAGTTGACCGATGCAAATGATATCTGCTCGTGTGAGACCTCTGAAAAATGTATAATCACCTCGGCTCGTTCAAAGTGTGCGTCGTTTGCTGCCAAACATCGTCGAATGTGCTTGTTTCGAGCCTTGGTGGCGGTGACGATGTTGGCAGCTCGTGATGCACTTCGAACGGCCTCGTGTAGAAGCGGCTCTCCCAGTCCATCTGAAAAATGCACTATTCATATTAATCGCTCAAAAGTTTTGAAAACGAAGAAGCTTAGATTGAACTGTGATAAACTTACTGTGCGCTGGGACTGCGGCGTGAGGACCTGGCCGTTCTGGGACGGCCTCATGGGCGTCAGCCGGAAGTTCCCGCCCGGCTGCTTAAATCGCTCATTGAAAATTTTTTTGCAGATTTAAGCTCACCAAGTGGGCCGGCTCGTACACGAGTGCACGGACCCTCTGCGCGAAAAGTGACGCGAGAGTTTCGCTGAGGGCGCCGTGCACTCGGAGCCAGGCCGAGATCTTGAAGCCGACCTCGCAATCCGACTTGGGGACGGTCGGCGGATCCCCAAGTCGGTTCCTGGCGTGCTGTGGGCCTCAGGACGACGCGGATGTTGCCGCCAGCCGCATTTCTGCGGTCTGGTGAGGCGATGTTGGCTGCGTCGCCCATACGTGCCTCGCTGTTCGCCATCCTGAAAGGATTCCGCAGATGTAGAAAAGCTTTTTTTTACCAGTATCTTTTTTTTGCGTTAGCCGTGTAGGACCAATAAACAATCCCGCGGTTATACTTATGATAATTGGGACCTAACTTTGAATAATAAAACTTACGGAAATGTGAACGCTTTTTGCTGTTGGTTCAAACAGCAGGTGATCCAAGCCTGGGACGTTGTCTGCATTGTAGACCAAAAACGGGAAGAAAGAAATAAAGTCTTCACTAATGATCATTAAGTGCGAAAGGAAAAAGTCTAAAAATCCATATATATGTTCGTTTAAAATGGAAACTATAGCTGGGGTACCTCGACTTGGAATTTCACCAAACGACACTCCACTGTGTATTATTAATATTATTTTATTAAGGTACTCTACTTTCATGTGCTCCCACAACAATAAAAACTGATTGAAAGCATGACTTGTATTCGAAAGACACTTTGCGAACACACGCAGCGGAACAGCGGAATGCTGTTCGGTGAAATTTCAAGTCGTGGCATACAGACTATATGAAAGAACAAATATGGTCCAAAAAGAAAAAATGGGCACAGAGAGAAATGAGCGCAGAATTTAAAAAAGAGGAGGAAAGATGCAGAGAAAAAAAGAAAAGCTTCAACGTAGAAGATGTTCCCTTACATTCTCGTTATTGGGTGTAGCGGTAGTAAGGCGGATCGGCTTAAAGGCATAGTGAAAGCAGTATCTTCTATAATCTTTCTTTGCGAATCGAACTGGATACTCGAAATAATTACAGATGTGACAACTTTAGAAAAGAAAAAACGTGATTTTACTTTCCCGCCTTTATTTTTGAAAAAGCTTTTGGATCGGTGCTCGGACAACTGATTACAGTAGCTGTGCACGCGATATTGCGGACGTCTCATGAGACTCGCATTTTTTTGAGAAATAACCGGAAATCTACGTCAAATTGAGGATTTCTTTTCTGAAAAAGATTTAGTCAAACAAAAAACACACCGATAAGAAAAGAAAAACACAAATTATCGCAATCCCAATCAAAAACCTGTGTAAAATCATCATTTTTCACCAGAGAAGCATTTTTGCGATTAAAGTTTGCAAATAACGCATGAATAAAAAGTTTTTGTGACAGAAAAGAAGTTTGGTGACAACAGAAAAAATTGAAAATCGAAAGAAAACGAAGAAAAAAGCGAAAATTCGAAAAATGGCGATGCCTGTTGTCCATAGAGCAACTTTACTGCAAAACGCCTTTTTGGCGGGAGCTCAAGCTTTTCTTTCTCCAACTTCGAATAATTTTTCCAAAACTAGGAAATTTGGTACGTTTCCAAGTTTACCGTTCGATCTCGCAATGAATACTCTACAAAATACTGCTTTGAACTGAAACACCGTTTCTTACTGCCCATATGCCTTTCAAGATCTCTATTTGTAGTGCTCGATGTGAGCAAAAAACCAGTTTTTTACTTTGAACTAGCAGGAACAAGAAAAACCTGGATATCTAAAGTCTTAAAACGATAAAGCGAAATGAAAATCTCTTTTAAGTGCCTCCGAATCAATATTTCAATGCAAATAACTTATATAATGAAGCAAATATATTTATTTGGATTATATTGATAGAGAGTTCAAATAGAAATCTTCGAACAGGATAAGATAAATGAGAAAAAGCGCCCCGAGAAAAAATAGAATCAAAAAAAGTTGTTCTATCCACAGAAAAACGAATGAGAGATGGAAAAAAGTGCGCGCCATAGAGAAAATGCGAAATGCAAAAAAAAAGAATGCACAATATGAATGGAAACGGAAAAAAATAAAGGTGATTGGCAATCGATATCGCTATTTGAAATAAAGTGGAGACGCCGAATGCCGCGATGCGCGGAAACGGGCCTGGGTCACATTATCGATTGACGATTCCTTCTCTCCTCGACACTAGAAAAGGATGGCTTGTAGACGCTAAGAAACGTTTCAGTTCTCCTTGACACATCGCCTTTGCTTATATAGTGCGAAAAAAATATTGCAAATATCTTGATGTTTTCAATAGTTTTACCCTGTTTTGTCCACGTTTTTGTAGATAGATTTATTAGTTACTCAGTTTTTCGCTTTCATTTTCATCTTGGTTTTTCAAAGCCAATTTATTGCTGGCTTGAATTATACGATGTATTAGAAAAAAAGTCTCGATAGAAATTTTTTTTCTATGAATAGTTTTAAAATCAGTTCGAATTAGTTTTTAGAATATAAAAAAATTTCTGAAAAAATTAAATTTTTCTACAAGGCTGAGGCATGAAAATGTAATAACGTTATATTCTGAAAACTGTGGACTGCGGGAAGAATGAATGAGCTTTCCTAAAATGCAAGCTATAAAAATCAGGAAAACGTTCGAAAATTGAGCGTTAATATTTTTTTCTTTTGTAGTGAATGATCAGAATATTGGAATGGTCCGACGTTACCAACATGTTTGATTTCCTGCATAAAAGTATAATCATTCGATTCTTCTCATTGAGATACGTAACAAAGCAAAAAAAGCACCAAGGACGCTAATTAGAAGAAATAACTATATGTAGGGACCGCAGACAGATTTTTCAAAAACATTTTTCAGCATTGAGCTTTGTATGGTTTGATAGCTGTTTCGAACGAACTACATTCCGCTGTTCTGCTGCGTACCTTTGCATGCCTTTAAATTTTTCATTTTATTTAAGAACTCTACCAACACGTGTTTCTAGTGGAACAGTCCATCTATCAGAAATGAGAACCAATTCAAAGCGAGACCGAGGCTCGCAGCGGAACAGCGGAATGTCGATCGGTGAAACTTTAAGTCATGGCACACAGACTGTACTGAGTTTGGAAAATTCAAAAAACTCATGTCTTCGAAAGTTTGATGAATTTTCAAAGCAGAAAAAAAACGCAAAAAACGGTGCGAAACAAGTTTCGAAAGTTGACCTAAGCCTAAGCCAAGTATGCGCCTAAACTTAATTTTGTCATTTTGTCGCACTAAGCGAAAAAGTTTGCGATGCGCGAAAAAGTTTCCGATGCATAAAGTCTGGCCATTTGACTTGCTCTTCGATTGTGCAAAGCGAAAAAATAGTCTTTTTCTTTTTCACACAATTTCTCCATTGTTTCTAATAATTTAGACCAAAAAAGTCAGAAGTCAAAACTCAAAAGTTTTCGATGGTAGGAAGGAATTTTGGGTTCACGAATATTTGTGAGCGTTAATTGTGCATACACTAATCTTGGATGCTCGAATCTTTGAAAATTTGAATCTTTGAAAACGATTCTTGGGAATATTCACCTCTTTTCTGATTTTTTATAACTTTTCAAATGTTTTTGTTAACAGAAGTTGATGGAGAATATATACAGAGTGAATGAAATGTGGTAGCCGTTCTGCAGCGAATCTTTGACAGAGTGTATGCGAGAAAGACGCATTATTTGATAAAAAGTTAGTTGAAAACAATCTCACAGTGTTCATTTGAGGTCGAAACACGACATCCTCACAATAGAACGACAAAAGAAAAAAAAATGAAGAAAAGAAAAGATGGAAATTCAAAAAAGAGGTGAATATTCCCAAGAATCGTTTGCAAAGATTCAAAATTTCAAAGATTCGAGCATCCAAGATTGGTGTATGCACAATTAACGCTCCCGAACATTCGGGGAACCAAAATTCCTTCCTACCATCAAGTTTTCAAGTCACAGATATATCCCTCCAAATTTATTTTTTTTACTGCATCACTTCCTAGTCTACACAATAGATAGAGACAACAAAGCTCCACCTCTCTTTTCGTTGGTGAAATGTATTGCATTTTGGTCTTTTTTTTTGTTGTTTTCGTGAAAACGCAGTACTGAACCCATTTTGAAGGAAACTGATGAAAAAGAAATAGTAGACCTTCCTCCTTCGATTTAAGTAAAATTCACTCCACTCTCTTGCATTTCAGCGAAGTTTCGTACAGAGAAGGGAAATGGATTTGCTTTTCTCTGTTTTTAACTCTGCTTTCGGTCGTGCGCCCCTTTTTTTCATTGTTTTGTCATTGGAAAACGATACTTCTAAAAGAAAAATAATATGAATTTTACGATTGCGAAAAAAGAAGAGTTCGCATAAAGTCAAAAATACTTTTCTCGACAGGTGAGCAAAGAATTTCTTCCTATTGATAAATAATTTATGAAGTCATTAAAAAAAAATCGACAAGAGCCTTACTTTCGAAGCGCTTATTACTAACCCTGGTAATGTCGCCTTAGGGAAATTTAGGCAACTTTTAAAAGCTTTCACGTCCTTTTCGCTAACTCAATATAACATGCTTTTTAACTTGTACGCTAGGCTGTATTTGGATTATTCCGCTGATAGTTTCTGAATGCCAATTAACTCCCAGCAGACTGCTTGAAAAATTTCCATCAATGGTTCACAAGAGAAATCTTCATCAGAAGAAACACTAATTTTTCTTCGTGTTCTGATCGTCTGAAGACATTTAAATCAGTGTATTTTTTGATTCGCTAACATATTCGAAAAAAATTTACATTATCAAAAATTTTCTTATTTAAATAGACAATCTGTGTGTTTTGCACGGATAAAGCGTATGGCGAATGAAAGCTGCTTTAAACAACCATCTGGTATACTCGAGAACTTCTGCGATTCTCGCAATATAAATTTTTTGACTTCTCAGTCTAGTCAGCCTTTCAAACTCCAAATGTTTATATCTTGGCTGAAAACACTCAGAATCAGAAAAAAATAGTGTGTTTTAAGGTTTTCATTGGGCCACTTTCGAATAAGATTATCAGGAATCCGCAAAATCTCCAGAAATTTGATAATATTAGTTTATTTCCTATTTCAGTCAAGCTGGTTAAAACAGTTAATAAACGTTTGCAACTGCTTGTAGAGTTTTTTGTCTTTTGCGAAATATCTCAGAAAAGCGGCATCGTGAAAACTGAGCTTGAACAAGAAGCTTCAATTAATTCAAAGTTCTAAATGTTTGATAAAACCTTACCTACAAGATTTCTATAAAATCTTTTTCCTAGTTCTCAACTTCGTTCGTTTCGATGAGCTCCAATGGAATCTCCCTCGGAGAAGCCTTCCAGGCTACTCTTTTTTTTTTAGTTTGCTACGTTTTTTTTTCTCTAGAAAAAGATAACAGAATCTAGAGCGCTTTCAAAAATTTTTTGGCTTCCTGTTTAAAAAACTTTTCAGGTTGCGAAATCTCAAAAACCCTGGCTTTGGAAAATTGAATACTGGAAACAACTTGCATGAATGAAAATTATTCATTTCTAGAAATATGCATAGTACACGCAATAAAGTTATCCTACAGCCCTTTGTTACAAAAAAGCTGTTTGGGGGGTAGAGAAAGGTTCTTGATTTTGTGGGCTAGTTCAGGCTCAAGTTGCTCGAGGGAGACGGGAGTTGACTGCGGGAAAAGAGCACAGCCAACTGGCGTTGAGATCGACAACACGATGCCACAAAGAGCCGTTTGCAGTGGCAAGAAAATTCGCGGGTTAGCCTAAAGAAATTTCACTCACAAAAAATAATTCTGTGTTGGATTTTCTAATGAGAATGCGCTGATGAGGATAAGCGGAACTCGATTTATTTTGTTTATGTTCAAAAAATAATTTTCTAAAAAGTTGCAGAAGTACTGTCTGAATCCCTTGAATGAGATTTTTCGTAGACAAATTTTTATTTTCTCAAGTTTTTTTTTTAATCTTAAAGATTGTTGGTTGCAAGCCTCATCCTCTAACGCGAAATTCCTAAATCTATACCAGAAAAAAATAAAAAAATTTTTGCAGATAATAACTATGAGAAATACTAATCTAGGACGAGTATTTTCTAAATTCGCATCGAAATTCCAAACTTCACAAATGAAAGCTTTATCATGCATCAAAATTTTCAATAAAAATTTTTTAAGTACCCATTTATGAAGCAGAAATAAATATAACCTTAAAATACGGTCTGCGCTCGAGAGCGTTCACAACAATTGGAATGAAAGCTGAAAAATAAATTATTCGAAAAATAAAACTGATTCAAAAATTCGTACCAAAGGTAGGAGTCGCCATCGCAATTCTCGAAATGACAACTTGAGCAATCGCAGATCTGGCCACTTTCTGGGAATGACCAACGACTTCTCCGTTTTCGTTCACAATCGCGATGCCTTTCGAAAGCTCTCTGAAATGGAAAAGCTTCTGATGTGTTCATCGGAAAAACGGCACACGCTTCGAAACAAAAATCGTGTTCTTCGGCGCGCCAAAGTTGCTCCAAAACCATATTAACTTTCGATTTGAAGCATTTTTTTGCGTTCCAAAGCAATTTCGTTTTTTCCGATGAACACGCCATTAATATTATCGATTCTTTTTGGCTTAACCAGTTTTTCGAGTGCTCTGATACTGGGACAACTTTTAGTGGCTTCTATAGGAATTTGACATTTTGGTGGCCACTTAGGGGCCTAAAATTAGTGAGCACTATAGAAGCCTAAGTGCCACTACTAGATCATAGAAAGTTTTAGTGGCCAATGCATCAACATAACAGCTCCGATCTATTTTATTTTTTTTTGAGATGTTCCTATTTTTTGGATTGACCGGATGAAGTTATATAACATTTTGAAGCACGTGACATGTTTAATTTTATTAATGTAATCGCTCCGTACAGATGATGGAAAGAAAGTTCCTGACCAGAACCTCGTCATTCAGAGTTTTAAGGGGTACAATGCTAGGAAAAAACCCAAAAAAAAAATTCTGGATAGAAAACCACTGAAGGGGCCTCTACAGTGGCCACTAAAAAGGTGGTTTTAGTGCCCACTTCAGGGTCCTCTCCAAAAAAGTTCTTGGCGAGCCTCTTTGGAGGCCACTAAAAATTTTTTCAGAAAATGTGAAAAGAACTTCCTTGCCCTTTTTTAAAACTGACAGTTTTTTTGTCCTTATTTTGATTTGACACTTTTCAGCCTCAACCTACCCACTACGCATCATAGGAATGTTGATGGCATTAGCGACGCAGACGGCAACAAATGGAACCAATCGTCCGATTAGTGGCGGCGCCTTCTGAAAAAGAAGTTTGAAATTCTCTTTAAGTTGATCTTTAACCTTCACAAGTGAATTAAGCCCTAAAGCTGCGGTGAGAGCTCCTCCGGTTGCTGCGCAGTAAGATCCCAAAAGCTAGAATGGAGACTCATAAAAATGACGAATTTTTATTTTAACCTGACTAACTGAGCCACTTTCACCCGAACGGTTGGTATAATTGACAACTGCATTAAAAGACTGATTCAGCCATTGCCAAAAGATAACGGCGGAAGGAGACCTGAAAAAGTTTTTGAGAATGTCTTAGGCGGGACGGTAAAATTTTTTCAGCGCAAAAATTGACGCGAAAAAGTATTTTCGTAGTCAATTGAAAACGCTCCTCATTTTGATCAAAAAATAACGATGGTCAAAATGCGTTGAAAGTTTTGACGAACAAATTTGTTTCAACTAGCTTTAAAGGCATAGGGGCAGTAAAAAAATGGGGTTTCCGGTGAAAGCAGTATCTTGTATAGTTTTTCTTTGCAAATCGAATGGTGTACTCAAAAAAATTACAGGTGTGACAACTTTAGAAGAAAAACGCGATTTTACTTTCCCGCCATTAATTTTGAAAAAAACTTTGGATCGGTATGCAGACAACTGTTCACAGTAGCCGTGCACGCGATGTTGCGGACGTATCAATAGACTCGCATTTTGAGTGAAATAACCGGAAATCTACGTCAAATTGAAGATTTCTTTTCAGAAAAAAAGATTTAGTCAAACAAAAAACTGCTTCAAATTAAGGGTTTCTTCTCTGAAAAATTGATTAAGAAAACAGAAAACACACAACGATAATAAAGAAAACACAAAATATCACTATCCCAATCGAAACCTGTGTAAAATCATCATTTTTCACCAGAAAAGCTTTTTTTCAATCAAAATTTGCAAATTATACATGAATAGAAAGCTTTTGTGACAAAAAGAACTTTTGTGGCAACAGAAAAAATTGAAAATTGAAAGAAACGAAGAAAAAAGCGAAAATCCGGAAAATGGCGTAGCCTGTTGTCCGGTGGTATGAAAAAACACCAGCGAAAATTCAAACGGCGACTTTCCCGATTTTTTCATATCGCTAGGGAACTTTCCGACGGCCACCTTTCCGACGAATCTTTTTACGACTTTTTTTCTCGATAAAATCTTCGTTTTAAATCTTCCTATATAAAGAAGTTAGTTGGTTAATGATTAAAACACAAAGAAATAGACAAAAACAATGTTTATAGATGTTTTATAAACCGAAAAACTTAAGGGAAAAAAGTCGGAAAGGGATCCGTCGGAAAGTTCCCTAGCGATACGAAAAAATCGGAAAAGTCGCCGTTCGAACTTTCGCTGGTGGTTTTTTCATACCACCTGTTGTCCATAGAGCAACTTTACTGCAAAGCGCCCTTTTGGCGGGAAATCAAGCTTTGCTTTCTCCGACTTTGAATTTTTTTTTTTTTCCAAAACTAGGAAATTTGATACGTTTCTAAGTTCACCGTTCGATTTGCAATGAAAAGCTCTACAAAGTACTGCTTTGAACTGAAACACCGTTTTTTACTGCCCCTATGCCTTTAAGCAACTATTTGCAATACCAAAACAATTTGAAAGCTCAATATAACCCCAAGCTAGCCGTGAAAAAATGATCAATCGAAAAAAAGTTTATTTTTTTTTACAATATTCAAAATGAAAATTACTAACCAATTTTCCCTAAACGATAATTTCAATTTGAGTTTGGAACCTGTGTTTAACCAGAAAACAAACTTATAAAAGGTGAGCATTCCTCCGGTGATCGCCATGTTCATTGGCACCTGCGCCGACATTCTGCCAATCAAAAACATTTTTTCTTCTGTGACAGGATGAAAAGCTGAGTCTACGACGTGTTTAGCCTTCCACAATTGTGAAACGGTCAGCGATGAGGCAAAATTTCCTTTTCTAAACAAACAATCATCTTCAATAATGTTCTGGCCATGAACTTGTAATCATCGACAACAGTTTTGAAATGATCCAAAGTGCCATCGGAGTGAAACAAGTTCAAAGGACTCGTCACAGCGAAGAAATGCTGAAAAAATCGAAATTGACCGGGATTTTTCCGGTTGAAAAAAAAAGTTCGATATTATCCTTTTTTTAAAGACCTCTTGATTTTCAAACTGATCTTAAAGTTTGAAACCAATTTTTCATCTTCTTTTGAAGATTGACAAAATAACACTCTGAGATTTCACAAATTTTAACATCCAAAACTTCCGACTCGAAAAAACAGACTCATTGAAGGTCAAAAAAGACCTCAAATTTCTCATATCTTTGAACCGGTGGCGAATTAGACACGTCTTGTGCACAAAGTCAAAGTTTTCACAATTTTCAACTAGATCTTTAGGCAATTTCTCTACACAATGTGGAAAAATTTTGATTTTTTGAGCTAGCCATAAAACTTCTTTTTCTTTTTCTTGTTTCAAAAGAAGGCCTGAGAAAACCTTGGCTCTACCCGTGAACGTGCTCTGATCCCAACGGGGTTTTGAGATGTCTGGTTTCAACACGAGAGCGCTCACAAGTTCAGACATTCTTGTCAAGGATCTGAACGAAAAGTCTGAAATTAAGGAGATGGTCATCGAAAACAAACGCAAGCGAAATAAAAACTTTTGTAGCGGAAACCCAAAAAAGCGGGAAAAGGCTTGAAAAAATGCAACCGTTTTTTTGCAATTATGGACAGAGGCAAAGAGAATAGATTGAATAAAAAAAGAAGTAATAAAAATTTAAACCGAAAAAAAATTCGGGAAAAAACTTGGCATCATTCTGCTTCTGAAATTTGGCTGCAAAATTGAAAGCTGGGAAGTGGAGAAAATCAATTAAAAAAATAAATCTCTGAGAAGAAATATTGAGTTTATAAATTTTATAAATTTATGTTTCAATACATAGAGAAATTCATTTTTTTCCTTGATAAAAAGCATTTTTTTAAAGTAGCTTGAAAGTGAAAAAAAGAAAATGCAAAAACAATAACTATATAGAAATATGTGCAATTGTGAAGAAGATGAAAAAAAGAAAAGTCGCCTCATGATTTTTTTTTATGAAGAATTTTTATTCAGATACTTTTTAATACACGGTGTTAATAAAAAAATTCAAAAAATTAACAAAAATAAGAAGGCGAAAAGTTTTGGTAGTATTAAAAAAACCACAGCCTGAAGATTGTGTGAAACGCGTCGAATTGGCGGCGGTCGGCGGAAAGTGTTGTATCTGTGTCCCGAAGACCATTATTTGATAAGGAGTTTGGCGCGCGCGCGAGAAACGGCATTGTGAACGTTGCTGGGCACCTTGGTTTACTTGGGATCAAGTAAGTCTTGTGACAAAAGCTCGCGACCAACCAAAAGCCGCAAAAGTGCGCTCGAGTTTCGCTTTTTCTTCTGTCACGTGGCGCTCTGAGAGATGATGATCTCACTGCCCGGGCAACTTTCTCACAGATGTCAATAGTTCGAAAGACGTCACTAAGGAGCAAGGGTAATTATTTCTCGAATATGTGTAGTTAACAACTTCTTTTCTGAACCACCCAAAGAGATCAGCGAAACTGTCAAATTAAAAAAATAAAAAACAATTTTTGGGGTTTTCAAGTTTAGCTAAATAGTTTTGATCTAAGTTCAGTTCTTTTTTTAAAGTTAGAAATGTAATAAACTTCAGAGTGTCTTTGTTCGATTTACCGGAGCCCAGGCTCCAAAATTCATAATGGAATGATTTTTTTGTCTGAAAATTCTAATTAGAAAAAAAGAAAGCTGAAATTGATCTGTTTTCTCTCGAAACGCGATGAATGGTAGAAGGTCGAAAAGAAAAATGTTTAACGGTTTCGCTGCCTCGACTTTTTTTGGAATGGATTTTTTCTCTCTGTAAAATGGAGTGATACAAAGATTGTCAGAGTTTAAAATAATAAATCAGAACTGGGCGACCTGAACACTGTCCGAAGACTGAATTTTCCTATTTTCTCCGTAGAGGTTTCTTTGTCTCCACATTTTTTCAGATCCCATTTCTGAGTTCCTACACAAATTTGTTTTGAGCCTGCATCAAGTCATTCCAAAGCTTTCTGACAACTTTCGTAGAGCTTTTTTTTTATAAAGTTTCCATCAAACTCTCTATTAGATTTCAAAAAAATCGTTTCAATTTTCTACCAAAAACAATTTTATTATTTTCTTCTTCACAAGGTCTCTTTTCAGTGTAAAGTTTCTAACTAATTTGTTCAAACTTTTTCTGAGCGTCTAAATAGTTACTCCTCGTAACTGCTACCTACGCGATTTTTTATTTTTTTTGCCATATAAAATTTCAAAGTTTACTGTTAACATAGGAATGAGCTTGCGATCAATAATTCGCAATTATGAAAACAAATAAATTTTAGCAATTTCATATAAAACCTTTGACTTTTTCCAAAAATTATTTTCATTAGAAGCAAGTTGCGCCTGATTGTTTCCTCTTTTATTTTTTATAGTCCGAGAACGGCGATGTTCGTCTTTTGGTACGGTCCAGTCCGCGTAAGAGCGCCGGTCAAAGAAAGCTGGTCGGCGGCTACAATAGTGATGTTTAACCAAAGAATGATTGAGTGATGAGGAATCCTCTTGAGAATCTCAAACACCATCGTGGACCTCGTTGCTCACGATGTGTATTTGACGTCTCTAGCAAGTGGCCACAAATGTTAGTGTAGTGGACGGCTGTATCGATTTTTTCTCCCTCCGCCCCACTATATGCCATCCTACGCCAGCATTTTTGCTTTTATGTCTTTTTTGATCGACAAGTATTCAAATCAAATTTTTCTCAGGGTTTGCGATGAATTGAATCATTCGATGTCAGCTTTCGATGCCGAAGCACTTAGTGACGAAAATGTGCATGTTAAAGAGTTGAAAAGAGTGAGTTTTGCATCATTTCTGCTTTGAACTTTTTTATTAGATCTTTTTTTTCATTCAAAATGCCTTTTTACTTGATGGCCTGTAAAAAATCTTGCAGATTCATTGAAAGCTTTTAATCGGTTCAGTTTTGATAGTTTATGAACTTTTTAATTAGAGGATATTTTCAGCCAGCAATGTACATGATCAAAAAAAGGCCTTGTGGAAATTTTCAGAAAATTTTTACAGCACCAGAATCTATAAATTTTTCTCTTTGGCCCACGAAAAATTGTCATGAATATGCACCCCTAACGCTGAAGCTCAGCAAGAATTTGCCGAATGTAAAATTTAACGATGAATAAAAAAAAACTCAAATTGCATTTATAATATTCCGACAATTTTCAGCTTTTCAACGCCAGCAATGTAGATAGGAATGGCGCCTTGTCACGGGAAGGAATCGTTATTTTATGCGAAAAGCTGCATTTACGAGATTTCTCCACGTTTATTGCCGAACGCGTTTTGTGCAATGAAGAAACGGTCAATTTCAAGGTGGTCTCGCATTTTACTTCCACCAGGGCACATTTCTTTTTTCAGCAGTTCAAAGACAGATTTCTCTCGTTTTTGCCGGATATCATCGATCTTGCCTCTGGGAACGCCGATCAGCTGATTATCCTTGCACATAAAACATCCACGGCTCTTGGATTCCAAGAAACTCGGAAGTAATTTGTATTCCTTATTTGATATTTTAATTAATTTAATCGGAAGCTGAAAATCATGAAATTTCTAAACTAGTGCGAGAAAACGAAGGTTGCATGGATTTGTATGAGATTTTTACTATTTACCGTTATCTCGAAACAACTTGGAGTTATTCTGAGCTACAATATAAAAAATGACTTGTATAACAATAAATGTGAATATTGAGAAAAATTTTTTTTTTGGTCTGTATAGTATTTATTGATTTTTTTTTTATATTGCCATGAAATAACTCAGAAAATTGATTTTTTTTTTCGTTTTTGATGAAAAATTAGCAAAGTATTATTGGTTCTAAAATTTTCAAAAGTTTAATTTTTTTCACCAGACACACTGTTGAATAACTGACGTTTTAAATTGCGCGTTTTTCTGATTCTTTCCGAAGTTAGTTATAAAACTTTTGTAGCTTCAAAAGTGTGAAGGAGGCATTTTAATGTATATGTATGTATACAAAATGAGAATTTTCTTACTTATTATTCAAAGTTAATCAAATAAAAACAAGTTTTTTCTGTAAACCCAAAGTTTCCAGGTTGTCTGTATACGACATGCGATTGGTTTGCGAAAACACACCGGAGCTGGATTTATTGTCCGCCGTCGATATAAACCTTTTGTTCGAAAAAGTAGCTCGAGGCGGGAAAGCGTCGGTTTCGGAGTTTGTCGCTCAATACAGAAAACAGAAACGAGTACCCGACGAGGTTTTATTCTCCAAAACTTTTTGAAAAACGTTGAATCAAAATTTTCAGGTTCACTTCACAGCCGACTCTTATCGAATATCAACTTCAAATTTATTTGAATCACTTGATGTGCAGAAAACTGGGTTTCAATTATTTTTCCATTTTAATTTTGTTTCTGCTTATTCAGAAACGTCGATCGAAATGTACTGGTTGAATGCCTCACATCTTCTGGTTTGAAGATCGAAGACATCTTGGATCTTTTACAGGCAAGAAATTCTCATTTTGTTTGATGTATTTTTTTTCGCTTTTTTTTTTACAGGAGTTGGGTCAACCGAACAGTCCTTCGATTAGCTTGATCATACTCTGCAATTATGTAGAAGCATGTTTGGCTCAAGTACTCAATAATTGTTCTGTAGCTGCTCGAGCAGCAATCCTTTGCATGCGCTTGTTCACGGAAAATTTGAGGTTAGTTAATATGCTCATTTCTCGCTGGCTCGCAATAAAACAGGACAGGTAGAAATGAATCAAAATGAACATCTTCGTGTATTTTTGCATTTCAGAAAACATTTTGTGTAATATTGATTCAGGAGGATTTGCAAAAAGCATATGAGGATAATTTTTCAAACATCTCACATTTCCAATTCTTTTTAGCGCAAATTATCGACAATGAAAACTGCTAGTTGAGACCTTCACCAATCAAAAAAAAATTTTCAGATGCAGCCTAAAAGAGAGTGAACTTCGATGCGAGCACATGCAAAAGCAACTCCAAGTAGCAAATCAGCGCCGAACTCTACTCATTGAAGAACTCGATCAGAATCAACAAAGCATCGAAATGAGCTACAATAGTAGACTGAGGTAAGCTTTTTTTCAATTTAAAAATTTCTGAAAATGTTTGATCTTCTTCCCAGAGAAATGGAAGAACGGTGCCGTGCGAGAATAACCAATATGGAAGAGAAACATCGCGCCGAACGGAGCGAATTGCAGAGAGAAATCGAAGTGGTTTGAGACTTTTTCATAAATCAATGCTCAATTTTGGTTTCCAAAAAGATTGAAGAAGATCTAACTCTTGTTCGACACAACGAGACGTTTTTAAAAAATAAACTCGCGTTACTTGAACGACACAACAAGAGGATTTCTGATGAGCTGGCGGAGCAAACTGAAAGTGTCAACCAACTGGAACAGGCCAATAGACAGCTTCGAACTGATCTCAACAAGGTATTAAAAAAGTTTTGAATCTTGAGAAAAGGGCTTTTTGAGCTCTTTTCTTGGAAAAGTGTGAAAATAGTTGAATTTTGATTCAGATGATGATTCTTATTATTTTTTTTTCTCAGAAGCAACAATTCCGGATATCAGAAGAAAACGCAAAGATGTGGAAGCAGAAAGCTGAAATGTTAGTAGCACACAATAAGGTCCGAATCTTTCCCTGTTTCAAAAATCATTTCAATTTTTTTTTTCCAGTTGCTGAGAGAAAAACTACAGGAAGTCAAAAAAGTTCAAAAAACTGAATCTTACAATGATTCCTTCGTCTTATGGACTCCATCTTTTCGTAGTCAGGTTAATATTTTTTTTCTTTCGTTTTGGTATGGAAAATTTCATAATCCGGGAACTTGTGCAATTGGATAGGCATCTGTCCAATAAGCGCTCTCCGAAAAAATCGAAAAATTGAAACATCTTTTGGTTAAAGATTTTTAAATGTTTTCCTGGAGTTTGGTATTAATGTCACTGATACTAAACAACATTCTTAATTGAAACGACGATTTTTAAGAAGCTCCGCCAAACCTTCAGGCTCATGCTAGCAAAAAAACCGTTAAAAGTTAACTTTTTTCCATCGGGGGTCCTTGATTTATTATATCATGATTTTTCAAGTTTTTTAATTTTTTTAAGCTGGAAGGAATTTTTTTGGGAACTTTCAACAAAAAAATTTATTAACACATTATGCTTTTCACGTTGAAAGCTGTTTGAACCAATTTGCTCCACCAAGAAAAAAGTTAGCTTTTTACGGTACTTTCCCTACCATAACCCTGAAAGTGGGCGGACCTTCTTAAAAAGTGGTGCTTTGTGTTTAAAATTTTGTCTAGTGTTTGTGACATTATCAGCAGGCTGCAGAGAAAAACTTGAAATGTTCTTACTAAGAGATTTTCGGAAATGTCAGAGAACTGGGACATCACGTTGAACAAATTCTGATTTTTTATTCCTGCAAGATGATGACATTGCAAGGTGAGGAAGAGTAAAATTCTCCCTTTTTAGTTAATGCTCATCCGAAAAAGGCGGTTACAAAAAGGAGACACGCTGTCTGAAATGGATACAGAGCCGGAGTCAATATTTTATCGACGACGACAAAAAAGATTAGTCAAGCGAAAAGACAGAAAACGGCGTTACGAAAAGATTCATCAGGTTCAAAGCGTTGCACCAGGTATGTGCCAAAAACTTCTTAAAAAGGAACTAAAGTACAGATCCAGCAAGGAGCTCAAACTTTTCGAGTCCTACGAATTCACGGGTCAATGTACGAGTTTTCGCAAGGTTTGATGTAGATTTCACAGCTTAAAAGTATGAAACTGTATAGTGGCGCTCCGTCAATCAAAAGTGAGGCTTCCCTTCGATCACAGCAGGAGAATTCGCTCAATGATCGACTTTTAATTGAAAAACATGTGAGTAATGAACAATTTATGACATTAGTCTTTGTGAGAAGTACGCAGAGAAGATCGTTCCCACGTTGTTCATAAAAATGAAAATAAGTTTCGAGAATTTCTTGACAAGTTTGAATCCCGTTTTCAAATTTTGTCAAGCATCTGATGTTTTATAGGGTGCTTCAAAACGGTAAATGTTCGAAAAGTAGAAAAAAAAACAGGAAATACTGTCAAAAAATAAAATACGGCTTATCGAAATCGGATGCTTTCATGAAAATCAAAAAAAGTTATGTCGTAAAAAGTGCTAAAAGTCGTATGAACGATCTTCATTCAAGTTTACAGAAAATATCAGCGTGTAAAAAGTTAAAATTTCAGAGTGGAACCGCTGATTTCAAAGCGACCTCTTCTTTTTCAAAATCAGCTTCTGACGTTGGGTCTCTCCTGAAAAAGTACGAAAACGACATCAAGGTTCGCTGAGTTTGAGTTCTTATTTTTTCGCATTTTCTGTTCAGACTCTACAATCGACAATTTTGTCGCAGAAACAAAACTACGAGGATCAACTAAACGGCTTCCAAAGACATCCCACCGTGGTCGACGCGCTACGAAGCGATTCATCAGAGAAAATCTACGCTCTTGGAGAGAAGTATAGGTGATTTCATCGAGCAAGATCATTCGAATTCCAAGAAACCTTTCCCTTATTCTCACCGGAGTGATTTCAGGCGAGTTCCGGAAATAGGCGTCGAGAGCGTGCCCTATTTGAACGTGGAAAAGCGATTAACTGGCGCTTACCACAAGTTGAGACATATATTTGTGAAATAATATTTTGATGATTAACCTTTCGTTAAGTGTGATATAACAAATTGTCCGTTTACGTTAACCCTAGATAAATGAGGGTGCTTTGGTAAAATCGCCGTCCGAGATCGAAGAAACTGTTTAGACTTGGAATGAGTAGGCTCTTTTTTTGGCTCATTTTATCTTTTTTTCTCTAAAAACTCTGAATTATAAAACTTCATATAAAGTATTTCTACTTCATTGCGAGAAAAAAAGGTTCAAAAATTCTGAGATTTGAAATTTCGGAAATTCCCCCATCATTAAACTCCCGATCAGAAGCTTCTGAACTCTGCTTGAATGCACAAAACCAAGCAATTGATCATTTAAGCGACCATGCACTAAATGAGAGAGGTTAAACAAAAATATTTTAGCAGTCTTTATTTTCTCTGGTAGAAACAATTTTTCTGACAATATTTTATAAAAATTCGAAAGGTGTAGGTGAAAAATATCTCTCTTCTAAAAAAATAAAGTTCCGAATAAAAAGTAAAAAAATATTTATAAGACAATAATCGACTTCTCGGACAGTTTTTTTATCACTATCACCGTTGATTTTTTTGTCAATTTTTTTCAAACTCACAAAAAGAAAAAAATTTGAATAATTTTTCTGATATTTTTTTCAGACGCCGATTGTGAACGGCCAGCAGTGCACTCGATGCGCGATCGCCGAATTGAAGATTTGTGAGCTGGTTCAAGTTTTCGGAAACGGCTTCTCAAAAGACAGTAGCGTCGAAGACCCCACGCCGAGTAAAGATACAAATGTCAGTGTTCACAGAAGTTACAGAAATTCACCTGGTTTTCAGGACAAAACCGCTTTACAAAACGAAGTCACGAAACTCAAGAGTCGACTAGCGACTGCGAAAGAAAAATTTTCCGAACTGCGTATGGTTCTGTCAATGCCGAGCTCGAATTCCCGATACACGTTTTCCTTTCCAAATGGAAACAAAGTAAACGGCAGCTCTATGCAAAGGCAAGTGGATATGATAAATTGTCGATTTGCGTTGTCTTGAGAAAAGTTCTCTATGAAAGTTGCGGCTGTGAAACAATCATTACGTTTCATGTTTTTGAAATAAATGCTAAATCACGAATTCAAATTTTAATCGAACATATTTCTTCAAGCTCATGAATAAATTTTCAAGTAAGCATAAATTTTCACTCATATGATAGGCTCTTTAAAGCGCCTCAGATTCAACCCTAAAAATATTTTACTACTACTGATGTTTAATTTTAGTTCCTCAAAAAGGCAATGCACTTTCTCCAAAAGAATGGTAACATGAAAATTTTATTGCAGCAGTTACGAGACTTTTCAGCAATTCTTTGGATCGTCAATTTTTTTTAGGTTTTCTCCACGTTCGTTCGCCGACCTTTCCAGTGAAGCGACCCCCGAGAAACTGACGAGAAGCTCAAAAGAACGAATTTCCGACCCTTCACAGTTTCCCCAATTTCTTCAAAACTCTTTAATCAAACCTAAAAAACCACCCACTAGCCCTTTATAGCTGTTTATGACTAACCAAACCCGATCAGTTCGTTGTAAAATATATTTCAGGACTCAAATTTTTTGTCACTTTGCTCTCATTAACTATTCTAACGAGTCTTATTCTATGTAATCACGTTTCTGGGTCAGGCAGTAATGCCAATTATTTTTGTCATAATTTTTATTTCCTTGTTACTAGTCATGCATGCTGGTCTTTCTTTTTTTGCTACGGCTTTTTTACGAAACAAATAAACAGCTTTTTCATGGTTGTATAGAGCCGCATTCTAAAAAATAATTTTTCTTCCGGTTTCATGGTTCCTTCAAAACATAGAATATCTCTTTTTTTCAGTCACACAACAAAGAACAAAGCGAGGTACTTGAAATTAGTTCCGCTTCCGATTTCTCGAGAAATAAAGTTAGAATAAACAAATGAAAATTCCGCAAATTGGCTGAAACTGAGTATATCAAGAAATCGAACTTAAAAATTACAATAAAAAACCTGATGTTTTACTTGAATCACCGCTACGCCAAGACGTACAAATTCACGCTAGAAGTTTTGGATTTTGCTTCCGTTTTGATAATAGTCCCAAAGTCATTATTGGAACTGCGTCAAGCCATAATAAACTGTAATATTCTCTTTCTTCTTTCAAAAAGTTATATATGCATCCTTCAATGCTTTTTATGAAGCAAGCTCTCAAGCTTCCAAACTATCAACAAGCTCCAAATTCATCAACTAGAAAATTCTTGAAAAGAAAGTATTTCATGTGAATTTCTAGAATTTCGCTGGAGCTTTGCTGAGGTGCCCCTGAGTAACTTCTGACTTTCAAATAAAAGATAAAATTTCGCTATAAATTTTATTTGGAGTGTAACACTGAAAAAGCTGCAAATATCAACTTTACTACTTTTTTTTCTTTGTTATCGAACTTTGAAACCAAATACCACAAAGAAAGGGGCATGGCAAAAAGCCTTTTGTTTTAAAAAAAAATGCTCTAAAGTTTAGTTGACCTCAGTTTTATCAAATAACCACCTTTTTAGAAATCAAAAACATGTTTTATATGTTACTCAAATAACTAAGAAGGAACATAAACTTCACGAAAGTCGAAAAAAAGTTACAGCTTCAAAAGTCGGCTGCATTCGCGGGGTAGTTAGGCCAGACTTTTTTCACTTAGACGTAATACTTGGTAGATCATTTAGAAACATCGGTAAGGTTGATGGAATCAAATAAACGAAATCATGGCAAGACGCAGATCCGGGAACAGACAGCAACGCCAACTTTTTTATCCTCTGTGTTCTTTTGAGCCTATTCGTTTTTTTGAACTCTCAAGGCTTGTTTCTGATGGAGCACGTCTCGGATTTCATCGGACGCGCGTCTGAAAAGACTTTATTGGCTTGAGCCAGATTGGAGCGTAACAAGGAGAAAAGCAGCGAAGGGAACGGAATATCGAGTGGACGATGCCCCTCCGGTCAACAGGGCCACTCCACAAGGTGCTTCAAGATGATAACCTAGCCTCTTTCCTTCGTTGCGTATCTTTCGAATTTTTCACTCTGCAATCTTAAGTTTCGCTCATGCAAACTCAATTCTCTTTACTTGTTGTTTCAAAAATATTTCCGCTTCAAAAACTTTAAAAAGTAAACGTTTTTTTTCACAAGAAAGTAGCGTGACTAACTACAATAGTGTTAAACCAGTTTATTCACCTGATACATATGATTGGTTTCTTTCAAACTTTATCCTTTCAAAATACGGCAAAAAGTCTAGAAATTTGTCATATCTCCAAACTTCGTGATCGGCAAACATTAGCAGAAGACAATTTGAGAAAGCAATTGGATTGAAGTTTTTTTCTACGATTTATACGCGATTTCCAAGTCCTCTATACATTTTGTTTGGAGCAGATCTTCATTTTGAGTTGCCATATTTGCGAAAAAAGTTATCCAAATAACATCTTACTGACTACATGAAAAGCGAATATTTTATGCTGACTGAGAACTGTTGACTCATCTTAGCATTTTATCACCCTCCTCTTGCTGGCTTCTTTTTCCGAAATAAAACACATTTGTACTTTCCATCTACTGCCCACATTAAATCAAGCATCTGGTGAAGATTTTCAATTATTCTTCCACGCATCTTTTTCTCCGAATAAAATTCCTGATGGTTATGATTTTGATGAACATGTTGAAACGTCTTTTTAGGTACGCTCCACTGCTTGAGCATTCGGTGGTAGTGACTTTACAGTCAAGGCCTCGTTTGAGGCCGTAATGCTCTCTTTATTATCTTTGATAATTGCTTCCGGCACTGTTCTGCGGGCAGACACAGAGGTTTGACAGTCAAAGAAATGATGCTCTTTCAGAGCTTTCAGCCTTACCAGAATATTTCGAAAAAAATAATCCTCTTGATGTCGTTCAAACGTAATGGCGTAATAACTCTAGTAAAAGGCAGTAGTAAGAATATATTTCATGATCTGAAATCAGATAACTTCAAATTCTGATCTGAATTTGTCTTGCTTAGATGTTTTCCTTATTTAAGGTTTTTGATTTTTCTTTCATCGAAAGAAAAGAAAGGTATGAAACTAGAACTCCGAAGTATTTTTTTTCCTTTTTTACGGTGTAAAAGTTTTCTCAAAGCGAGAAAACATTCCATCAATATCTCACTGTGTTCTCCATCTATTATATTGGTAGGAAACGTATTAATGACGACAATTATATTTTTCATCGTAGAGTATCCTTATATCAAGAGAGTTACATTTTTCTGACCCTAAAAAATTCAAGAAAAAATTGAAGACATCGAAGGAAAATTTTTTATTCTTGCTTTTAAACTGGAATCAAAATCGATGCTGCAGTTGTGGGAGCCAAGCACCTATCCGGATCCACGGACTAACTCCACCGAGTGCAACGCTCCTTACGAAGGAACTCTGTGCGATCCAGACCATATCCTTACGGATACCTGGAGGCAAACCATTCTGGACAACGTTGCTCAGCACATGAAAAGTTGGATTCATCTGAAAAATGGACAAAAAATTATCATGTACAGACCTTATGAACGCCAACATCCATTACACGGCAGAAGCCAGCGATGAGTGCCACTCAAACACTACGGAAGGTGTGCAACTGTTCGTTATCCTGGCAAAACGAATCCACACTTCGAGCAACCAGAGCATCACCAGTAACGACTTGGTTCGTTTTGACAGTTAGCAAGAATATTTCGGAGACGGGAGGCTTTTTTATAATCGAGAAAAACGGACAAGAGGTTATGAACATGCATTATGTGAATACTGCTCACAAAAACCTTTCCATGAGAAACTCCGGGAGTCCAAAAGTATGCGAGACGCTCTTGCATTAGAGTTTTGATATCCCAAACGTGCCAACCTTCAAAAAAAAATTTGCGTTCAATGAAAACAATTACTTATAATTTTCTCGCATTTGTTCGAATTCATAGGGTTTTTGGAAAAAAAATTTCATTTAAAAGAAAAATAATTTTTTGCACGTAGAGCTATAAGCAAACATCAAATTTTTGATCAGATTTTTTCCAAAGCAACTAAAAGTTTGTTTACTTTGATTTTTAGTGTTCTAAAGTTTTCCAAAATTGCGTTTGACTTAATAAGAAGAAAAATAATTAAGAACTTTCACTTTTTTTTTTGAAATTTCACTGCAGGAACACAAAGGAAAAAAACAAGCGAAATTCGCAAGGCAACTTTTGGTTTTTTTCATATAGCTAGGGAGCTTTCCGACGGCGACGTTCCCGACGAATCCCTTCCCGATTTTTTTTTTCTCGATAAACTCTCCGTTTCAAATCTTCCTGTAAAAAAAGTAGATAGTTGATTCATGATTAAAACACAAAAAAACTGAAAAAAATTCTAATAGATATTTTATAAACCAAAAAAATGAGAAAAAAAGTCGGAAAGTTCCCTAGCGATATGAAAAAAATCGCAAAAAATCGCCGTTCGAAAGTTCGCTGGCTTTTTTTCGGCGTTTGTATTGAAGTTTTCGAGAAAAAAACAAATTTATCTCACCAATTTCAACCAAATTATAGACTTTGTTCGGCCATGGACTGCGAGACGCTTTTGGACTGGACAGTATGCCTTGCAAGAATTACGTTCTCGTGCTCGGAGTGGAGCACGCCAAACAAATTTATGTTTGGGTGAGTTCAGTCTCGAAACCAAATTTAGCATAAATTCCATTGGTCCAGTTACAGACTGGCTCCGACCTTGCTGTGCCGAAAGAACAATTCGACAGCTCTCTGGAACAGTACAAAAACCTCTTCACTGAACGCAATTATATGGAAGGACTGAACAAAATTGTTGATGAAATTGTGGCGCTTCTTCTAGATCCATTCAAGGTTTTCATTTTATTTTTTCAAAACCAATATGTTTGGGAAAAAACATCAGCAGTTTTTCTTCGGAATTCCGAACTATGCCTTCTGGACGCCTAATTGCGAGTTTTTCTGTTCTCATTCTCGATTTTTCTGTTCTCATTCTCGATTTCAGGAAAATACAACTACAGAATTGAACTTGGAAACAACGGAAGCTTCTGAGTCTTCCACGACGGAAACCACAACTGGAACTAACGCTCCAAGTAGTGCGATTCCTTTGTAAGTAACCGGGAAAGTATAGAAAGCAATATAAAATAAAATTACAAATTGATAGCTAAATTTTGAGCACTTATTTCATTCAAATGGAACCGACCATAAAACTGTTCTCGTGCCGCAAAATCAAAAAGAAAAGAAATTTTTTCGATGGTGGGTAGAAAGTTGAAAGGTACTTTGTTATCTATAGTCTTTGTCTTTCAAGTCGGGAAAAACAGACTAGAGCTTCCCTCTGTTTTCGTAACAAAATTGTTTTTGCATTAAAAAATACCGCTCCAAAAAAAAACTTTTTGGCTTTATGATATGTGTAGGTTACGAAATTCGAAGTGTCAGCACAAAAAAGAAATTCACAGAAAGAAAACTTTTTTTTTGAATTTGAAGATTCAATAGTCCGTCTCAGCCAAGTTTTCTCAAAACTCTAATTAAAAAAGTAAAAGGCGCGTGATGTCGAAATAAATTCTGGACGTTTCAGGTGGATTTACGTGACAATAACCGTTTGCCTTTGCTTGATGACCGCAGCTTTGATTAGCAGTATCGCTTTTTTATATATTCGATTTTTTTCGTCTGGACGACGATCCGGAAAAGTCTATCCCAACAAACATCTATCGACGGATTCTATGTAATTATTGAATAAAAAGAACATTTTGTATTTTTCAGTTCACCTCCCATTCAAAAACCGACAAGATCCGGAGACGTGTTCCGTAGACCCGGAAAAGTCATCAAATGACTCCCATCGTATCATTGACAACTTCGTTGAAAACGAGGACAATGTGTTCGTTTTTTTCTACGTTGGACTTAACTTTATAAAAATGAATAATCATCGGAGATTTTCATATTTTTTCAGAAGTGTCGACGACATGCAACAAAAAAAGACGACGCAATTCAGGTTCAGGGAATTTCTACGAAAGTATGCTTCTAGATAACTTTCAAAAAAATTTTTGAAACTTTAACAATTGAAAAAAATCAGAATAAACTGTTTTGAAAGGGGTAAGTACTTTTGAATGAGCCCTTTTTTTCAAAAAAATAGTAAAAAGTTAGCTTTTTAATGATTTAAAAATCTTTTTCTAAGATTTTTTTGAATTTCAAAAAGAGAAAAAAATAGTCAAAGGTTTTGCTTCGGATCAATAATTCCGCTTCAACCAAGTCTTGTCACCACAACTTCTTTGAATTTTCAAAAATTATGAGCTTGACCAAACTATAAAATTTTTTTCATTTCTCTTTTTCAAGGAACTTTTTATACCTTATAGTGCTTTTTTTGAGTCATGTATCTACTGGGCGGTAACAACACATCCTGGTAGCTGCGACTCCGCAAAATATTTTTGTTGTTTTTAGAGAGAATAATAAGAAAGACGTCTACAACAAATTTTGAGACTATTATTAATGGATAGTGCAAGGCGCCGCTTTGGATAGTTCTTGGAATTCAACCTGTCAAGTACCGACGATTGAGCAGGTTCTTGGCTATCTACAGCTGTTATAGCTTATCACAACTTTTCTCAACTTTCTGTTCTACAACAATAAAGCGACGCTGTTTGCTAATCAAAAAAAGTTCCACAAACTAGTGTGATAAAGTTTTAAAAACATCAAAACTAAAGAATTCACGTTGTTTTCTGTATTGCGCTTTGCGGAAGTTGCAAGTTTTTAAAAAAAAAAACAAGAAAGACGAAGTTCTTTCATTTTTGCAACCCTCACCGTGCTAAGTTTCAAAGCCCCAAGTAATTCCGGATTTTGTATCATCCACTCAGTTTTTTTTGTTGTCACATGGTCATTTACTAAGAGGATTTTTGTTTAAATCAGCAAACCCCATTACCTTTCTGAACAACCCTATTAACTTGTTCACAGAAGTATGTGTGATTACGAAATTTTACTTTTATCTAAAATCATAGGGATGGATAACGGTGATTTGGAAGTTTCCAAGAAGGAATTTCTTGGAAAAAAAAATTTAGCAAAATTATTTTGAGAGCGCAGAGGGAAATCACCTCAAGTCGGAATTATTAGACCACAGATCCAATTTTTGGTGAAACCCGATTCTTCTTGTTGGAATCAAAACTTCCGTTTTCCTCTTCTGATTACGCGTCTTTCAGCTGGATCTCTGCGACGGACGCCTTCTAACGGACCGAGTTGTCGCCCGGCGCAACAGCGAGACATACGTCGCTTCTCACAGCCAAGACGACCAATTTTCCTCCTTGTAGCCCCCGGTAAACCTGGTTATGGCTGACAACGTGTAACTTCAACGTGTGTGTGTGTGTTTTTCTCATTTAATTTTGATAAATTTCCATCATGATATATTCTTGTCTTGCTGAATATTCCAAAAAAAGAAAAACCGTCGAGAGAAAATCGATGAAGTTGTTTATTTTTTTATTAAAGTGTACAAGAAAAAAATTATTATGGTCGGTCCAATTGACACAATGGAGCTTTTGGCAGAGCCCCGACAGGTAAAATGTTGTGTTCCTTTAGACTCTGAAATAATGAAACAGTTGATGTAGAGTAGAAATGAAAACCGTTTTCATGAAGTCTGAGACGTCGTCGATGTGTCTTCGTTTAAACTCATCGGTGTTGCGCGCAAAAAAACATGATATATTCTGGAAAAAAATCAATTTTTTTCAATTTTTTTCTCTTATTATCTTTTTCATTACATTGCTTTAAATCACAAACTTTTTTTATTTTCAAGTTAAAATTTTGGTGGTATGAAAAAAGACCTGGGAAAATTTGAACGGTGACTTTTCAAATTTTTTCATGTCATTAGGGAACTTTCCGACAGAGAAGCACCCGAAGAAAGGTTCCCTCGCGGTTTGAAAAAAATCGGAAAAAAATCGCTTTGAGATTCAGATAAAAAAATTAGTACAAAATGTTGTGAATATGTTATGAAAAAGTAAAGATTGGGAGATTGTGATTATAAAATGTGGAAAAAAAAGGGTCTGGAAAATTTCTCATCCTTTCCTATTTTTTTTATCCCATGAAAAAAAGTTTTTAGATCAAAGTTTGCTCTGCATACTGTTAAAATCTCTTTCAAGAATTTTTGAAATTTTAATAGCTTTAAAAAAATTCCATATGTATTTGAAAAATTGTATTTAAATACTCTTTCGAAGTTGTCATAGCTTTTTCTTGAAATTCGATTTCTAGTTCTTACCTTTCGCGTTCTCAATGCGCAAACTGTTTTGGTCGGTTACATAAAATAAAGAAAAGTTACCCGCAAGCATTTTCTCCAATAGTTTCAGCCAAAATAATGTACTCATATCGATCGGACTCCGATGGACCAGCTTTCACCAAACACACTGAATAATTATGTTTAAACTTCCAAGAAAACTCTAATAACTGTTAGTTCTGTAAAGATTCGTGTCGATTTGCATCACATCTCCACTGATTGCGACTGTTCCTTTCATCTGAATTTTTGATCTTTTCATTAGCTCAAGGATTCATAACTAAATAACCTCATGTAACTCGTTTCCTTCGCCTTTTTCGCGGAAGAAAAGGTTGACTTTCGCTCCATGTTTCCCTTTTTTGCCGACTAAATTAGTGAATATATTTTCTCACCACGATTTGTAACATTTGAACCTTCCAGACCAACACAGGAAACTTTCTTCTTCGACATTTTAGCGGTGTGAGAAGCTGAGTGAATGTCTTCAAGGCTCATGACAGTGCCAAAAACTTTGTTCAAACTTTTTGGATTTCCGTATATCTTAAGAAAAAAAAACTTTCAAAGGAAAAACGTTTTTTTTTCACCTGAGTCCAAGCGCCCTGGATCATGTTGGCTTCCAAAGGAATGCACTGATCGCACGAATCGCCAGTGGAACTTTTCGTTGTCCTCTTGGGCTTCATTCTTCTGAAATATCGTCATCGAAAAAAGAAGTGCTTACGACCTTCGGTTTAAGTTTTTGAAACTTTGCAAAAGGGTTAATCTTCTGGCACGAAACTACAAAACCTTCATATTTTTGCTTTCTATCATGTTTTCTTTTAGGCTCCAAAAAAACTTAGTGATGTTTTGAAAAATTTTGGTCCCAAAGTCTATTGAAGTATCAGGATAGAAAAAAAATTGATTGGGAAAAAGAAGTACCCTTTCAGACCATCCATTGTGCGGAAAGGTCCTTTTTCAATAGCCTTCTCTCTTTGTTTGGTCAATTGTCTCTTGAGCTCGCTGGAAATAAAATCAAATTTTGAAAAATTTGTTTCCCGAAAACCTCAGAGTTGCTCTTTCATCAGCAGATAACTGCGTTACGTCATCTGGAATTTCGATACCGTAACGATCTTTGAAATAATCTTTCAGGTGAGCGTCGCTGGTGATGACCTCATCGTCGGCGTAGGCTGAATTCTCTGTAATTGAGAAAAACTTTGGCTCTAACCTTTGTTGACTGGAACCTTCATAGTCTTTGCGCCACGCATTTTTGCTGTTAGAAGCTGTAAACAATAAACTTCAATAAGATTCGGAAAACAAAAATTTTTTGTTTAAAAATTTCCCAAAGTTTTTTATTCGGTGTTCGATAGCGCAAAAATATTGTACGACTTTTAGAACTACCGGAAAAGCTCGAAAAACGTTTCTAATTTTTGAGGTTATCATGTATTAGAGAGATTTTTTGAACAAAGATTTGCGTGGTTTTGTCGTGACTTTTTTTTCCTTCTGAAGTCGAGCAAAATCTTAAAAATTTTCCTATCTCAAGAAAAATGCAAATCGATCAAACTGATCAAGGTGTCAAATCGATCCACTCACCCGTCCTCCAACTGTATTGTCATTGTTAGCCGGGATTTCTTCTCCAAGATTATAAGACTCTTTCATTTTCCGAATTTGCTCGTTTATAACTTCTTGCTGTTGTTTTTGCATGAGAAGCTAAATGAGGAAGTTATAAATAAGATCAAAAATCCATTTTCCAACCGCCGCGCCAGCTTGATGGTCAATCATAGCCTGTTGGTACCTTCTTTGTTGGTCAAGGTATTCCATCTGCTTCGCGCTGTAAGTGCTCAGTTCGGATTGATGTTTCGAGAGTTCCTGAGAAAAATAATTCTAAAAGCCGCTGCGTTTGAAAAACCGCAAGGTAGGCTTGATTTCTGACGGCGTTCACTGCTTCTGGAGTTCCAGGACCGTTAGCCAAAAGATTCGGGAAATCCATTCCTCCTAATGCGCTGCCAGGGGAAAGGCTTTGTGTCTAAAAAACTCTTCTATGTGAAAAACCGAGAAGATGGTGAATGTGAGAGTTTTTTGAATAAAAATGCAAGATAAATAATGTGGAGAAACTTATGTGAACCTCCGATTTTCACGCCTTTTGAAGACAGCTGATGCAAAAAGGTTCGAAAAATTTAAAAAATGATCAGAAGTCTAACCTGCGGAACCAATGACCTTTGAGCAGGCATCTGAGATTGGTAGGCAAAGGGGTTTCGAGGTGAGTCGCCCGTTTGGCCGAGTTGTGGCAGAGCATTGTACTCAGAAAGCACTTGCCCAGCTTAATCAACACATTTTACATTGAAAAGATCAATTGAAGGATACGTGAATAAGATTCCAAGCCAGCAGATAATGGATTGATTGGAGCTCGGCGAATTTCTGTAGGCGGCGGCTGTGTGGGCTTCTCGGTTTTATCAGCTCGAGTCATTTCAGGAAAAACTGTCTTGACAAATGCTCCAGCTAAGTTCACTGCCAAACGGTCGACCACTGCAAATTTACCTCTTAGTTTTTTCTAATTCTGTTTTTATACCGGTCCTTAAATTTCTTCAAATTTGAACTGCACTCCATCTATGACGGTTTGAAACAGTTGGAATTGTTCATTTTTTTTCAATTTTTTTCGAAATATTTTTTTCTGAAAAATATGCTTCATTAAAACTATTTTCCTATTGTTAGGGACAGCCAACGATTTCCGTAAAAAGGAAAAACACAATGGAACAAATGCATTGATCATATAGAGCGTGAAAACGAGATTCAATACAAAAAAATGTTTCGGAAAATTCAATCGAAAAATCTGAAAAAAATTATAAAAAAGGGCGTTCCGAGAATTATTTTTGACTCGAAAACTATTAAGGCGGGGTTGCATGGGTGAAGCAATAAATTCAACTCACGCGCGCCTCAAATCCCTGGTTCTTTTTCGAAAGAAATAATTTTTTTTCAATTTGCTTACTGTATTTCCATCGAAAGTAAAACTGACTCAAACAGTTTCAACGTGAAGAAACAACAACAAAAACATTAAAACTGTTCTTGAAATAATTTCCAAAAGCGTTGCGACGCGCAAATTTGTTCTTTCCGCATGCACCCCCTCGTAGAACTGCATACGCTTTTCTTTTTTTTTTTAGCAGCTTTTTAATTTACCCAAACTCAGCCAAGCTTCATTTTTCAAGTTTTTACTTCCAAAAGAAAAAGAAGTTGGTCAACTACATGTTTCATTGCGTCCAATGCTTGTCAATCAATTTTTAAATCCACATGGATAACTCCCATCCGTTCAAGCATATTCGCATAGATTCTTCGTTATCAAATCTTTCTTCAATTTTTCTTTTTAAAAGTACAATATGCAATGTTTGCAACAAGTTTTTAAAAAGAATCATATGGATGTCACTAGAAAAGTTGCTTTTTCATAAATATATTGCTTCAATAAACTTTCTCCGCATTTTAACTTTGAAATACAGAATCTAGGTTCAAAATAAAGTACCGGCCGACCTTATTTTACCTAATTAGGATTACTAGGCCTGTAAAGTTCAACTCAACTCCAAATAGTCATCAATACACCTCCAAATAGTCATCCCTAAACTTATAAAAAAAAACAATAAAAACTTTTCTCGGCTGGCGACGCGGTTTCATCGTCCTCTTCGCTGGCATCTTTTTTTGCTAGTACTTCGCAGATGGTGACGGATAAGAATACCAAGAAGACCACCTTCATGATCGAACGAGACAGCGGATTCGATAAACGAAATCTAGACTTCTCTCGTGGAACAGCGAAAGAGAAAGGGAATCTGACCCAAATGAAAATGAATCCGCCCGTCACTGGAAAGTTCATCAAACCTGTTTGAAACAATGCATCGTGATATATGCACTTTGAGGAAGCCTATTTTAATTACTTCAAGAAATTTACTTCAAAAATTGTAAAAATTTTTGCTGCGGAACTTTAGATGTTCGCTTTGTGCTGTTAACTTTTTGTCAACTCCAAATTCATTCAGTCTTCAGGAAAGATTCCCTGCGGAATCATGGAACAAGTGAAGAGCTGTGGTCGGTTTGCGTATCAGTCCTTGATCAAGAAAGGCGCGTAGAGCATCTCCGTTTGCCAATTTTGTTGCTTTCAATTTTCCTCAAAAATAGTCAGGTTTTTATTTAATTTATCAGATCAAAATATCTGAATCATTGCAATAGTTAGAAATGAGAGCTAAACTTTAAACAAAATTTAAATATATCTGCTATCCACACTTCAAAGGTATAATATCGTTTGGAAGTTTCTACAAGAATTTCGTGCGCACTTTAAGGCTGTTCAGCGTACTGAGAGAGTCGTAGGCAAATCATAAGGTTGGTCTGACGTTCATTTGAATTATTTGAATACATATTACTTGAATACATACACTTATATATAAAGTGTGTATTTTTTTCAATTCAAACTCCTTTCTCTTGTTCTTTCTGGCCACGTGCTGTCTTTTTTCTATGAGTTGTATTGCTTCAAGTACAAAAAATGTTTGCATTGAAAAGAAAAGTTTTGCATGGGAGTCGGAACATGCAAACAAGACAACCTGTGTGAAGAACCGATTCTAAGCGCTCAGAAACTTTTTCTCATTTTTCACTCTGAACGTTTTGGAGAATGACTGCTTTTTTACTCCAACTTCTGATTTCCATATTCTTCATACACGGTTCATTTTCACAGTCGTGCGCTACGATAGGATGCCAAGGAGGCCTTCAATGTGATTTTAATACAGGTTTGATTTGAAAACCACTTTTTTGACTAAAATATGGAGACACCATTTAGGAATTTCTTTGAGAAGATTTGTCGTTGAGTTTCTGAATATTAAAATTTTCCACAGTTTCATCCTTTATGTTGTCCACTTACATCCTTGAACGAATAATCACCAAAGTTTAGATGCAAAAAAATCCGAAATTCTCCGTCTGAGAAGTTACAATCAAAAATTATATGCAAAGTTCGAAGGTTCTTGCTTCAAATCGTTCGTTTTGAAAGTAGTTTAAAAAAATTTTTTTCACATATTTTTTTGTTTGTTTCAAAAAGCTGTTCTAGATTTACAGTGTTCAATAAGAAGATGAAAATTTTTTCTAGCCTTTCGGATTGGCTCCGCAGAGCCACAAGTCTTCTTCTTAATGATATTTAGCTGTAGTTTGTCTGTTTTGTGACAAGTAATCAAAAAAAAAATGGCTGCGCCTCATAAAAACGTAGCTTACAAAACTTCCCAAAACTTTACGATTGCTTTTGCGAAAATGTATCAGCAACATGCTTGTGTTTTTTTGATTTGTTATAAAAATTAGAAAAACGCATTAAATAATAGAATTTAAAAAAATTTTTTTGTCGGAAATAGTGAAAAATTAATTCAAAAAAATCGTGCGGCAGCGGGTGAACCGTGAATTTGAGCCTTCAGTTGAAGGCCGCGCGCGCGACTTTATTGACCATAACTTTTTTCTTACTAGGGAACTACTCGGACTCGGTTACGCGTTTCGAGTTGAAACTTTGGTGGTTTACAGACCCGGGTAAGAGTATTTGAAAACAAGAGAGACTATCTGCTAAACCCCATAGGCTTCTGAGAAAAAGCTTTTTGAAAACAAACAGTTTAGGCTAGAAAATTGTCAAATTTTTGCTTTCCTCCTTCTTCTGGCTCGATAAAAGTTTTTTAGAGTTTATCGTAGCCGAATCATTGGCGATTGTATTAAAATATAAAAGAAGGTAAAAAGCAGTATTCTGGAAATTTTTAGTCCTAATTTTCACATTTTCTACTAATTTTTTCTTAGTTCTATATCGGGTTTAACAGGTATTCTCTCTCTAAGTATTCTCACTTAGGTCTATAAACCCCTAAAGTTTGAACTCGAAGCGCGTACCCGAGTCCGAGTAGTTCCCTAGTTAGTGAACCTTTTTTGAAAACTAAACGGATTCTAAATATAGACAGACTCATCTATGAAACACTGTAAATAACATATTTTTTGGATCTTATCGAAAAAATGACTTGTGGTCCCCTTTGGATTAACTTTTTCGCGGTTTACTCGGGGGTTTTATTGAAATATTTGAGAGAATTTTCAAATTCCTTTTGTTTCATTTGAACACAAAAACTCTATGCAGAGACAAACGTAAGAAAACAATATATTCAGGAATTTGTCGACAATTCCGATCGGCGTTTACTGGTCCTTTCCTAGTTCAGTGTGGTACTTGTCCGGCAGGAACAACTTGCGATGGGAACACGGGAATTTGCAGACAGTTCCGTACAGCTGGACAGATTTTTTAATTGGGAAAGTTGTGATTTTGTACTGCATTATACTTATATGAAATTGTATCTACTGCTTTGAAAAGTCTTGAAGGAAGTTTAAAAGAACAGGCAGAGTAAAAAACTTTTTTTGTGAAGGTCTTCGAAAGGCATTTTCGCGTCTTTCGTAGATCATTTCAAATGTTCTGGGGATGGAAAAGTTTGAGTAAAATGAGAACAATAGATGATCCGTGGTCTTCGGAAAGAGAAAAATCGGTTGAACAAGGAAAGCCGCTCGGGTGAGGCTGATGGCGTTCCGCGATATCCCAAAGTCCTTCTTCAGTTCTTTGCCTCGACTGTTTCCCCTTACTGAAAATTTTCTCGTCCATGTTTCATTGAACTTCAATGACTTTGGAATGGAAATTTTCTTTGTCTATTCTTTTTCTTTATATTTTACTGCGAGCAATCTGCTTTGATTGGGATTTACTCGAGTAAGCGCGTTTTTTTGAACTTATTTATGTCAATATATCGTAGCTTCTTTTCTTTGTAATGAACTTATTCAATAAAACGATTTATGAGATAAATTCAAATATTTCTGCAGAGAGCGAGATGAATTTAATTATCATAGAATTTTTTTATCTTTATTTTGTACAAAAAAACAAACAAAAAAACTTTGCCAGCGTGTATTACTCAACTTTCATCGAGCACAATGCCATCAAGCCGCCTACTCAAAAATTTTTTTAATATTGGTTCTTTAAAATTACTCAGTTCAAAAATCGGAATTTGTTTTTTTCTGGGAAGAATGAAAAAAAGATCTAAAAACACCTACGTTTATCAGTTCAGGGAGCGATCGAAAATAGAAAATATTCCGTTAGATTGTGCTCCTGTTGTCAATGGAAGTGAATATCCCAAGCCGATATTGAGAGCCAAGTTATGGACGCACCATTTCGACTGGTACGAAGATCAGATCTTCAAAGCGAAAAATATGTGAGTTTTTTAAATCTTCGTCTCTCTGAAACCATTTAGCATATCTCTCAAATTTTTGAAATCGTGTTCAGTACCGTGTAGTGAGTTACACAATTTCCTTTCAATACTTTATGAGCGAATGCTGGAGAAAACGGTCTGATAACAAAAGGAACGTCAAGTAGATATTTTCTAAAACTTTTCGCCCTTCTGGAAAGCGATTACCTGTCTTTCAGACACGCGTGTACTGAACGGAATTAGACTTCTCCACATATTTCTGAAGCCATTTGAAAAAATTTCACTACTTCCATTTTCTAGTTATAATCTAAAATAGTCTCTACTATCAAAAAAATTTTTTTATAGACTGATACATTAAAAAAACACCCATGTTAAAAAAATTCAATTGAAAAACAGCTGCAGAAAAAAAGTCTATTTATTCGTAAAATGGCGTTTTCACAATCCACATAATTGTAGAGCCACCAAGTTTTTGTTGTTCTTCTAAAAAATTTACCGACTATTTTCTCTCTTTTTTTTGGCTCAATATGTTGGTTCAACCTTCAGCAGGTAAGTAAAACAAGATGTTGCTAAAGAAGTTAGAAAATTGTTCCATTTTTTTTTCTGAATAGGAGCCAGATTACGCTGTGACTTTGAAATAACCTTGATTTTGGCCAAAAGCTCATCTTTCAAACGGAGAAAGTGTTGCAAAGGCAATAAGAGAAGTTCAATATTCATTTAAAATTAGAAAACGTCAAAAAAAAAAGAAAAAGTTTGAATTGAATGGTAAAAATGCCATCGAGTTTAAACTAAAATCGGTCTCAAAGATAGTATTGGTTTGAGATAGTTTTCAAATAAAGTTTTTTTAACACTAGATTAAAAAAGGGAATGCTTGCAGTAAACGAATTTTTTTAAACTTCTCTCTGAAAGTAGAGATAACCCAAAAAAATTCTGATAGCTGTATTTATTTTTTTCTGCTAAATTTTTTTAAAGACATTAAAAAAATTTATAGTTTTTTTGTAATGTGAATCTCAGACTTCTTGGTACCTTCTGTCAATAACGCAACATGCCTAAAATGTTCAGATGTGCCGTAATGCACAAATATTTTGTGTTTGAACGCGAGCCGTTGTCCGAAGAAGAGCAGGACTTTCCTCTGGCCTACGGTATCGTTGTTTACAAAGACATCGTCCAGGTGACAAATCCTTACATTTGCTGCGTCAACGCACATAGTTTAGCTTCTTCTCGAGCTGAGTATTTTCTACCATCCGCAAAACACGTATTGTTTCACTGTCGACCAGGCTGCTACTGACCAATACCGTGATGCCATTATGAGAATAGCTGACTGCTTTCCTAACTTACATGCTTTTGTGGGTGGTGTTTCACTTTTTGAAAAAGACATTAATAGATAAGTTCTAAGGTTCAGAGACTAGCTTTTGTTTTTTGATCCTTAAAAGCCAAATTGAAGGAATAATTCAACGGTGCTTATCCAGGCATGATAAAAACTTAACGTAGGACTTTCAAAAAAGTTAGAGGTTTTTGATTTATTTTCTATTATTATAGCCTGTTTTTACCGAATTGAAAGGGCGGGACTTCTTTGCGCCTTTCTCGTCTCTCAGTGAGACTCTCATGTTGACGTGCTGTTCTCATGTTTCTCTGACCTCGCCGGTGAGGGAACAGAGAGACTTATGTAGATACTCGAAAAAAATCAAGTCGCGGGGGACGGACCATATTTTGAACGATAACCTCATAGGTTTTTGAAAATCGCCCTCACAGTGCCAAGTGGGGAACGTTTCTGGAATGCCTAGGAAATCTTCAAGAATCGCCCCTCAACCAATTTTGGAGAAAGCATTTATCTACAATATCAAAAAAAAAAACAGAATAGGTATCATATTACGAATTATGATCCAGTTTTTCAGGCCGGCGCAAAATCAGATTGGGGATCGTTTGGGATTCTCGAAAACGTCTATACGTGCTTTTCTCATCTCACAAATACTGATCACCCATGGAAATACTATCAAGTGAGCTTTCTTTCAAAACGTTTCGCAGAATACCTTGATTTCAGTACCTCGCTGGTTTTGATTTTCCCATGCGTACAAACTTGGAAATGGTGCGAATTTTCAAGAAACTCAACGGCTCTTTCAACACAGATTTCGATGAATTCGATAATGACAGATACAAAAACATGGAAGTGAGTGAAAAAAGTTGAGCAAAAAAACGACAACAATGAACTTTGAAGGGAGTTATGCCACCTCTTCCTTTGTACAAATCAAGCATGTCGGTGGCAGTTCCTCGTGAGGCGGCCAATTTTATGATTTCCAACAAGAGGGTCAAAAAGATGTTGCGGTATCTTCGCACAACGTTCATTCCGGATGAATCATTCTGGTCTTCTATTGCCGGAGCTCCTTCTTGTAAAGCTGCTTCATATGAAATCGTTATAGTTTGAATTTCAGTACTTCCTTTACCGGGATCGATCCGAGCCCGAGACGTTCTTTGGTTTCGCAAAAGTTTTTTCAGCGTCCACCCTTCGGAGTTGAACACTATAAACTCGATTGGTACCTCGTTCATAGGACGCTATCAAGTGTGGGTTTGGCAGAAGCCATGCAACGGTAATGCAAAACCGAGTAGATTCGAACTGAAATTTTTAAAGGAAAGATAACAAACTGGTCATGCGTGTTCGGCGTTGGAGACATTGAGGTAATCGCAAAAAGGCCAGAACTTGTCGCTCACAAGTTTTATCTCACCCTCGAGCCAGCTGCATCGTTATGTCTTGTCAAAGTGAGACTCCAAACGAAACGGTTTTTCAGAATATTTTGATATTTCACAAATTAAGGAAATCCGAAGAAGAAGTCGAGAGAACACAGATTTTGATGCCAGAAGCTACGCCGAAATGCCTACTGTCGAACTCAACGCTGGAAAATCCATTACACAACTGAAACACCCCGATTGGCTTGTTCGAAGTTCTTTCTACAATCCCGCATACGAGCATTTTACTTGACACAGTATTGCAAATTCATACAATCAAAGTTATGCATAAAGTTTAAAGATTTGGAATCGAAAAATTAAACTAGATATTTGACAAATAAACTTAGAGTTATAATGGAAAAATAAATTCAATCAAAAAAATATGTCAATGCGGTTTTAGGCTGAAGATTAATAATAAAAATTATGACGAGAATCAGCATTTGATAACTATAAAAGGAGACGGAAGAGTTTAATAAGGCAAAGGGAAGACATGTGGTGTGGGTTGATATGCAATGAAGGCTTAGGCCTGTTTGATAGCGAAGTCCGGTTCCATAAGGCCACCCATCTTCTGCGGATGGTAGAGACTTTCGTGAGGACCTTCTTCCATGCCAGGAGAAGTCGACTTCGTGGACTGACCAGTTAAATTGTAGGCACACTTAACATTATTGTTTTGTTCTAATTTGAAAGCTTATTCTTCTCTCACCATTTCAAGGTAATCGTTGTAAAGGCGCTCAGTGACTTCTCTAGCGACCAGGGCTCCAGCACGACACTCAATGAAACGCAGAAGCAGCACTCCGTCTGAAATCACGAACATTATCACAATTTTTGAATGAATTGATTACCTGGGCGAAGCGCGTGCTGCGTGAAAGAGCGGAAGCAACGCTTATGGCGGTAGTTGTCCGTCTGGTCATCGTCGATCAAATCCTGCATCAAACCGTTTATTTCTGCTGAATATTTTTTTTGTACCTTCTCACGTCCAAGAAGTTTCTTTACAGAACTTTCTCTGCTGAAAGTGAAAGCCAGACGGTAGAAGGTATATGCGGTATTGATGAACGTGCAGAGGAGAACCGCCAAAAGCCACAGCCTGCATCGAAATCAATTATGACTTCAGAGATAATTAAATTCAGCTCACCACAAAAACAGGTAAATTTTCTCGTTGAACAAGTTAATCATGAGCACACACTGAACTGTGTAACGATGGATATTGGCCAAGCGACGGACTTTGAAGTCGCAAAGCGTGACGCGGGGGAAGACCCCGGACTCAGACCATTCTCGGCCTTCGTAAAGATCAAGGAACGTCTGAATATGTTTATTGGGGACATATCTTATTAAAGTATCATTCTTGTACTTGGAAACCCCAAAGAAGGTGGTCGTTGCCGAGGAAAACCGTCATGATGTAGAACTGGAGGAGGACGTTACCAAGATACAGTAGCTTGATCATCAGGTAGAGCATGGAGATATATGAGCCCAAGCCCGATCCAACTCTGGAAAATGACCAAGCTAGATAAGTTGTGAAGTAAAAAGAAATATGAGGGTCACGGATAAATAAATAAAAAACCCACTGCCAGCAGCAGATGCGAGTAGTTCTGCGGTTGACACTCTTGAACTCGAGGCATTCAGAAATATAAGACGCTAGCTTGGCCAAGGCCTGGCTACGCTGTTCGGAAGGATAGTTGCGCAGTTTGTGAGCTTCGTTGACAACCGTCTCGAGATCGAGGCCTGAAGTATTTCGAAATGTTATAGAGATACGCTGCTGAAACTCCTACCGCTGTGCTTGTGCATGATGTTCCATATCCAGTTGGGGATGAAGAAGAGGATCGCTTGGATGGCCAGAGTGATTGGCACCCACTGGTAGTAGCCAATCTCACGCTGCAATTTATTAGATTTAGTTCTTGGTCAACTACTATTCTGAAAAAAAAAAAATTCATTTTGTCTATTACTCTCGCTCATATAATTTTATTTTTTTGAAATGGTCACACACTGGCACAATCTTAATAATATATTTTTGCTATTCAGATCAAAAAAATTGTAATCAGAAAAACCAGCAACTGCTTATCAATTTCAAACATAGCAAGGAACTTCTAAAAAAACGAGGAAATTTTGAGTTTTGCGCGTTCCCGCTGCCGACAACATCATTTGCGCTCCACCGATACACCGTAAACCCTGCAGACCAATAACGCTCCCATCTGCAGAGGATGAAAAACGCTCTCATTGGCGACTAAATTTGTGCGCTTCGAACAGATGTGAAAACGTACGCTGCTTCTTATGGACCGTTTTTCAAAACCACGCTTGTAGTCGCTTTTCCCAAAGAAATGCTGGTTTTCCGAATTATTACCTCTTCGCGAGCGCTGCTATCGCCAGGAATCTCCTCATGGAACGGAACGAAGAACGTGTTCTGGATGAAGCAGTAGTCCTCAGCATATTGTTCCCAACCGCCTTTGAACTCCATCGGCATCCAGCACTGGATCGGAGAGCCAACGTATCTGCAATCGAAGAGTTTTCATCACAAATTCATTAATTTTCCACTCACTGCTTAGCTGAGACCATGATAGCGAAAAAGGCAAGGATCGAAGCTGTGTAAAAGTAGTTGAGCCTGTCAACGGGATCATCGAAGATCTGGTCTTGGAAAACCCGGAACAACAACTGCTCGATGAGCGGTACCCCAATCATCTCTGAGAAAACGTTATTTAACAATAGTAACGGGTATGAAACAAGAAGAGAAATAAGAGCGACCTGGCTCTGCGACGCGATATGAAACAAATGGCGAGAATCAAAAACAATGACTAATGCACTCAGCTCCATTAGAGAACATTGATTTTCTGGAAAAGGCTGATCTAAGAAAACTCGTGATAAGCGTGAGAAGAAATAAGATAGAGAGATGGAAAAAAGTTTCTACCAACTGACGAAAATTCATTCTGGTAGTCAAAAAAGATATCGGCGAGAAGGATCAGAAATTTCAGAAATTTTTTTCTTATTGCAGAAAACAGTGTAAAAGAAGATATTTTCAAAAAACCTAAAAAAAAAGCTCATTTCAGAATTGTAATGAATAATAACATGAAAAACAGTGTAGAAATAGGAGATCAAAGTGGAAAAAAAAGAGTAGAAATAGAATTTGAACAGAGGCGCAATGAACCAAGTGAGCACAGAAGTAGCGAGGAGGACATCAGGAGCCACCGGTCAGTAGAGGAGAATGGAAAAGAATGATGCAAATGGTAAGGGACCACGGCCCATACTGGGTTAGCGTCGTTGGTGGGCGCGCAAAATCTGGCGGGTCATAGGCCGAGTGCGTTGACCCCACCGAGGGCTTGCCGCTTGCCATTTGCTCCTCCAACAGTTATCGATTTTCTTCTTCAGCTCGTCCGGACCCAACATGGTCAGAGCATGCTTGACGCAACTCGGAATGATGAAGTTCTGAGTTGACTCCAGTTTTTATCTCTAGGTCAATTATGAAACTTTCAAGTTCAACATCGAAAACTATTAGAAAAAAAAACCTCAGATTTTTAGGAGTCAAATCATCAAGGATAAAAAAGTTAATAGAAAGTTACCAATACCTGGCATTTCGAACTACGGATCCTCCCAGTCTTGTTTTGCCAACGGAATACATTTCCAAAAAACAAACAAAAGAGATTGTGAATATTCCGCATAATCAAGGACTATGTTTGTTTTCAAATGCAAAACATGTAGACCAATTTTTTTCAAAGCCTTTTTTTGGAAAAAAATATTTAGAATAAAGAAATTCCAAATTTGACAATTATTCTCACTTCGTTCAATTTTTTTCAAGGCACATGAAATGTGGAAAAAATTTTAGGATTCTTGAGTTTTTTTCCGGTAATTTACTAGAGTAATTTGTTTACTAAAGGAATAATTTAAACTATCAGTCGAGGCAATCACAAAGCAGATGCGTACCTAAAACAATAGAGGCTCAAAGAACAATTGCCTGTCAGAGAAGAGCGGCGAAGAGCAAAAGTAAAAGTGTGAAAACCGCCGCGCGGATTAATAGCTCCGCAAGCACAAAGTTATTAAAAGGAGACGCAAAGAGTGAGCCCCAATGTTTGATTTAGGTCAAGATACCTAGCGGCAAACATTCGGTGATTTGCATAAGCGAATTAGACTGAAGCCGTGAAAAGTCCGGCGCACAGTTCCACTGCCGTAGCTGCCAGCAGAAAAAAGAAGAGCTCAAGAATTTGATCAGAAAAATCCTGATGAAGATGATGCAAACATTTGATGCTCTCAACAGTGATACCTACGCAATTCGTATTGACACACACTTATCGGAAAGCCGACAGAAAAATCCGCGTTAATTTGAGTGTCCGCCTAGATTTAACTAGAAGATTCACAAACGGGACAGCGAGATCCTATTATTGATTGATAGAAAGTCCTGAAATTCTGAGTTCGGTGTTGTCTTTGGTGTGCGAAAAGCCTCTGACGCTGTGAGTGACAGCACCGCAAACAATGAAAATAAAAAAAAGCGGATTGTACTACGAAAACGCTTTTCTTCATGCTCAAAAAGTGTGTATTTTACGGTTATCTCAAAACTTCTTACCTTTTTTAATGTGATAACTTTTGAAAGGGATGTAATTTCTAATCAGAACTCCAGGGCAAGTATTGTGAACTTTTTTTGACAGACGATTTATGGCAAAGCCTTTGAATTATAGTAATAAGTTTTCCGAAAAAAACCCTGCTTTGTTCAATTCAAATTTTCTCACGATATTATTCCTAACTTCTATGATTCATTTTTTTTTCGTAATCGCGTATACCGAGATAAAATAAAATTTCCTTCCATCACGGAAAAATCAAAAAAATATTACGTTTAAAAAAATACGTTCTTTGGACTTAGGACTTAGGACTATCTTACAGAATTTTTTTGTTAGCTTTTTTTCGGGATTTTTCGGAAGTCGGTTTTTTTGTTTGCAAAAAAATTTTTTTCTTTTTGATTTTTGAAATACAAGAAAAAAACGTTCCAACAATCCCTCAATTTTCAGTAATTGTAAATTTCGAATTTTTTTGATCATTTTTTTCAAAATAATAACTTTACTATTTTTTTCACGTCTCAAATAATAAAAAAATAAGAGTTAAGACAAATTTTTTTCCTTTAGAAAAAAATAAAGTGAGATTCTGTCTAAGATCTCTTCGTGAAAGTTTGCTCTTCTCGATCTTCTTTTTTTTTCAATCAAAAACCGTGGAAAAATAATAAATACTAATTTATGAGTGAGAAGCGTATCCGATGCCAGGGTGGAAATTGAAAAAAGAATCCTACTTTTCGTTATTCAAAAGTTGTAAAATCCATTAAATTCTCCATCCAAAACTCTAAACACGATACGCAATACGAAACAGCACTCGAGACGGCGGACATTGGTACCTATTCTGTCGAGAAGAACAATGAAGTCCAACAGAAGAGCAAGCAGTTGTGTGGCAAATACGCCGGTCCCTATGGCGAACGGAGGTCCGCGGCAGCTCACAAGTCGCGACGGTGGAATGGAAAAGAATGAAACAGATCGACGAAGAATGCGTTTCATCATTTCCCCGCCTCCGTGCCATTAGGCGTTTCAAAACAAAACCGTGATCCAGGTCTGCACCAAATTTGGCACCGCCCACAGCTTTTTTCGGCGTGCTGTACTGTCAGCTGATGACGCACTGCTAATCCAGATTTTTTTACTTCAAACAGTTACATTATCATGAATAAAGAGATCAGCAAGCCTGTGATTGAGGGAAATAACAGGGCCTCCACAATTATGGAAGCTAGATTTCAAAGACGTACTTTTTTCGAGTTCACAGTATTTTTTGATAATCCTACAAAAAAAAAATTTTTTTTTATGTTCCTTTGGAACTTTCACAGCTTTTCATATCTTCCGAGAAATGAAATTTGGAAGCAATAGCTCATCCTCAGACAAAAAAAGACGACCTCTTTACCGTCAAATCTAATCGTTCCAAAAAGATTTCAGGAATTTTCGTAGATAAATAATACAAAGTCCAAAGAGCATTTTTTCTATGAGTCAGTGTTTTTGTTTTGATTTTAAATCGGCGATTTATTTTTTGATTTTTGATTTATTTGTCTCACTTATGATAGAAATAGCTAGTGACTCACATAGATGCATATCAAGTCTGGAAACTCCTGCAAAAAAAAATATTTTCCTTGCAAAAATGATTTTCTATTCCACACATTGGTTTCAACAAGCAAAGGGAAAGGTGTCTGCTTGGAAACTTGATGAAATGTTTCTTAAAGACTTTGAAACACCCTGATCCAAAATAAATTGAACAGAGTTTCGTTGTACTTTCTGGCTTTTGCTAGAGTTATGACATTCCAAAAATTCCAAAAACTTCCATAGTTTTCAGTGCAATCGAAGAGCTAATATTTTTAGGCGTGACAAAAAATAGTTAATTATTGCCGTCTAATTTTGATAAAAGAGTTTTGAACTATTACTCAACAAAGTTCAATCATTTTCTCAACCGGATATCTTTCGCAGTTCTCTTGAAAGTGATAAAAATCATAAATTATTGCAAGAAGTAAATGAATATTTTTTGTTGAGCTCAAGTTGAATAACTCAGCACAGATGTCTAAAAAATCCATTTCACTTACCTCAGAGTTTGGAGTCAAGTCACGGCTGCCACGGCTTGATAAAAGACCATTTTTGATTGGCTCACAGCTCAGACAGGGCCCGTATCGTCACTGTTGTTTGTCTAAAACTTGAAAAATTTCCTGTTTAAAAGAAATAGGGAAAATAATAAAATTAATGGTTTCGCAGATTGTGAAACACCCCACAGCGCCTTCACCGTCACGAAAGTTTGATTTCACAAATGGCTTTCCTTTGCGAAAAAACGGTTTTTCATAAGAATCTCCAGAAAAAAAAAACATTTTTCTTCAAATCAAAAGAAATATTTCAAGCAGGAACTCGCACATCTTCTCATGTTTTCCGAGAAATGAAGTTTGGAAGTGATAGCTCATCCTCAGACAAAAAAAAAACGACCTCTGTACCGTCAAACTCAATCGTTCCTAAAAGATTTTGGGAACTTTCGCGAATAAATAATACAAAATCCAAAGAGCATTACTTTTCTATGAGTCAGTGTTTCTGTTTTGATTTTAAATCGGCGATTCATTTTTTGATTTTTGACTTATCTGTCTCACTTATGATAAAAATAGCTAGTGACTCACACAGATGCATATCAAGTCTGGAAATTCCTGCAAAAAAAAAACTTTTCCTCGCAAAAATGATTTTCTGCTCCCCACACTGCCTTCAACAAGGAGAGGAAAAGGTGTCTGCCTACAAATTTGATAAAATGTTGCTGGGAGACTTTAAAACACCTTGACCCGGAATAAAGTGAACGTGGTTGCTCTTTGCGGCTTTAACTGGAGTTATGACGCTCCGAAAATGTTGCTTGTCGGAATATTGAGAAAATTTCAAGTCGTAACACCAAAAAAGTTTTTTAGAGTGATGGTTTCCCATCTTCTGAAACTTGTCCCAGCACCTCCATCATTATAAAAATTAAATTCCAAACGTTTTATTCTATTGCGAAGATGATAATTGTTACAAAAATCCTCAAGAAAAGCTTTTTTTTTTGATATAAGCTGAAATATTTCAAGTTGGAATTTGTACAATGAAAAACGATCGCTCAAATAATTTTTTTACTTTCTAAATAAAAAAATGACGAGCATAAATAAAGAAGCTAGAAAAAAAGTTGGGGATAAAGTGCGAAGATTCATTGCTGCTTAACCAATCAAAATGAGCCCAAGTGCAAACGAAATCAACAATACACAATCGCGCAAAACTGCTCCCCGTTTCCTTCTGGTATATTGATACAGTCTCAAGCAGTCCAAGCTTTCTGCGATTTAAAGAGGTATTGGTTGAAAAAACTATTTTTTCCCCGTTAAGAGGTTTTATGGTCTTTAGAAGTGTTTTATTTATTGTAAAATGAATAAACTGATGATGATGATGAAACTCTTCTCTAAATATTTTGTACTGGATACAAGCAGGAACTTCAAAAAAATATTTGAAGCCAAAAAAATGTTGATAGTAATTGTGAAAGACCTTAGAAATTCCAAAGCCCCTAGTCGATTTGTAATAATGTTTTTTACAGGGGTGAGCATAATTATTGCACGAACTTCAAAACTTTATGACTTATGGTCAAAAGAATTTTAGATGAAGTTAATAACATTTTTTTCGATTAGATATTGAAGATAAAACATGCAAGAAATGTTTGTATTGGTCTCCTTCGGCTTCAGACAGCTGAAAAAACGCTTTTTTATCTGGACGCAGGTTCTTGTCGTAGGTTAAGTCTTCGACAATGAGTAAGGAAGCTGGCACAGTTCCCAAGTTTAAGTTTCTCAAGCAGGCCTCTGTCTTCGAGTATTGTCAGAAAGTAAATAGTCGATAACTTTTTTCTCCAGTGAGCAGGTAAAAACGTCCCCTGGTTAGACTGAAGATTTGACAGGAATTGTCAAAACCGTGCTTTCAGAGCATAAATTAACCAAAAACACGGCTTCTTCTGAATGAAAAGGTTTGCAAAACGGCTCGGCTCATTTTTTTTTTGCTACTTGGTAGTTTCGCCCGTTCACAGAAATTCTGGAGAAGTTCCGCGTCCGAGAAAATATGACTTTGCTCTAGATTTCTCCTTACTAATTGCTTGCAACACTAGAAAAAAAACATTAGCTTTTTACGGTGTATTTAGGGACCGCAACCAAATTTTCAAAAAAATGTTCGAGCGTCAATTTTACTACGGTTGAATAGCTGCTTCAATTTACTATTCAAAACAGTTCAGTTTTTAAAAAAAGGTTGAAAACAAAAAAAGTTATGGTCAAAAAAGAAGTGAAAAATGTCGCGAAATTTAGTACTGAAAGTTTAGATTTTACACTTTTGGTCGTTCATTTCGTTTTCATATCGGATTTAAATTTTTTAGTAGTTTATTCCGGTTTTCAAAGTCATAATAAGTCATTAAAACAGTATAAAACCACAAGTTTGAAGAGAAAAGCTATTTTTTCATGAAAAATTAAAAAAATGGCCGCTGTGAAGAACGAACTCGCGATATCAAAACTGTATGCAAGCGCACTTGCGCTGCTCCACGTCCATCCCTTGGAGATGGGAGGCGTTCGCGCTATACACCACTTCACCTCAAAGTACAGCAATTACCGACTATTTTGTTTAAAAAAAAGTTATGATAGTTGAACAATTATTAGTCACGTTTGTTTGGACCACCTAAAAATGTTTTATTCATAAAGATTCTGTTCAAAATACCTCCCTTTTTAGGCGTTTTTTTGTTATTTTTTTAACGTTGGCTCCAAATTAACAATAACTAAACTTTTTAGGCACCGTTAAAAATTTATATTTTATTTTTATTTATTATTAAAAATTGAGATACGCTAATATTTACAATTACAATTTACAATTTACAATTTATTCAGTCTTCAGAGTAAGATGTAGAAGAAATCTCTGCTGAATCATGGTTTAATCGAAGAGTTAGTCGTTGGTACGGGTTGCGGTCCACAATCGTTGTGCAATACGTCCCGGAGTGACAGCTAGCGTGGGGGAATAATGTGGGCCCGTTGGTAGTACCAGCGAATAAACTGCTTCACCATGTTGGAACAGTACGGCGCCCAGCTTGTCCAGGGCTGACGGGCGTCGGAATATTATCTCATGAGAGAGCGGCAATGAGACCGACTAGTCGACGTGATGAAATGAGATAATAATATTTAGTATTGTGCTTTTACGAAAACATCAAACACAAAATCTAAAAAACCAGTGCATTTCACCTTCGCAAAAAGGGGCGTGGCTCTGCGGTCTCTAGGTGTATTTCTCCCTTTAAATCGGAAAAGAGACGGAGCCCCTTAAAAGTTGTATCAAAATGGGGTTAGTTAATCCACCTAGTGGTCTTTTTCCCTCCCTGCAACATCACCATACCATGTTGCAAAAAATAAATTGATTGAAAAGACCTATATTTAACAAAGCGTCTATGGTAGAGTTTATCTCTAAGAGCAATCAAAGTTATAATAGAAATAATTTTTTGTGCTCAGGATTCATCGATTTTTAAAAAACATGTGCGTTCAGTTCCAAACAGCTTCTTTTCCGGCGCTTTTTCTTACTTTTAACGTTGGCTCCAAATTATCAATCATTAAACTTTCAGGCTACGCACGAACTTTAATTTGTTTCTTTCAACTGATCTAACAAAGAGTATAAATTTCAATTTTCATTCTCAGAATCTTTTCTACGTTTCTGCACATTACATGATTATTTTGGATGTCTCATGCTGCAGATCTTTTTTTTTCTTCGAGCCATAAATTTTATGGTTTTTCTGAATCAATAGTTTCACAAGGTCATTAACCAAACTTCATTTTGGTATATTTCATTCTCAAATGAAAAACAGAAAAAGTCAGCAGATTCGATTGCGAACCGGGCAGACAGTTTTCTGAAGATTTCTCGCGACGCTCATTTCTTTTTAAAAGTGAAATTGCCCACTATCGAAATCGAATTCACACCTAATTTTCTCAAAGTACATCTTCACAAGTATAAAAATGCTGTGAAAGTGGGTCTCTCATGCCACGATGGATCTCCTCACAGGAGTTGTACCAGTTCTCGTTCGCCAAGCAGCTCTGAAACACTTCAGCAACTCTCTGTATCAGCAGCTAGAGCACGTTCATCTTGGAATTCTGCCGACCGGAGTCTTGGGACTTCATCCAGTAACCACACTTTACAATGGAAACACTTTCTCTGCTTCCGCGAGCGAGGTATTTTTTTTTTGATGATTCTAGCAGTTTTGATGATCTTAGCATCATAGCAACCTGAAACTCCTTAAAAATTAAAATTATGCTGGAAAAACTGTGCCATTCCGTAGACCAACACCATCTCAAAAATTCAATCTTGCAATTCGCAGCTCTAAACTTCGAGCTGTAAATTTGAGAGTTTACCAACGTATTTTCAGGTCCGTCATACAACTTCATACAAATGCCAGATAGACTTCCAAAACACCGAAGAGCTCAAAGTCGACCTGGGAGTTCTGAAAACGAAATTCGAAGACCAACCAAATTTCACCTTCGGGAAAACAAAAGACAATAAGCAATATTTTGTGATAGCTGCTCTGAAAGACGTTCAGGTTTTTATTTATATTCTTATTTTTTTTTGAACTTTTTTTGATGCATAATTCAAAGATGTTTTTGAGAAAGAAGTCTCAATAGAAGATCTCCTTTTTACGTGTGGAGCTCTGTTGGCGATCAAGCATGATCTACGTCATAAAGAGGTTTGTTTGCAACAACTCTAGGATAGTCTTTTCTGAAAAAATTTCAGATATTGCAAATTGCAAAAGTGCAACTTCCGATTGTGATCACCGAAAGTTTCACGGTCTGCCTCAATTTTCCGTCTGCAGATAACACGGAGATCGATATTTTCGACGAAAATATGACGCACTGCGGCTCCATCAGAGGAATCGAATACAAGCAAACGATTGCATGAAACTTTTATTTAACACAATCACAGCAGAAACTGAACTATTTCTAATGTCGAGCAACTTTTTAAAAATGAAAGCTTTGGTTCTTATCACGATGAAGGTCCGTATTCTGAAGTCTGATCATTCAATGAAGTGATTACAATAGTGAGTTTTGAATCATATTTCCGGCAAGCGAACGTCTATCTCAGGATACCGCTCACCTAAAACAAAGTATTATTGAAAAATCTGTAAAATAATGATTACCGCAACTGTCGTCATAGGAGTCGCTCGAACTCAAGAAAGGCTTTGAACCGCTGGGAATCAAGGGTAGTTGGACGGAATCTCGTTTTTTAGCACGCTTAGTTCCATTTCTAAACTCAAAATTCCAATGAGAGAGACTTTCGGAAGATGGTCTGAGTAATCTTTGGATTACTAGATTGAGATTTTGGACATCCCAGCCTGCACAGTTTTTAATATTCTTTAAAAAACTTCTTCGGTTTTAAAGTTTCAGAAAAGCTCCTTGGAACGATTTTTCGGTTTTTTTTTAATTTATCAGTATTACAAGGACTCTGAACGGTTTTCGAAGAATGTCTCATAGAAAAGAAAAAAAAAATCTTTTTACACACCTCTCCTCATTTCCCTGGATTTTTGGTAGCAGAAGGGAGTTCCACGAAGCTCCCGATTGCACGTTTTTCAGCGGCAAAAGATGATAATGAAACTGATTTTTAATCACTCGGTACTCTTCTTCTAACTTCTTCCTGTCGTTTCCTAAAAAAAATTGAGTGAGAGGTTGTCTAAAAATAGTCGTGCATTTTTATCTTAACTTTCGTTATTAAAAAATTTCAAAAACGATTGAGGTTTTTTTTGGCGTATAAATATAATGAATCAAACAAGGGCAGTTTTCAACCTTCCAATTTCCCGTCGATCAAACGGTCCGCTACAAGTTCGTATTTTTGTAACTTTGAAATTGATGTGTCTTTTTTCTCCATTATGAGCCCTTGGATCGCTAGGTCGTTCAGTGCAGCCGTTTCTGAAAGTTTGAACTTCAAATTCAGTTCTTTTTTACCTTTGAGAAATTTTTGATCGTATTCCAACCTTGTTTAAGAGTCAGATGCTATTGGGAGAGCTTACTTTTCAAATCTTGAAAATTTTGACAAGAAATCAGTTGTAAACACTGTATAGTTGTGGTTTTTTTAGACTTCTAGTTCTCAAAAAGACATCCAGCCTTGAGAGCCAATTGCTCATTAATTTTCTCTCGAAAAATTATTCTCTGAAGAGAAGGAATAAACAATGAGATGGGGAAACTGAATGGCTGAATAATGAGCTTCTCCTCTTTCAAATCGAAGCTGGGCAAACTTTCTGCTTCGATTGCGGACATTCTGACGAGAAGACGCACGACGTCTTGCTGTTCGTTGGTGGCGGCGAGAGCTCGCATGCGCGATTCCAGAGAACTCGCCGTTTCGGCGCCTTTTCTCAACGCTCTTTCGATTTTCGTCCGAGATTCTCTCAAGACGGCTACTCGGGTGCTCTGCAATCCAACAAAATACTTCCTGATAAAGGCCTACTCCCCGACCAGAACATTGCTGTCCGCTTTCAACAACTCTATACTCTCCGCCGGCTTGTCTCCTTGGTTGTACTTCTCCCAGGCGTTTATTATCGCACTTTTTGACATTATGGACATTTCCATCGCATAGGCTTCCTGGTTGACGTCCATGAGTTTTTCTCTAAAACCAAAAAATTTTGTTTTCAATTTATGATCAAAAACTTTTTCTCTTTGAAAACAAAATGAAATTCCTCAAAATTAGAAATCTTCAGAAAACTGCAGTTTTACACGTATTTTTTCCAAACGATTTGGATTGAAAACTGGAACGAATATATCCACATTTTAAAATTTCATTCAATTTCGCATTTCAATCTTCATAAGTTTCAAACTCTCAACCGAAAAAATTATTGACCAAAAGGTTTTTCAGGCTTGCAGTTTGAAAAAGCGGCTCTGTTGAAGAAGATGAAAGACATATATCTACTTTATATCTGTTTCTGACAATCGGAATATGAAAACTTTTTTTAGTCTCTCACCTCAGCTTCTGTTGTTTCTCTCCGAGTGCTATATATTGTTGCTTCAGATTGGAAAAACAAAAGATTGAGCGTTTTTGCGATCCTGTAATTTTTCAACATTAAAGGAGCTTCTAATCAGAAATTCTTTTTTTTTAAGAATGGGGACAATAACAGCTCTTTAAATATAGACGATGCAAGACTTTCGTAAGTTCAAGCACCTCGAATCTTCGAACCTTGTTGGAGTCGTTGGACTTGTTGGTCAGCCTAGATGGTTGTTGCCTTTCTTGAGCTGTCGATTGCTTCGATGTCACTGAATTTTTGAAATCAATAGGAATTCAAAACTCTGATATATATGATATATTTAGTCATCAAGAATCAGTCTAAAGTATTCTCACAGATCGGGCTCGTATTTTCTGAGTTCGAAGTAATAAAAAGAAGTAGGAAATATTTGCTGAGTGCATAGCGTCATGAGAAACTCAAAAAGGGGTGTCACAGATTTACAAAAAAATCTTGAATAACGGAATTCCTGGATTGAAAAAAAAAATTTCGAAATTTCTATCCAAAATCATTGCGAATAAAAATTTCGGTCGTATACCCGCGAAATTTGAACGGCCAATTCTGATTTTTTCATATCGCTAGGGAACTTTCCGACAGAGAAGTGTCCGACTAATATTTTTCCGACTTTATTTCTCAATAAACTCTTTGTTTTGAATCTGCTATATAAAGAAGGTAGTTGATTCATGATTGAAACACAAAGAAATAAGGAAAAAAGTTGATAGATGTTTTATAAACAAAAAAAATAAGGGAAACAAGTTGGAAAGGCATTCATCGTAAACTTGTTCGTCGGAAAGATCCCGAGCGCTATGAAAAAATCGGAAAAGTCGCCGTTCGAAAATTAGCTGGCTTTTTTTTCATACCACACGAAGTTTTTTCGTAAATTCCGAACAAAAAATTTTTTTCAAAGTTTTCCAATACAATTTCTCTCATCACTCATCGATTTTTTGCAAATTAGTTCTCGACTCTTGGAAACTTCCAGCTAAACCTACCTATCATGAAATATTGAACCCAAAACCTCAGACAGTTTCCTAGTCAGGAATACTTACAGGCATTTGTAGATGAAGAGTTTTTCAAAGGCTGGGAGTTGTACTCTTTTCTCAACCTCACCAAAGCTTCGGAATAAACTTGATCGGCTGACGCTGGCCGATTTTTCACCAACTATAATCATAAAACTGAGTTTTTTATTTATAAATTTCTTCTCGCCTTGTTAGTAATGTTATTTGCGCGAGAGGCATAGGTTAGGGTGTTGTACGATTCTTCGAAATTTGCGCTCGATGGGGTAACATGAGCAATCATCGCCGTTCGCGTGTTACCACCTGAAATTCTTGCATTTGTCCTTTTTGGAAAGTTTTTTTTCGAATATTAAAAAAAAATAAATCCCGAATAGTAGGTTTTGAATGTAAGAATAAGTAACAATGAATGAAGAATTTTCGAAAACTATATACTGGTATTCTGTTAAAAAAATTCAACGTCATTTGCTGATCAATTTCCGTACAATCAAACTTGAAGTCATTTTACCCAAAGAATCTTTCAAAAGACGTGTCAGCTTGCTGTCTCGATAATTGATGAACTTGGTGTTTTCTGAAAATTTTTGTGATTTGAGTAGATTATCTTCACGGATACTAGATGACAAGGAATTTATGACATTTCCGAGTGCTAGCAAAGACCGATTGATGGCTGCGCCTTCCTTCAGTCGAAGTCCTTTATTCTAAACTTTCAAATGTGTTTTCCTTTTTTTTGCAGAAGTCACTTGGGTATTCGACGCTCTCTCGGAGCCTGCCAGGTCTATCATGAAAAGCTTGCTGAACAAGGCGTCGTTTTTGAAAATAACGACCTGAAATCCTGCTCATTGGATGCGTAGACAAATTGCCAGTGCCTGGAGCAGCGCGTGACTCCTCGAGGACGTCTGATTGGCCCTCGTCGCCTCTTGAGTTCGCCGCAAATTGCCTTCTTGTAGTATTTGCATTATCTCAAATAAGCAACGTTTTTCATACGAAATTTTCTTGTTGACCCGCATACGCCTTTTTTTTATTTTTCTCCTACGGCATGTATCTGTTTCTCTCTGAATCGTCTCAGGGGAAGATTACAATAAAAAACCGAAAATATAAGTTTTGCTTGCTCTGTTCAGAACTTCACCCTTTCTACTCGTAGTGTTCGAAAAATTTTTTAAGCCTCTGACCGGGATATTCCTAACCGATCCGCTACCGAGCGAGATTCCCACTCCTGCACATCCAAACCCATCAATTATCAACTGATCCGAACATTTGGTTTCGGATCGGTCGGAAAATTTTTTCGATTTTCCACACAGTACACGGCGTTTCTGCCAGTTGAAGAAAATGCAAGGAATTTGAAACTCGGCAAAGTCTGCGCACTTCTCGAAATTCGCCCGCGAATTTTGAAAAAGTGGCTTTATTTTTGATTTTTTGTCAATTTTTTCATATTTTTTCACTTTTTCTTTTCGTAGATTGCTGATAGTATTGCGGGACCACGATCGGGGTATACTCTGGGTTGTTAGAAGTTTTTTGAAAGTAGTTCTGTGAGGCTAACTTTAAAACTCGTGATGAAGAAGCGTTTTGAAAATCTCCACCTGTTTGTATGGAACATGTTCCACCCCATTTTATGTTTTCTTATTCTATTTTTGTCGATTGTTCAGATTCCTAGGTTGTGGACATCAATGAGATGGAGTTACATGAAAAAAGTCTGTGAAGTTGAGAAAGTATGTTCCGGAATTCATTTCTATCCGGATATTCCGTCAACTTTTTATAATAAAAAGTACTTGCTGTAAAACATCTTTTATTTGTTTCTCCACAGCAATATAGTTTTATTTAATCTCTTTTAATTTCCTCGTCTTTTTTCTTCAATGTTCATTCGTTTCTCACACTTATATCATCGGTTAACCTTATTTTCCAAATTTTTTGTGCATGCACTAAACACGTCCTAATTGACGGAGAAAAGTGGGCGGGGCGTCGCAAAAGAAACACCGTGAGTATTTTAGGAAAATAGGTAAATCTTTTTAAAGATTTTTCAAAGTTCTTTTTCCATTTTCAAACTTTTTTCTTCCTTTTCCAGTTCGTTTTAAATAAAGTTGAAGCAAAAAAAAAAACAAAGGGTTGAGTAATGATCGAGATTCTACCAACCCTTGACAGGTTCGGAGCTTTGACAGAAGACAATCCAGGTACCCGAATATTGCCTTTTTCATCTTCGAGCAAGTCCAAGTCGGAACCGTTTGGGTTCAACAAGTCTCTTATAACCTCGTTGTAAATTTCCTACAACAAAGAGGTTGTCGATGAATCAAAGATTGACGCTAACCAAATAAGATAGGTTGACGTTAAATTGATGATCGAGCTTTTCGTACAACGTTTTCGTCATGAGAGTCATCAAACCTGGTCGGTCTTTCGTTCCGATCATCGTATAAGTCTTTCCAGAACCTTAACTTTTGCTTGAATAAAAAAGTTATTTTTTGAAATAAATGGAAATAAAGGGATAAAGTTTTCTTCTTAAATCTTTTGATACGTAGATAATTTAAAACTATTTTCAACGCTAATTTTGAAAAAATCTAGCCAAAAATAAACGGACATAGAAACTCAAATTTTTGTCCGTTTGCCTGAAAGTTTTAGCAGAACTTCAAAAAGGTTATACCTACCCACAAAGTCTCAATTCTCAACTCGATGTTTAAGGGATTTTTTTTTTCTGCGCCATTTTTTCCAATTTGTTTTTGTCCTAAAAACACTTTGGACGCAGCACGCATTTTTTTTTCGATTTCTATTTCTTGAGAAGAAAATGTGTTCTCGCTTCGAAAAACCTGTGGCGCCGTAGGCGAACACGGTGGCATTGTAGCCTTGGATGACCGAGTCGATTATGGGTCCTGTAGTCGACTGATGTACGTCTTCCTGTCATTCATTTTGTTTTTTTCCGTTGTTTCCAATGTCTTTCTGCAAACCTGCGTCGAATTTGGACCGAATGTAGCATCGAATTCAAATTTTTTCTCATGCTGCCGATTCTGTCGCAAAATGTTGTTTTCAAATTTTTCGGGATCTACTAACAGGACTCTCTGCAAATTATGTTATCTACGCTCAACCTCGCCAACTTAACTTTTCTGTCCAGTGGAAAGACACATTGGAAGTTTTTCCTCGCCTTTTCTTCCGCATTCAGTGGCCTTATGCGTACTACAACCTGAAATTATTCCATGTTTTCTCGGTTTCACCAATTATCTCAAAGATACCTCACCTAAGAAGGAAAAAGCCAGGTGTGACACAACAATGGAACACTTACAGTAGGCTGTGTGAGAAATTTTCTCTCTCAAAGTCAAACTAAGCCATTTTTGATTTTTTTGTCTTATTCTGTGAAATTTGCTGAAGTACCATTAAAAACAATCGCAATAAACTTCACTTGATGCTTCTTATAGTATCAAGTTTTTGTTTTAAAATAAGACAGCTTGAAAAATATTTCAGCATTGGTTTTTTCTCTCGTACATTAAGTTTCGAAGTTCTGCACCTCACAACTTTTATGAAAGCTAAGTATTTTTGTGAAAAAATTATTCATGATCTTTTTAATGGCGATATGCATTTTGTTCATATCAAAGTAGGTATGAGATACTCTCGATGAGGCTTTCGAGTCTCATTATACATACATCAAAACAAATCAGAGTAGTCTATGAAGAGTACTCAGTGACCTTATTGAGAGCTTTTAATTAAGTTTCCCAGCCAGCTCATTTAAAACAGCTCGGTTCATTGAAAAAAACTTATATAAAAGTATTCTTGAATTGTAGTACTTGTTTTTTGATAACCGAAAAGTTGCAAATAAATTTTCCAGACACTGTGATTTAATAATTCTAATAGAGTTCCGATCGGTTGTGAGCGAATTATGGACCTCTAAAAGAAGTCTTTTGAAAGCGTTTTGAAGAAATAAAGTTGATAAACACGGATAGTTCTTTTATTTTTAAATAGAAAAAAAAAACTGTAAGAAATAAAACCTTTGAAGGTCAGCACTAAAACGACCTACCTTCGACCGAAACATAAAACTTCACATTGACATGGCTCTAATAGCCTAGTACAACGAAATTTCAAGAGTTTCCCAACCCGCAATTTTTTCTCCTCCGTTTTCCCATTGAATGCAGCAAGCCGATTGCCTTTTTGGAGCCAATCGTACTACGTGACAAAAAAAGGCGCCTCACGTTCAAAAGCAGAATTCTCTTTTTTTCTCAAACAATGTGATTGGCTGTTTATATTACACACTTGAAACGCTCCCATAGAGAAACGCTCTTTTATTGAAAGCTTTGGAAAAGAGAAGGCGTGGGAACACTTCAATTCTTGGTTACGCCTATACTCAGACTGAATAGTATGAGAGAGCTCACAAAAAAATGTTTTGAAATAGGAATTATAACAAAAATTATTTAAAAAAAGTTTTTTTGCATCAAGTAGTTGAGTTTAGTTGATTTTATGAAAAATAATGACATGTCAAACTCTCTCTTTTTGTTTTTGATTGAGTGGAATCTTTTTCAGAAAAAGTCCAAAAAAACGTTCAGATTCACAGTAATTCAGAAAAAAAGGGAAAAAGATGAAAATTGCGAAGAGAAAGTTTTCCTTCATTTGGAAAAAGATTATTAAATACGCCTTATTATTTTTTTCCTATATTTTTTTTATTTTGCTAATCGAGTCAAATCGCTATAAAATGTCTCTTTTTAAAAAGCAGATGAAACGAAAGTTTATAATTTATAGTTTCCATTTTTTTAAACTTGAGGTAGTAGATAATCGAACAAACGTGCCAGAACTATCAGCCCTTTTTGAACTTCCTCTCTGAAAGGTCCATATAAAACTACAATCAAAATAAGATGAGCAACAAAGTTACCGCAATTGGAGTTTCAGTAAGCGTTTGAAAAATCAATCATAGTTCAAAAAAACAAACTTAACTCCCCTAAAATGGAAATAGAGTTTTTTTAAATCAAAATTTTGAGATGTTTTTGCTAACGTGCTGAAAAAAATCTTGTTTCCAGTTTCTTAAATTAGAAAAAAAGAGGCTTCTTCATTTGCTCTCTTAGTCCAAATCACGTGCATAAAGAAAATCAGAATCTCAACGTTTCCCAGACGACAAACCGTCTCAAAGCGGTGTCTCATTTAAAGCAGCTTAACAAGCGTTTAGTGACTGGACCGGATAAAAACTGATAAAAACACACCGTTAGCTGCTCCTTTTGCATTATGAGCCGTCGCCGGCGTAGAACATCGCAGCCACAACTCGCACTTTTAGTGGGCAAAAAAAAAGACTTCCACTTTTTCTTTCAATTCTCTCGTTTGCGTATTCTCTTATGAAGTCGCGCCCACAAAAATAATTGCTGCGTGGGTAACCAGGCAACAAAAGAGAGCCGGAAGCGGCTCACTGAAAAAATTTGAACGCGCGCCACTTGGCTTAGATGTGCAGGCAGAGGGGGAGCGGCCGGCACTCTCGTCGGACCGTCTGGCCGTCTGGCGAGATGCCTCGTCGCTCTCTGACCGAGTGGCGGTGACGTAAACAATGTCTCTGCGGCGAGAGAAGGCCGAGGAGGTTTAGCGGCAGCGGGGAAACGAAGGCGTGCTCGAATGTTTTGCCTGCTACACGGTTCTCTCCGTACGTTTTTTCTCCCTTCTGCCTTTGACGTGCACACGATACAAGTTTTTTTTTTCTTAGCTTGAAGTTTTTCTGCTTCCTGTCGGCTTCTTTTCTAACTTGTTGATCGGCTTACCCTCAACCAAGCGGAAAATGAAAAACCAATAGATGTAATGAAGAAGGTGAACAGAAACTTGGCTTTTTAATTATTGATCATAAAATGATAAAAACATGAAAGTAGCAAAAAGCAGTAACCTTTTTTCCTCGCTTACTTTTTTAAATGAGAGTCGAAAAAGTTTATTCACAGCTAGTAGTTTTTGCGGCGGCGTATGGAAGAGAACCATGGGCTTTTTCAAGATTAAATCGCTGAATGGGACCGCAACTTTTCCGCAGAATGTTCGCCGATAAATCAAGAAAAAAAAAAACAGTGACTGGCCAACTGAACGTAAAGACTGATGAAATTTCAACTTGAAGGTTTCGTGACCTTTGATCTCATGGCGCTAAAAAGGGTATCTAATCTGTTTATCGTTGCTGTTTTTTTGTGAGATTTACAAACAAGATAATTTTTTATTTAAAAAGTCACTTAGTACATATAAAACATGTAATTAGTATATGAGTATAGAGTATATTTATCAAAACTTTTACTTTTTTTGCGGATAATTTGCTCAATTGGACCTTTTTCGTGTTTCCATTGTTCAGTTTGAACATGAGTTTTGAAGAATCAGTGCGAATATTAAATATGGGAGAGCCACTATCAGCGCCGTTTTATTTCGAAGTGACTTTTTCGCGCGCTTTACGTTTGCTTTGAGGTATAAAAAAGCATGAAAAAAGCCGTTAAAACTTTTTATTGTTCTGATATGAGAAATATCAAAAAATCCAGCTTACATGGCACGGAAAAAAGAATGTCTACCTGGTGGTTTTTTTAAGCAGGTGCTTTTTTACGTACAATTTTGCTTTAACATCAACTTTTTCCGTTTTCTCTCTTGGCTTGATTCGGCAAAAGTTAAAACCGACAAAACTTGTGCTATATTTGATATTTGCACTTTTGAAAGCTTTTTTCGATTTATTTTTTTAGTTTCTGAAAACCGCTTTTTTGCAAATCGTTTTTGAGGAGTATGCCTTTTCGAGAAAAAAAAAATTGGAACTTATCCTTGTATCAACAATGATGAACGGCGCTTCCGTGAACTGAAGCCAACCTTCTTGCGTTTAAGTTTCCCGCAAGTGAACTTTCTATCTCAATTTTTTTCTATTCACGTGCAAAAAAATAGGAAAAAAATTTTTCCAAAAACTTTTTCTTTTTGTTTACTGGTTCCAGGCGTTTTTCCAGTTATTATTAAGTTTGCATGGCTTGGCAAAAAAACTGAGAAATTTTTCCAGAATCTGAAGTCATTTTTTTATAAACCATAAATAGAAGCCTAAATACGCAGTTTTTCCAGTGAAATTCGCTCATAAAAAAATGAGAATAATTATTTTCGAAATAAATTCAGATTCAACAAACTTTTTTTACTCTAATGTCTCGCTCCATTTTTAAGCTTTTTGGATTTAGATTCATGACAAAGACATGAAATATGAAATTTTTTTCTATTGATTCTGTTAAACGTTAGACACTTTTTAGATTACGAAAAACGGTCTAAAAACATCTCTTAAATTACTTTTTTTATGCCAAATCCAACTTTTTGGATTCCGTGTGTTTTTCCTTTTTTTATTTGATTTGATTGCTGACAAATTTTTCTAAATAAATAGCAAATTGAACAGACATTTGTTCTATAAATTGATTGCTTTTTTTCAATAAAGTTTATATTTATCACCAAAATAATTATAAAATAACTCATTTAGCTTTATAAAATTTTTTTATTGAATTTATATCTGCAAAAAAAGAAAGAGGAGAAAAACATTTCAAAAACTAACGTATCCGTTCACGACTTTTTTTCAGTATTTTTTTCTTTCAAAACGCACAGCTTAGGGTGAGGCCCATCGACCACTATTTTTTTCTGTTCCGTTCAATCTTTCGCTTCGATGCCCATTTTTCTATGTATATATGCACATATGAATTGGAATCAACGTGTGTTTTTTTTGTGCAGCGACCGTAGCATGTCGGGCGGTAACGAGGAAGACCAGCTCGCGCAGTGTCAAGCCTACGTCCAGCGGCATAACATCCAGCAGCTCGTCAAAGAAGCCATCGGTTAGTATTTTTTGTGCTTTTTTAAAGAAATATTCCCAAATTGTCTTTTATTTTATTTCAACATCTCCTGTTTTATTAAATGACGTAAAGACTTGATTGAGAATGACGGAGAATACAATTTTTTTCTTTTTTTGTATTCCAGCAAACATTTCTAGAAATCGGTATGAAAAAAATAGTTTAATCGAAATATTCATCAAAAAATGTTATTTCACACCGTCCTTCTATCTTGTGAATAATGATAAAAAAAACTGTCACAGCTTTAAAGATAATCATTCATGCGCTCAAGATATTTTTTTAAAAATTTTTACATATTTTTTTGTTTAATTTCGTATGCAGCGATCTTTAGAAGACCAAGAAAAAAAGATCAGAGCAGTTTTAAAAAGAATTTTTTTCAAAAATAAAATGGAAAGGTTATATTGCGTGTTTCAATTGATATCAAGGCTCCATAAAAATATCTTCTTCTCTTCAAGATTCGAGCGGTTTTTCAGTTTTTTTTTTTCATTAATAGAGGTTCATTTTTCTGGAATAATTATCCGCCTGGAAAAGGTAAATTTGTTACTATTTTTTACAAAAAAAACCAAGTGCCAAAAATCTTCGATTCACATGAACCCTCCAAAGTTTGCGCTCAATTTTCTTGAAACTGATTTAAAAATGACGCATTCAGGTCCCAAACCGTTCTTTTTGCATCTAATTTTGAAAAAAACTTCATTTTTCAGTCGTTTTGTGCATACACAAGCCCGAGAACCCAGTGCTATTCCTCAAAGAACACTTCGAAAAACTCAACGAGTCACGTTCACAGGTTTGGATTTTTTCAATTTAAATTTAGCTGTTATTTCCCTTCCAAACGTTTCAATGAGAGGAGGGATTTTATGGAACAGTTATTTGACTATTGCTTATCGACAGTTTTTCTTCAGAAGAAAACGTGAAGATAAGCAACTGCACTAAATTAACAGCATGTGAAAAGTTTCCATCTTTTTTTTGTATTTCTAATCCGAAAAAAATTTTATTCATTTTTTTCTATTTTTCTTGATTTTTGTGTCATTTTGGGTTTAGTGCTGAGCGAAATTGATCTGGTTAGAAAAACTTCTTTTTCCAACACTATGACCTTCAGAATGACGAACACCCTTCAGTAACAAACTTTCACGGAGCTAATGATTATTTTGGTTTTTTGATTATTTGGTTCATGATTCACAAACTCCCTGTATCAAGGCCGCAAACATACTTTTTTAGAGAATATTTTGATAAATTTCAAAATTTTTAATTTTTTCTGCGTATTTTGTTTTTCGAAAAAGTTTCGTCAAATATATAATCAAACGCAATACTTTTTGGACCATGAATCATGTTTGCTTCTTACAATAAGTAGTTCATTTTTATTTTTTTCAGCATATCATAAGCGTTTTTTTACTATAAAACTTTTTTTCAGAAAAAAATTTGAAAAGAACACGAAATTTTGTTAAAAAAACTTTTTTTCACTGCGCCAAGACCCCTTTTAAAAAAATTTGTTAAAATGTTTTCCTACTCCGAAAAAGAACGAGTTCTCTCAAAAACGAGTTTCTTTTTGTCGATCAGAACTTTTTGTTTGTTGTTTCTTAGAAGGACGTCATCACATTTGTCATATTTCAAAGCTTTCTTCGTTTTTTTCTTCAATATTCTCCTCAATTTGTTATGCTTGAGCGGCAGATGATTGCACTTTTCATTTCACTGCGCCGATTGCACTCGAGAAAAAAGAAGAAAAAGAAGAAAAAAAAGGCGGGGAAAAAGAGTAAGTGACGTGAATGTGCATCGACAGCATAAAACTAAGCGCATTCTAAGTAGAAATTGGTCTTCGGCAGCAACGGAAAACCGATCGATGGCCTCCAGCGACCAACGGGCCAAAGTCAGCCGCGAGACGACAGCCGCAAACATAATCGTGTGCACTGAATTTTCGACACCCACACCTTTTGCGTTGTCCGCAGGAAATCCCTTGTTTTTGGGCCGAAGTGCCATAAAAACAGCTGTTCTGAAGCTGTAAGTAAGTCGTCGGCAACTTGCGTCTTCTTTTCACCACGATGGGACATCGACAGAGCATAATTAGAATAACAGAATCGAAGGTTTTTTTTTGGAACGCTGAGCCTTACGTGCACCTCCTTAATTCAATTAACTATACATAATGACGTCAGCAAGATTTCTTTGGAACCTAACATCATGTTTTTTCGACAATTTAATTTTCTGATTTCTTGACCTTGAAATATTGCTTTCATGATTGGGCTCCGGTTTGCAATTAATAAAACGCAAAACTTTTTGTGGACCATACGACTAAGCAATCTTGTATAAGATTTTCCGAAACACAAAACTGAAACTCTGATTTTGATTTTAGGAATCTGGACGTAAATATAGGTTTTATTAAAGACCGGATTAAGTTGCGATCAGAAGTCCATGCAAATAATTTGCTTAAATACATGTTTGTACTTCTGCAAAAGGACCTAGTTTTTTTTTTTTTTTGTTTTCATGATTTTTTTGATCATTTTTTTCTATTAAAGCCGGGAGTTAATGAAAAAAACAAAATTAACTATAAATTTCTTGTTGTACGAAAAGTCGGATTTTCAAGGATTTTATGAACATTCGAACAAACATTTACGAACATAATATGTATTCAAAAAGAAAAATTATAGCTCTGCTCGTATTTTTGTCTGGGTGCGGTCTTTTTCGATTCCAGAACTTTAATTGAGCTTTAAATTTCGTTATTCAATTTATTGGAAAAGTCTTCTCGTGCATCCATGCAACTAGTACAAAGATATACTCCGGGGAGCAGCATTTTCAGAATTTTGCATTTTCCCTTATAAAACTCAAAATATGTGGGAAATCTGTTTGAGTGTCTTGGGAGGTCTTAGAAAGGATATTATCGAAGTTTCGAAACCAGAATCATGGATCACGGACACCTTGGAGTTTTCTGCTCTAAATGACAGAAAAATGAAAGAATCCTCCAAATTTCCGGAGAAAAGATTGGCGCCAGTTCACGAAGTTGGGATGGAAGCCGATGCATCAAAACTCTCTTTTTCTCTGCGCCATTCACAAAGTTTTTTCCACGGAATGTTTGGCGGCGGGCAGTGGAGGAAAGAGTGTTTAGATCGTAGAGAGCACATTATGCCCCCAGCACAACGCACATTGTGGGTTGGAAATATTGCTCACCCAGAGCTGAAGCTCTTCCGCGGAGTGGTGGAAGTTGAGCTCTCTCCTTTGCACAAACCCCTCTCACTGATGTTCCATCCAAAAGTTTGCCTTTTGTCTTTCGGTCCAGGTTTCATGACGTTTTCTGTTCAGGAGGCCGGCAAGCAGGACAACGCCGATGATGACGACATCATCGTCGAGCCGCCGAAGAGATCCGGCGGTCGCAGAACTGGTATTTCCGCTGAGCCGATCCGCGAGGATGAGACTGAGTACAAAAAGGTTCATTTTTTATGATATTCAAACGATTAAATGTATTTGAAATTTCTTCTTTTCGAATTGAGAAACAGAAATGTGTGTTATGCTCACATCCACAAAAACGCGAATTGGAAATAGCTAAAAATCTCTTGTTCAATAAATTATTAGAATTCACCGATCTAGTAGTAAGATCACAGAAATCCAAAAAATGTCGGAGGCTTTTTTCTCCAAGGAATGGCTGAATTTTTTTGGAGTGTCCTATCTAATTGCTAAATTTCGAGACAGTTTGTCTTTTTGCGCTCTATTTTTTTCTCCTTTTGGTTTTTTATTTATTTGTGGAGAAAATTGGAGACGCGGATATCACTCACTTCTTCATTAAAAAGCAAAAAGAAATTTAATTTGAAATTTTTTTAAAGGGATTTCTGAACAAAATTATCGGTCAATTTTTTTTTGAGAGGTCACAACTTGCTTCTTTTTAAGTTCTAGAAATGATCAAATTCCGCTCAAACTTGAAGAATATAAAAAGAAAGCACTTGAAAATGGCTTCAATGGCTGAGCGAAACTCACTTTGGCGCTTCTCTCAAGCAAATCCCCTCAGTCGTTTCGGGCTCTCCTTCATTTTGCAAATCCAAACTGGTCTTTTTGTGTTCAAAGCCGCCGGCTAACTCAGCTTCTTCTTTTTCCCGAAGCAGAAAAGCTGTTGTTGTGGGCTCTCCAAAAGATAGTTGGCCGCTGCTAGCAAGCGACTGCCAAAATAACATTAAACTCTTCTTTTCGAAGTTATTTTTTCCAACATCTTTTTCGAGTATTGTAAAATGATACAAAAAGTGGTTACAAAAAACAATAGAAAGTTCTCGAAGAACGAGTCACTCAGTTCATTTACGACTAGCTTTAGACTATATTCAATGATTGTACAAAAACACAATTAGCTGGACCTAAATTAAAATAAAAGTCAAAAAAGGCTTTTTTGGTGTATTTGTCCCAAGTGAACGATTAATAGAGAAATTCAGAAAAATAAAAAAGTTCAGCGAAAAATTCCTGGCAAAGGGACACGTACGTTAAAGGCCGTTGTCAACCGAAATCGGCAAAAACACTTTCTGAATATCTCAACCAAACATGTATATTCTCGTTTTTCCAATTTAAAAATTTTGGCCGACACTTTGATTATGAAAAATTTTCCCTAACACTCGTGAAAACTGTTGGGAAAAAAATTATAGATTTTTGAAGATGATTCTGAATGTAGCACGCTATGTTTCGGATGCAGTGTCTTCATTTTTTCTACTTTTCCAAATAGATCTTTGATTGTCCAGTTTGCAGCTATTGAAGCTAAAAGTTCAACTTTCCTCAATGCATTGCATTAAAATGTACGCGTAGCTGCCTAGCAACCGGTTTCCAATCATGGGAGCTCACTCTCAAAAGATTTGATGGGAAACTATGTCAGAATGAAAGGAAGGAAGTTATCCATTCACCTGATGACTTTTCAGGTGGTTATTCCAAAAGACGATGCGACAAGGAGATCGCTCGAGTCAGCGATGATGACGAACTTGCTTTTTGCTCATTTAGAGGTTTGAAATCACATTTCAAAAAATACTATCTAAAGTTTTTAGGAAGATGAGAAGAAGACAATGTACGACGCAATGTTCCCAGTGGAAAAAGCGGGCGGCGAAACCATAATCGAACAAGGAGAAGAAGGAGACAACTTTTATGTTATAGACAGAGGAGTAAGTTAATCGGATAGTCACCACGACTGAAAGGCCAACAACTAGTATAAAAAGGCTCTAAAAATTGAAGATAAGTGTGAAAATTTTTAGGACACTTCTTGACGTATCGAAATTGGTTTTTATCGCACAAAACTTCAATTCCTGAGAGAATTTCGTTTCTGATGGCTTTTTATCGCTAGTTAACATTTTTGGTCAATTTTCTCGAATATATACTGTTCTCATTTTGACAAATATCGCTTCGCCGAAAACTAAATTTGAAAATTTGATGAAACTTTGTTGGTTCTAGATCATTCTACAAATAAAAATTAAGCTGAATAGAATCATCCCTACAAGTTTCTTGTCAGTAAAAATTATGAAAAGTTTTATAAAGCGTTATAAAATACCAGCAGATGTGAGAAATATAGAAAGTTGAAATAGTTATTCAGTAGTGTCAGTAAAAATGTTAGAAGAGAAAGAAACGGGAAATTTTTTAAAGTGCCAGTTTGCGCCTCCTCTACTTTTTTTTCTCGAACTTCTTGATTATACACTGAAACTTTCTAAATTACAGACGGTCGATGTGTATGTAGGCGGCGACTACGTTTTGACGATCAATGAAGGTGGATCTTTCGGTGAACTCGCACTCATCTACGGAACTCCTCGTGCCGCCACCGTTATCGCAAAGGTTCCAAAAATCTCTCGGTTTTGAGGATAATTATGGATTTGAAGACTGACGTCAAGCTGTGGGCAATCGATCGTCTTTCTTACCGAAGGATTCTCATGGGGTCAGTCATGCGGAAGCGCAAGATGTATGACGAATTCCTCTCCAAAGTTCAGATTCTTGGTTAGTTTCCGATTTTTTTTATTGCGATTGATTGTTTGTCTTTCTTCAAGCCGACTTGGACAAATGGGAACGCGCCAATGTTGCCGATGCATTGGAGCGGTGCGATTTCGAACCAGGCACCCACGTTGTTGAACAGGTTTTGTGTCTTCTGCGAGTTTCGAGCTAAAATATGCTTCTTAGGGACAACCTGGAGACGAATTCTTTATCATTTTGGAAGGCGAGGCGAATGTACTACAAAAAAGAAGTGACGACGCTCCATTCGACGTTGTCGGCCATCTAGGACCCTCTGACTATTTTGGTGAGATCTTGTGAAAATCAGCGCTGTTTTTGAGTTATCTCAAGAATTATTGCTGAAAAGGAATTATTCGTACTTTTTGATAGAATGTTTCTCGAAAGTTGGCTAAAACACTCTTTGATTCGCAAATCAATCAGGTTATAAAACTTTGAGAAAAATATATCTCCAAAACTGAAGAATTACATAGGTGGCCAATATGAAGGCTGAAAAAAAGTTTCGAGCAGGGTTGGAAAAACTCCAAAATTCTAGTTGAGGTGATTTTTCGTATTTGGGATCTTTTTCCTTGTAAACTAAGTAATAAAAAAATAATTAGGAAAGTAGGAAAAATTTGCAACCTAAGATTAAATGAGCTCCTCTATAAGGATCTACGAATTTCCAATGCTCTGTCGTAGAGAAAAGTCAGGAAAACTATTTTCGCAGGACCTTCAAAAGGCAAATTGTTTCTGAAAAAATGAAGCCTGCCAAATTATCTTTTCAACTGCTATTTTTGTAGGAGAGATTGCTCTACTGCTAGACCGCCCCAGAGCTGCGACGGTCGTCGCCAAGTCAAGCCTTAAATGCGTGAAACTGGATCGGGCGCGTTTTGAACGAGTTATGGGACCCGTGCGAGAAATCCTCAAGCGAGACGTCTCTAATTACAATTCCTACGTGAAGCTTATGACCTAAACGGATCCCCTTCCTAATTTTTCTAATAACTTTTTTCTTCATACTTGTTAGAGTGTCGTTCATTCCTATGAGATTCCTAGAAACACACTCAAAATTTCTATTTCATATTTTGTATCCACCCGTTTCTTCCATCTCGAGTCATTTTCAACCACGTTTCCTCACGAATTCTAGTCAGGCAATGATGTAAAAACTCGTCATGCCCACCGATCACCAAACAGTTCCTTATTTAAGTTCTTAGCCACAGTAGTCACTATCGATGCTTTATTTTATATATTATTTTATATGTATTTTTTATTTTGATGAAAGTTGTCCTCCCTCCTTGATACCTTGGGCAAAGGAAAGCATATTGATCTCGAGAGCCTTTTCATCTTTTGGTTTTCTTTTTTCCCTTCAATATTCAGGATGGGGTGCAACAAAAGAAGATCGTACAGTGATTCCTTGAGATCTGTATCAAGCACTCTTACAGCCAAAAACCTAACTAATCGAGAGATCTGTGGATTAATTTTCTTTTCGTGTCAACTGTCTCTTCGATAATGCCATGCATATGAATAATTTTCTCCATTGATAGGATCAACGTCTTCTGTAAATTCGCCTATTTTAGTGTTGTCTAGATGGTTTAGTTCTATTTACTTTTTAACACGATGAGTTTGTTATTGAATAACACGTGCGTTCGAGCACTATTAAAAATTGCGCTATAGATTCACCTCTTGATTACTTTATATACTTCAACTTCACATATAGCTTTACGGAATTTGAAACCCAGTAACTAGTGGAAGCTGAGACAAAAATCGTTTTATTTAAATATCATTTTGATTCCATCTTTAGTATTGCAATATTTTCGGTTACTAATACGAAAGTTTTCGAGAGAACTTGTTTAAAAGATCTGACAGCTGTATTATGTATCGAAAAAAAAAGCAAATTTGCCGAAACAAGTTCTTCTACAGCCCCACTCATTTCACTGTTACTTTTAATTTAAGTATAGATGTGTTTACTATAATGTTATGATGGACGCAGCCAATTCTTGTCTTGCTTTCTTCCCATTCAAATAAATGTTTGATAATACATCTTATTCTACGTATTTTTGGTGTTTCTCGAGGCGTTGAAATGAAAAGAAGCAGAAAAAGCTTGTTCGAATCATGAATTTTTTTTTATTTTCAAGTCGAGACATTGATCTTTTCTCACGAGTGAGAAATTACCGCAAAGGTCTGTGAGAAAAAGTCTGACATCTCAAAGTTGAATAAGAGTCACCAATATCGAGCTTGAAACGAACGTTTTTGGAAACTTGAAAAAAGGGCGTTTTTGTCAATTTCATGCCCGTTCTGAGAATCGGTCCAAACAGTGCGAAAGTTTTGGCAAGTGCCCTTTTTGATTTTTCAAAAAAAAGTAACAAACCTACAAAATGAGCTAAAAATTGTTTTGAAAAAGCTTCGTGGTAACTTTCCAAGCTAACGGTTACCGAACTCCTTTATTTAGTAACTCTATTATAATAAATTTCCATTTATATCCCTTTTTTGGCATTGTAATTTTCAAAATTATTTTAGAAACAAATTTCTCGGAAAGTCCTTTTTTTTTCGAATGTTCACAGGTATTGCTCATTTGTACATTTTATTATTGCAAGTTAAACAGTAGACAGAGGATTTTTTTCAATTGGGAAAATGATATTACGAAATAAACTATAGCCCGAGTGAAACTAAATCGCACAGCAAAATGAAAGCTGATGGAAACCCGTTCTATCACTTACACAGGTGATTCGTTGCCGTACTCCACCGCGGCAAGGAGGTCGTCGAGTTTTCTGACGAACAAGTTGCCTTGCACCCAAGGATTCTGAACTCGGAGAAGAGCCGTTTCCGGTTTGAGACGTCGTTCCCGATGGCCAACTATGGAAACCAGGCAAAATTCGCTTTCGTCGGGGCTGTTGATCTCTTCTTCTCCGTTCACTGTTGCCTTCGCCACTTGCTCCAGCACCAGACTCACCACCTGAAATTCTTCTAAAATGAACAAATTCTCCCAAACGGCGTTTCCAGATTTCTTGTGTTGACCTACAGTGTAAAAATGACATTTTTAGGGTAAATTTTGCGTTTTGGGCGGTATGAAAAAAAAACCAGCTAACTTTTGAACGACACCTTTTCAGATGTATTCATATCGCTAGGAAGCTTTCCGAATGGCGACGTTTCTGACGAATTTCTTTCCGACTTTTTTCCCTTGTGAATTTTGGTTTATAAAAGGTCTTTTTACCTTAATTTTTTTTTCTTTGTGTTTTAATCATGGATCAATTGCGCACTTTATATAGGAAGATTCAAAACAAACATTTTTTGAGAAAAAAAAGTCGGATAAGGATTAGTCAGAAACTTCGCAATCGGAAAGTTCCCTAGCAGTATGAAAAAAATCGGAAAAAGTTGCCGTTTGAATTTTCGCTGATCTTTTTTTCGTACCTCCGTCTTTTGACGTGAGAAACTTTATGTTTTTTTGATCCTCATCAGTAAGTTTTTTTGTTCTGTTAAAACTTTTCCAACTTTTTTCGGACGTTAGCAAAGTAAAAAAAGGGTTGACAGACTTTTTCAAAAAAACAATATTTTGTTCAATTTTATATTTTCCGAGTACTCATTTTTCAGCCATTTTTCATTTTTGTCCGACTCTTCCTGGAATTAAAGTTTATAACGAATATCTGAAGAGGATAGACAAACCGAAAATCAACAAAATTTTCTATAGTCAATTTTTCGGTGGCGGTTGAATTTAACTCGTGCCAAAAAAAAGCGTACGCGCCCGCTCCCTTTTCTCCCTCGCCTTTAAAGAAGTTGACTATATGTTGAAGAGGAATGGTTAACCGGTCCTTATCTCACAAGTGAACTAATTCTACTGGAAAATCAAGAAATTAAAAAAAAATTAGACATAAATCTTCTTCATGTACACTAGATTTGAATGAAAAATCGCACTCTGCACAGATTTTCAGTTTTTGAGAACTAAGTAGCCAGGGTAGACATAGGAAAAAACAATAAAAACGCTTTTTTGACAGAGTTGCGCAGTACAAAGTTTAGTGGACTATGAGGATTGTTTAGATTATTCATTTCACTGTCATATATTAATGATATTCGCTAGTGAGATGAAATTGTTCACTTTCCTAAAATACCCGCAAAACTCTAATGTATTAGCTTTTCTCAATAATCCCACCTCTTGTGCTGTTGTGTTCCCAGAAATAGACAACGGCACTTTGGATCCTTTAGAGAGGCCGCAATCGTACGCCACACAAACGACAATATTTCCACGAACGCTGCGTTTTTCCTCTATTAGAGGCCGATCCATAACGAGGTCTTTTTCTGTGCTCGTCGATTGCTGACTTTGGAATCTGGCATCCATAGAAGCTTTTCGTCTACGGTACAAGCTGAAAAACGGTTATTTTTTGTTAAATTCATGATCTTGCTTATTGCTTTCAGTCAAAATTGCGCACGTGACTGTTTGTGAAGTTTCCCGCCTTGCAATTAAAATTCACGAAACATGAAACTTATCTTATCAAGAGGAAGATAAGCTTCTTCCAAGCAATCAACAAGAAAGATAACAGCTACTAAAGTGTATTCTAACATGCAGAACAGAACTTTGATTCAAAATAGATTAGGCTCAAAATTACACGCGTTTCAAATAAGTAAATCTGCCCTCTCTTTTAAGGGCGGACATAAAAAAGAATATGGTGAAACAAAAAGGTGTGAAAATTATAACCCTGTTAGAAAGAGATTTAAAAAAAGTTTAAAAATGATTAGAGCCCTCATAAAACTGCTGTGACTGAACTTCGTGAAATTCCAGCTCGAGGGTTTTCTTGTTTGTAGTCCTAATAAATCAAACTAAAAAGAAAAAAAAAGGAGTTAAAAAATGGAAAGTTGAAAATAATTGGATCATTTTCAGTGAATATGTTATCATTTCAACAAGCCTAAAATTACAAATTCTTGTGGGTGAACCTCGACAAAAAAGCTTATTTTTTGCTCAAAGTCCTAAGAAGAGTATATATTAAAGGCGAAGAAAAAAATCCCACCTGTCAATATTGCGATAACTTCCTTGCGGAGAAGCCAGAAGGGATCGTGGGCGTGCATTTAAAAGATTAAATATGGCTTTTTCTGGCCTCAGTTCAACTTCCTAAAGAAAAATTTTCTTTTTTTTTTTGGATTTTTTTATTACGCTTGAAGAGGATGGTAAATGGGTATATTCATCAGGAGACAAGGGCGCGAGCAAACGACCAAGAGGAATCGCACTCCGCGAAACTCTTAAAATTTTCAGTAAACTGTCGTTTCAATTCAACTTTATATCAGTTAGCCGCAAAAAAAGCTCATTACGTCACCCTACTTTTTATACGGTTTTTTTAGGCTGCGAACACAGAAGTCCAAAAAGACGTCAATTTATCAAAACAGTATAAAATTCTTAAAAGAAAAATCCCGCCGTTTTAAGCACTTTTTGTGCATCCAGAGCTGTCGAAACTCATTTTAAATAATCAGATTTACCAACCTGACATGTTTGTCACGTGCTTCTAAGGCAATCCTACTGATCCAACGAGCACTCTGCCAAATTTCGTCCAATCGCTTCTTCAAATCAAGCGTCATATGAGGCCGGTTAAACTAATATCACCTGGAAGTCGGTGAGAATTTCACATTGACTTCTGTAGACTTTGGCGTCATTCTCCAACAAGCATTTACGCTGTTCATATTGGGATATCTAAAAATGAAAAGTTTTACCGTATCCTGAGCAAGATTAAGAACTTTAGAGGCTGTGAAATTTCCAAAAAGAAGCGTTTTTGAATCAATTAATCATATATATTTCCAAGATGAAGTTTCCATCAAAAAAATAAAATTTTCCATCGAAAAATTCACCATCAAAAAATGCTCCAGGAAAATGGACAATCTGCAGTACGTAGAAATGAACTGCGGTTGATACGTGTACAGATGTACTGAAAATAGAATATCAATTTTATGGATAAATTTGAAGCCTGAACTCATTTCAAACACAGGTATCGGAATACTGCTGCAGCCGCGCCGTTGTTCGAAGAAGTCGGTATTTTTCACAGATCCTGTCGGAGCCGAGCAAACTTCATCAGATCGAGGAAGAACCTGCAAAATGCTGTTATTTCTGAAGGCTCAGCTCAAACTGACTAGAATCATCGAGACGTCATTGCTTGGCTGGATGATTTCTGTGTGATAAAGACGATGACCCGGTACCAGATCGCTATCAATATCCAGATCGTGTAGAAGTGTGGTCAAGGCGTTGGACAGCAGTTTGTGCATTTCTATTTGTGGTCTTGTGGCTTGAAATTCTTTGTTGAAGTCGGTACTCTGTAAAAATTCTTTGTAAAGAAATATTTTGGTAAGCTTTTTTTCGATAAATTCAAGCTTGCGGTCGCAAACCGTTGTCAAGGCAAACCAAAAAAAAAGCGCTTTGAATTTTTTGTATCTTGATGCTTTTCGGACTTACTTTTATCCATTGCCATTCCTCCTTCGTAATGTGAGGATTATCCCGAATATTTACAAAAGGGAGGATAGACGGTAGGTTATCCGGAACCACTACTCGAATTGAATTCAAAGAAGAGTGAAGCTTCAGATAACATAAATAAAGACCCCTGCAAAGCTGTACTTAAGTGTGTATAAGCCGGATGGATACTTTGACAAAAAATTGGAAAAAAGTTTAATAATATTAATGGGAAGCTAACCCAAACAAAATAGCCGAAAAATCAAAAAAAAAAGAAGAGAAACAAAAACCTCAATGAAAATAATAAAAATTGGAGAAAGTTTTTTTTGTTTCTTAAGATTGAAACTCGATGAAAAATTTCTATGATACCTTCTGAGCGGAATCTGACTACTCTCGAAAAAGTTGAGGATATTGACAGTCTCTTTCGTGAGCATGTCGATTGCAGGTGTCGCCATTTTCTTTCGCAGTAGTTTTTCGAAGGTTAGCCATCGTAGAGTTAATCCCTGAACATGAAACTTTTTTTTCCAATTATTCAATTTCATTCGCCTTCATTTTACTTAACATTCTCGTATCTTTGGGCTCTATCCTTTTCAACGCGGATTATATCCGGATCTACAGGACACAAATGAACCACAGCAAAAATAGTTTGTTATTCTCACCTGAACTTGTTGATTCGAGTCCAAAAACCGAACAGTTAGCAAAAAAGTGCAACTTTCATAAGTGATTGGAAGATAATGAAGATGACCTATGTCCCGGATTCCCAATGCATGTTGCATTGCAACAGCCGCATTTATCAACTTCGTTCGTAAACTATAACAAATTACACTTTTTTTAAGTGTTCGAGTTGTAAATAACCTCAACGAAATATTGTTGGCGTAAGCATTTGGATTGGTATCCATCAAACCGCCGACTTGATCCCAACATCTTGACATTTTCATCAACCAATGATGATCATCTTTGGATATGGAGAGAACACTTTCGTCAATCTAAAAAAAGTTCTTCTTTTTCAAAAGAGGCTCGACCAACCGGAAGTATTGGAATGCAGTCGTCTACTGTGCACAAAACTTTGCCCTCCGTGTAAACGAGTGAAGCGAGATAAACCCCTCTGTGAAATTTAAAAATAGAACTTTTTAGTTTCTTATCTTAGCATGAGGATTAAAAATCGTACCGAGAGGCATTTTTCGAGAACTTTGAGCTTGCGCTGAACAGTTCCTTTAAGCCGTTCTTTTTCCGTTTTTGACCATTTTCGGTCATTAGAAAAACTGCAAGAAGACCTTCATTTTCAGAAGAAAAATAGAAAAAAAAACCTCTCTGCCAAACTAAGCTCTGACGATGTTTTTCAATCTCATTGGTGAGATTTTCAATCTCTGTCAAACGATCTGACCAGCCATCTCTTTTGTTATCTACGTCTTGCCAAGCTGAATATATTTCAATTTAAATTCACCTAACATAAAAGAATAGGACCTGAAATTTCAATCATTCCTGGAGAACATGTGATTGGAGCAGAAAAAGAGTCGACGCCGCCCACAGAAATGCGGAAAATCAAACGCAAACTGCTCTCAAGCCCTTTGACAATTATCGTGTTCATATCAGTTTTGGGCTCTACACACAGTCCAAAGACAATTTCGAAATCCGGATAAACCGACCACTCAACTGCAAGAAAAAAAAGTTAAAGAAAGGTTGTGAAACAAACTTTTATATTTTAAAACGATATCTGAGAGAGAATGAGGAATAACGTGAATCGCGGCGGAAGAATTGGAAAGCGCTTCAACCTGGAGTGAAAATATACTTTCCTGCAAAGCCAGGACAAACCTTTGCTGAAAACAGCGGATCAGGAGATTTTGGAGAGTCCAAAGCAGCTTTCATCTTTCTTAGCAAGTCTATATGCGCAACCATGTTGTTCAAATGCTTTTCATTCTCCTGAAAGTTTTATTTCTGCACGAGGTTCACACAAAGAGGATCACTTTTGAAATGGCGCCCTGTCGTAAAGATGCGACCTCTGCTTCTGAGTAATGTATGGCATCCAAAACTGCTTTTTTTCTTTTTTCGATAGTGTTCACTGGAAAATATGGGTACTTTTTGAATTAGTCTGGTTATGATTTTATGAAAAATTATGAAATTTCGGGTTTCATGGTCTCTTTTCCCGATGGGTTCCACAAAAACTGAAAATAGACCGAATATGTTTGCGGAGTCCTATTCATTCCTTAAGGCAACATTTTGAGAGTTTCCAAGATTATTTCGTAGAAAATCGGCTAGAACTTTCTCACTTTGAAAGTTCTCAACGGCGTTGTACTTTTGAAGGGCATGAACGCAATCCGCGTGATTCAAATTGATTGCAACGTCCAGTAAGGTCCATCTCGTGCTGTATTGTTGGTAAGGTCCTGTTGATATCGGACTATTCACATCAATTTGGTTTTTCTCCAAAACAATGGTGAGGGCATCCGAATCTCCTTGTTCGATGGCTAAAATTGCCCCTGAAAAACGAAAGGTAAGAAGATTTTTCCCCACTAGCATAGTCAAATAAGCTATGCAGGAATGAGAAAACTTTATGGTTTTCAAAAGTCCTTCCGGGAGTCTTTTGAAACATTTTTTTTCAAAAAGCACGGCCTTTAATAATGAACAGTAGTAGTTTGTTTTTTATTTTCTCAGGATTCTATCGTCTAAAAAATTTTCTGACCGGATTAAAAGCACCGGAAAAAATTTTTGCAGTCGCGAGAAATACTGAGTCAGTTTTTTTTAAAGGTTTCGCTCTCAAACCAACTGAAACTGAATGATTTTAGGGGAAATTTCGATATGGTACTTTGACAAAATATTAATCGTTGAGGACAATGAGTGACAGAAAGGAAAGAAGACTCACCATACATTGTGATCATGTTAGTTTTCACCGCCTTTCGCTGAAGTCGTTCATCGAGGTCACCATTCTTTTTCCTTTCAGTGGGTTCAATCGTGCCCTGCCGCTGGACGGATATTCCTGAACATCAAACTCGATGAATAAAATAAGCTGAACTCATTTGGACTTTTATTATGATGATAATTTCAATGCGGACTGAGGAAGATAAAGGATGACTGGCGCAAAAAGGAAAAAGTTCGAAGAAAGAGGTCAACGATATTCGCACAACGTTGCGACAAAGGAAAGAGAAACTTGGTGAGGAAATTGGCGATAGTAAAACATAAAATACCTCGGAGAAGTGGGCTGGTGGCAACTTTTTCGAGCGCTCTGGAAAATTTCGAAGATTTTATCGTTCTTCAAGTTTTTTATGGGAAAGAATGTCGACATTTCTGCACATTCCAGCAATTTTTTGGTCTCAGACGATTATTTTGAGGCAGTGTAAATAAACAATAAAGACGTTTAAAACTTTGTTTTTGAAACCGTAAAACCTGGTAGCAGGTTCATCAAGCGATTGTTGACGACAAAGAAGCGCAGTTGAGGCCAAGGTATGAGCAGCACCTGCACAGACGCTGATGAGCGGTTTGCCGCGAGAATCATCGAGCCCGATGGAGTAGGGCTGCGACATTCCCGAGTAGACTCCTGAAGCGGCTCTCCTTTGTTTTTCCGTCGAAACGGACAGAGATCGTTCCGCAAACGGCGCTCCAAGTACCCGACGCCCTTATCATTTTCATTTGAAGCTCAGTGATGGTCTTTCTGATTTGTTATCACTCACGAGATTTGTTCATTTTCACTGTTTTTCCGTTTTGAGTCTACGACTATTCCCGCATTTAAGATCAAACCCTTAGTTATGTGTTTTAACTGACTTTATTTAAATTGGGAAGTTCTCATAAGTTTTCAAAGAGTCTAGGTTGATTTTTTAAGTTCGAATAACATGTTTCTATTCAGTAAAACTTTGTAAAAAAAAAGTCCATGCAGTACCAAAGTTTACTGGCCATTCTGCAGGACTTCGACTACCAGTACTAGAGCGCGAAGTTGTTTGAGGAGTTCTGGAATCAAAATTTTTTCACAAAGTATCGTTTGAGGAAGACCTCAGCGGGAAAGAGCTGCTAGGGGCGCTGTTTCGATGTCTGTGGGCGCATTTGTGAGAGGACCTTCTGCGATTTTTCGTAGACTCACACCTGAAGAAAAAATCTTGACAAGGTATATAAACAGAGAAAAAATAGATCATTTTTTTTTTTGAAAAAAATGGATATGAAGGAAAAATTTGGCTATTATATTCTATGAACCTTTTATGAATTAAGATCTAAATAGTCTTATGACTGAAAACTTAAAAATTCTGGCATTTCTACACTCGATTACAATTTTTTTTCTCAGATATTTTGATGTGAGTATCATTTTACGGCTTGGCACACTTGATCGAATTTGTCAATTTCTTTCAAAAATCATTTTTTTCTCATACCCTTCTTAATAATTTCCGTCTTCGCTTTTTTTATGTTAAAATGTCAATCTGCAAAATTTCCTAATTAACTTTGAAAAATTAAAGAAAAAAGAGTTATTTTTAGGTGCTTAGCCCTCTTTTCTCGTGAACTAAAAATTTTGTGCATGTTGAAAATTTTGGTATCTTCATTTGGTACAACGAAAGATTTGCAGAAAAAAAAACTGCAGAACCTCCCCACCACAAAAAAAAAATTAAATGACTTTTCTTGTCAGTTATGTTGACTCATTTATTGAAATGATCTTTTTTTCTACCAGAAGAATAAGGAAACTGAGATTTTTGAAACTCCAGGCTTGATAATCAATAAAAAAATTGCTTATATTAATTTTCGGTCAACCTCAGTTTTGAAACGACTTTATTGAACTTAAGAAAATGAGAATATTTTGAGAACAAAAAGAGCATCAGTCAGTTTTCCGGCCCATTCTCTAGGCCACATTTTGTTCATAAATTCTTACCTGACAAGAGGGCGAGCCACATTGTTCGGGACTCTTCTAGATTCACTGCGATGCCTCGCGCTGACATTCTTCTGAAGTCTCAGGACGAAAAGAATGGCTCGCACCAACGATCTTTTCGACTTCATACTAAACAGAAATCTGAATATCAGTAACCTGAAAAAAGTGTGCGGATAGCTGAATGAATTGAGCCTATTTTTCCCCACTGTTTTAGGCGTGCGCCTCCGCGTAATTAATCCAATCACTCACTGTCTCGTCATATTGAGGAACTCAGTTTTCCGGAAACTTGCTTTTCGACTAGTCATCCTTGCGTCAGGAATTGCGGAACACGCTTTTAGACGGGACTTTGTTTGAGCTGCTGCTGAATAGAATTCAACAAAACCAAAAATTAAGAGTTAGAATAAAAACTATAAATGAAACAGTTTCAGACAAAAAATGACTGCTAATTCTCATCTTGAAAATCATACCCATGTTCATCTGACAAAAGAGTTTTGAGTCTAGTTTTGAATATTGATGAAAATTTGCTACTCTACGCCCTCTGTTCCCAACCCACAATGGAACTTTCTCGCTTCTCAACCAAAATCCGAATTGTGGCCTTTGAAAACTCTGAAAACCAAGTTTTCCTTCACGATGAAGGTGGCGGGCAGACTTTGAAGTTTCACAAATCTATTCAAATGTAGAACGCAGAAATTTTTGCGTTAATATGATTTCGAAAACATTAGCTAATTCCCTAAATATCATCAAAGGCGAAAAAAATAGGTCAAAAAATAGTTTAATATTTTTTCGAGTTTCAACTATTTATCTTTGAAATTTTTTCTTCTCAATTCGAAAGCAACAAAAAAGTCAAATTCAGAGAAAAAGAAAAGTACACATACGGAAAACTTTTTTCCGCTACTTTCCCACTACTTGAAAACTCCAACTCCAACAGTACAGCTTTAGGATTTCTTTTTCACGGGTTTATCTCCCTTCATCCTCAGAACGATGCCGAAGAAATGCGACATGTGTCCCCTGTTCGATGCAGAAAGTGCGCTTCATCGCACACCTTGTCAAAACACGTTGGTTTCAGTGTAAATTTATTAAGAGAGATAAAGAATTTTAAATGCAGTAGTTGAATGTTTCCTAATCACTATTTTCTTCTCGTGCCGTTCATTTCAGTTTTTATAGAAATAACAGATAATTGAACTTATAAAAAAGAGGCAAAAGTTTATCGCGCGTATAGAGCGAAAAGGGTCTTGACGCGAAGAGAGCAACGGGAACGGTAATCGCTTTGCATTCTCTCTTTGCGTTTAATTTCTCTTTCTGTGAGAACAACTTGCCTTTCATTGGCTGTTTTACGGAATTTATCTACAAATTTAAGATTTTTTTCTATCTACAAAAATGATTAAAGTTATTGAAGTATCTTAATATAATTTTCAAATTTCCTTTTTGTCTGTTTTTCTTGTTTTTTCCAGCAACTCTTTGAGATATGAGACGCACAACTTTTCTTTTTCACTTTTTTTTTGGACAATCTCGGAAACAAACTTTTACACTCGCTTTCTTTATTTTTTCTGAGTTTGATGGTTCTTTTGATAATATTTTGGCGGTTGACAAACAAATTGATTCAGTACTATATATTTAATTTTTTTTCCACAATATCTCTGATGTTCTTACATTGCTTCGCCGTTGGTTTTTGCTTAATTCGAACTTTCACTCTTTTTTCTTATTCATTTTTTTCAGATCATGAAGCATATTCTCATAGTTTTTCCCCACCCTCAAATGACTTGGAGAACCGCCAAGGGGAAGGTAAACCCTGTGTACAATATTGTTGTCACTTTTGTTCGTGAGGTGGCCGAACAGACTTTGGAGCTTGAGGATGTAAATCCTCTTGAAGCTGTGAGAACTTTTTTGTTTTCTGAATTTAAAAGGTTTTTTGAGTTTTCAGTACGTCGGCGATGTGAAAATTGCAAGTTCAGCACAAGAAGTGAAAGATTACAATTTCTATGATGAAGCGTGAGTTAAAAGTTTTCGTACTCTCTAAAAATTCAATAAGTTGGAAAAACTATAAAAATTTCGATGAAAAAAAAACTGAAACAAAAACGAATTATGTTTTTTTCTGGAAAGAGTTGTGAAAAAAACCAATGAAAAAAAGCTCTAGAGGCTTTGAATATTTATTGAAGTTTTGATCTCATCCAAAAAAATTTTTAACTGCCTGAAATAGTTCTTAAAAAAATTCTTAAAATAAGTACTATTTACTTGAAACTGAGAAAATTATTCCTTGCTATCTTTGAGATGTCCATCCGACGAGAACTACGAAAGCGATCAGATCCTGAAGATCATCAAAGAAACGACTGCGAGCGATCAAGTGACAGTGGTTTGCGAGCACAGATGCCTTGGAGTATGAGCATAATATCCCTATTTATTTTTTCTCTTTTTTTCAGTTGACGCTAAAGTCTTTTTTCGAGGCGAACGTGCGGTTTGTTCTTATCAAAAGCGATGACCGGCGGTCTGACATGAGCTATTCAGAAGAAGCTTTGCAGGTTCTATAAAATAAATTGATTGTTGAGAATGAATCGAGAAGTTCAGAAGCTAAAGCTGCTAGAAACGTACAAAAATTTGATTAATGTGGGCTCGTTACTTGAAGCTCGTCAAGAAGCGATTTGTGTGGCTGGTCGGGTTCTCATAGCAAACGCTTGGCGCTTAACTTTTGGCGTTTTGGAAGATTTTATTCAGGTAAACTTTTTTATATTTTTCAAAACGAGATAGTCTCGTGAAATTTACCGTAAACTTCATTATGCGACTTAGCGAAATTCAGAAATTCGTAATATTCATTAAAAGCGTGTGTTTCAATAAGAAAGATTTATAACTGTCAAATGTTCAATATCTTGCATATACGCTCAGTTTAACTAGATACTCAGTGATAAAATATTATATATGTTTTTGTGTTCGTGTAAAGACGGAACGGAGATTGTTTTTTTTCAGTTCACCAACTTTGAAAATTATAAGTTTTGCGACAAAGACATCAAAGCTGTTGGAACTTTGGACGCTGCAGTGGTCGATGTCGTCAATCTCAAATCGCAGCATTGCGTTTCTCGCTTACAAGAAGAGCTTCCGGCAAGCAAATGTAAATGTTTGTATATTATGGTTGAAGAAATCGTTTTCAGTTCTTCGTCAGTTCTCCACATCAAGAGAAAAAAATGGAACACTGATCATTGCTATGGCTCAAGCTCTCCTTGCTGAGGTGAATCCAGAGAGAAGCTTGAGAAAAACACGAAACTTTGCAGAAAGTGGTGATGCTCTGTGTTCTTGGTAAGGACCAGTTTTGCTTCTTGGTTCCATATCAAGAGGAAGCGGAAGGGCCTGCTGAAATGCTTCTTGCGATGGTTACAAACTGAATAACTTAATCTTTATTTTTCACAAACGGGGTTTCATTTAGGTGGATGAAACTATACCGCATTACTTGGCAAACTTTGCGAAGATGAGTTTGGTAGAAAATGACCATCGAAGAGAGGGTATTGAGCTTCCGATGAGAGAAAGCGATTTAGTACCGAGCTACACTCGGGGAAGTGAGTTTTGATTTTCTGCTCAAAGTTAAGAAAACTGTTATGGAAAGAATGTGATGAGTTCAATATTTTTTGGTTGCTGTTCTATTTTCTGTCGATAAACCATTATTGAAAAAAACCAATGTTCTCAACTGATTGATGACGTGACTGTTACAGCAAGCACTTGGGACTCGGTCGACGGCTTTTCCTACGATTTCAATAAACTTCAAAGATCTCTCCGAAAGCTGCCTGAAAGGCTGGGAACCTTGCAAACCGTAAGTTTTTTGTAAAAGTTTTTTTAATACGTTCACAAATGTGAAGGTTCGACTGATTTAGTGAAATGAGAAACTTAGCTTTCTCAGAAAAAAACTTGAAAGTTGAGAAATAGGGAAGCGTAAAATCATGATCAAATTTTTTTTTTTCCGTTTTTTGAGCTTTCAAAAAACTTGAACATGTTGTGCTTTCTAATTTGACTACAAAAAACGTCGCAAAAAATATAATGTGAATTTTTTGAAGGACGTCGAGCGCATCAAGGCTTATGCCAAAGCAATCGGTGATCCTTCTATTTTACGAATCTTCGCGAATTACATCCGAACTGAAGGTTCTAAGATGGCGGAGCCTACACCAAGATACGCAGAAGACGCTGCTCGCCGTTTAGAGTACTAAACTTCTTTTTCATTCTAAACCCTCCATAATAAATATATCACATTAATATTTAATAATGATGAATATTATTGTATATGTTGCTTAGAGTCATATCATTTATGAACGAACTAAACTGGTTTTATACTTTGTGAACGGGTTGTTCAGTCAAATTCTCTTTGGCCTCACTTTGTACCGATTCTTCCTCGAAATTTCTCCTATTCCACTTTCTCTAGCCATGTCACGATTTTATCTGTTCCCCTGTCTGCGTGTTCTGCCAGACGCAGCGAGGTTCTTCTTTGTGATTGTTATCTTCCTTTTTTCTTTATCCGGCTTTAATAAATTTTTTCAAAAAGGCTGTGAACGTTCTATTTGATCAGCTTGTGGTTTTTTTGCAGTTCTGCAATTCCAACGCGTATTTCATCAAGTTTCCAAGTCTTCATTTATGAATCAAACACTTTTTTTCATGACTTTGTAGCGACAAAAAAATTCTTAAGTTCGAAAAACTTATCCGCTTTTTAAATTCATTTAAGATGGAAAAAAATTCTTTTTATCAGTTCTTTATTAGTTTGTTCCACAATTTGAAACTTACTAGGTTTAAGAAATATTTTGGAATTAGGGTTTTGAAATACTCAAAGACATTCACGACATTCATGAAACGTTCACGCTCTCTAAATATAAAAAAATTACGAAAAAAACGGATCTTTTTAAAAAAATTCGATAAATATCATCTTTTTTTAAAAACACTGAGTATGGCTGCGGAATTTTTTTGTGAAACGCTGAGTATGGCTGAGGCTTAGCTAAACGTCTTGAAAAAGTTCATTCTTTAAGTAATTCGCTTTTTCTGAAAGCAGTAGAGCTCAAATCAATCGTATTGGATTTTATTGGAAGATGTTTTGAAGAATGTTTTTCAAAATCGAGAAAAAAAAGATCAACAAAAGTATTCTCTCAAATTCAAGATCCAAGTGAAGTCGTAAGGATTCACGCTGATCTGTAAATAAATTATTATAAGGCGTAACAAATAAAAGTTCAACAAAGCCGGTAAACCGGTATAAATGATTTCCAATTGAAACAATTGAGTGAAAATATTTAACAATTTATAGTATATCCTTTGGATTTGATAAACTTTGCATCCTTGGGGCATTAACTTGCTAATTTTATCCAACACGCTCATTAGGATTTTTTTCAAACTTCTTCTATTTACTTCTTTAAATTTTTCCGGTCAAAAAAATCTTTCTTAACAGAGTTATGAACAAATATTAAAAAAACTCCATTTTCCGCTATTATAGCTAAAATTTTGAAGATCTTGTTGCAGAGTTTCGTTGCAAAGTAGTTTAAACTTAACACTTCCGTTCAGCCTTTGTGAAAAAAATGAAGTTCCTAAATAATAAAGAAAAAAACACTTTAGTTTGAATCAAACGGTTCAAAATATCTTGTCGTATTTTCAGTTTGATGCTGTGAGGGCAGGGCGTATGCGGATGACAACGAGATTGCTCATTTGTGCGGTTGTCGCACTTTTCGCTATACCGATCGTTCTACTTCTTTACACATTTGAGGCATTCGACTACTTTGTTCCACCTTTTGCCGGTAAAATTCCTATTATTGAAAGTAAATAAACATTAATTGAACAGGTAAAGAAGAGGAAAGGTCGTATGGTGTGATTTGCGATGCCGGTTCAACTGGAACGCGGTTATTCGTCTACAGTTGGACAAGCTCTTCAGGTGGAGAAATTTGAAAAAAATACGATTTCTATTTTTTCCAGATGCGGAAATGATCAAGATTGAGCCCGTGATGTTTGAAGGAAGGCCCGTGATGAAAAAAGTGACGCCAGGTCTTAGCTCATTTGCCGACAATCCGTCTGCGGCTACAGGTTGGAAAAATTATTTCTCATTTGCTGTATGTAATCTCAAAGAAAATATATCAATAATGTATTTCTGAAAAAAAGCTGTCTTAAAACAAACTTATAATTTGATGAAATTTTCAGAATATATCCGCCCTCTCCTGGATTTTGCCAGTCTCCATATCCCTGCCGAACACAGACCGTTTACTCCTGTTTTTATTTTTGCCACAGCCGGAATGCGACTTCTTCCTGACGAGTTTGCATATACCTGGATTTAGACGTTTTATCTTGTCTTTAAGAAAGAAAAAAGCCATTCTGGATAACCTGCATTCACATTTACCCACCATCACAGAAATGCAGGTTGCCTATTTCTCGAAATGCAAAATATCATAAAAGCATCTTTGAAGGTCATGAAAGAGCACATTCGCGTGATTGAAGGTAAATGGGAAGGAATTTATAGCTGGATTGCTGTGAATTACATTTTGGGTTTGTAAAACATTATTAAACAAAGAAAAAACACTTTACAGGCAAATTCAACCTCCAATCCAACGGCTCAATGGATTTTCCGGGAACTTCGCAATCTCAAGTGCGGCCGAAAACCGTTGGAATGGTTGATATGGGCGGAGCGAGCGTCCAAATTGCTTTTGAACTCCCTCAAAACTCCCCTTTCCTAAGCGAGAATGTTGAGAATGTGAGGAAAAAGAACAAAAATTTCTATTTATCGTGATTTTCTATAGGTCAATTTGGGTTGTCATGACGATGACCCAAAGTTCAAGTACAAACTTTTTGTGACTACTTTTCTTGGCTATGGAGTCAATGAAGGTTTGTCAATTTTGGAATTAATTTAAAAGTGTTGCCCAAAAAAGATTTAGGAAAAAGTGATATAACCAATTTTCTGAATTGGGTTTTTCCCGGATAAGCCAATCAATATCATTTGTTTTCTTTAAACCTTAAAAAAAGTTTAAAAAGTTTTCTAATCTCAAAATTTTGAAATTTATGACAGCAATATATTTTTTTTAGGATTAAGAAAGTACGAGCAGAAACTGAGTGACGAGGTCCGTTTGATCAACGGTTCGGTCATCCAGGATGCCTGTATGCCCCTTAATCTCCACAAAACCGTTGAAAGAGAAGACAAATCGATGTTTGTTCGACGGGTAGAAAACCGTTTTGCTTGAAACTCAAATGCCATCAATTTCAGGGAAGCGGAAACTGGACTTCTTGTGTAGAAAAACTTACAACGTTGATCCATCCAACGGTGGAAGAGGCCATCAACAAGTGTTTATCGCAGTGCTATTTTGGGTCCGTTGCAGCTCCAGAGGTTGGAAATCGTTATTGAAATTATTTTTCTCGAGATTACCGAGAAATTGCCGCAAATCAACAGTTTTTTTGAATTTTGGAAAAAGATAATTGCTCGGAAGTTTTACCCTAAGCAACATTAAAAGTTTTTTTTTGTTAGAATTTGAAAATCAATTATTTTCAGATAAAACTTTCTGATATGGAAATATACGGTTTTTCCGAATATTGGTACTCCCATCAGGATGTTTTGGGCCTTGGAGGTCTTTACAATCAATCTATGATTGCTAAGAAATCCCAGCTTTTCTGTTCTCAACGTTGGTCAACTATTCAGGTTTTTCCGAATGTTTTTTTCAAGGAACTTGAGATTTTTCAAGGCAGCTGCAAAGAAGTTGTTCTATCCGAAAGCCGATGACGAACGTCTAAGGACGCAATGTTTCAAATCTGCTTGGGTCTCTGCCATTCTTCACACTGGTTTTTCAGTGGACAGAACCAAGAATCGGTTTCAGGTAGGCTCAGAAATTGTTTTATGAAGTAATAGGAAATTGTTTAAAGAGTGCTCTGACGATAGCTGGTCAAGAGGTCCAGTGGGCGCTCGGTGCCATGATCTACCACATGAGATTCTTCCCCCTACGAGATAGCGCAACTAATCTCACAGTGGCTAGGTGAGATTTGACACTTTAATGAGCTGATTTTGAAACTGTAGTTTTCACTTCATTAAAGTAAAGTAAAAAAACAGTTTTTTTTTCCTAGTTTCTCAATTTTTTTTCTCCACAGCCTTTTTTTATTTTCTGAAACTTGAAAAAACATGAAAAAATTTTAGTCCCTACTATCAGCTTGGTTTTTTTATCATGTCAATGTTGTTATTTGCCACAAAAAAGTTGTTTTGAAAATTTTCGAAATATCGTTTTAGTTAAATGAATATAAAATTTCAGAAAATTCATAGCGGCAACTTTTGTGTGCTTTCTTTTTTGAAAGGACGTATGAGTTTGGGAAAATTGATTTTTTGTGCAGGCATCCGGTTGCGAACAGCTGGTGGATAGCAACTCCGATCCTCCTCCTGTTGATCGTCGTCAGCGTTCTAACCTTTGCTTGGCTCTCTTCAAAGTCCGTCCGACCTCGGCCAGGGCTCTTCCGCAACGCCTACTCTTACAAACTCTTGACTAATGAATTTATCGGGGCTCCCGCTTTTTCGCCTTCCTTAGCTTGATTCTTACATTATCAATTTCTAGGGCTTTTTGTTTCAATTTTTTTTTCAGTTTTATGGCAAATCAGCTGGATATGTTCTGTGACATCGAACTAAATAACCTTAGGCATCCAAGAAAAACCTCAAGTGTTCAACACTTTTACGAAATCTTGATCACTGAATATAGGCCATTTTAAGCAAAAAAATATATTTATTTTTTCTGCGCCTTCAGAAACCGACATCAGATTTGAAATTTGTCAGTGGAGCGCATTTTATCTTTTACATAAACTACAGCTGTTTTGCCATTAATCTCATTCTATATTGCATTTATTAACTTTTCTACTAACATCAAATAGTTCAGAACTTCCTGTGATTAACAAATACGTGATTTTAACGAAATACATACAAGCATCCTAACATTTCTCATCAGTTTAACTCACCCATTGTACTTAAATTTAATTTATTCTATTTTTCTGTGAAATTGAAAACCTCAACGGGTTTAATTCATTCTATAAGCTATTACTATTGCCTTTCATAGAAAACGAAAAACATGTTTGTATTCAACCTTACAGGGACGGGATAATAATTAATCATATTTTTTTCAAAAAATTTTATTGGATTCATGTGGTTAATGAAAAGTTGTTTTTTTCCTTTTTTTTTGTAGTTCAAAAAAGATCTCAGAAAGAAGAAACGAGTTTTAACGTGAATTCAAAAAAGGCACGCGTAGATTCTCGGATCATGAACATCATTGAGCAAACTCAACCTACTACTATGAAACGCCTCGCATCGGATTGCGGAAAAATAATTCTCTACATTTTTCGTTCCAACAAACTTTAAAAACGGTGCAGGATGCTGTAAACCTGAAAATTTTTTTTATTTACAAACATTCTTTTGAACTCAAGTTTTTTTTTCCACATAATATCAGAGCTGCTAACGGGGCGCCCTGCCCCGGTGAATAGATAAGTTAGAAGGAAGTGTAAGTGAAAGAATCCGCATAGAAACGACTAATAAAAAAAGTCCATTCAAATCAATCAAATCAAATCATTTATTTTGTTGTTTTAGTCTGATGTAATCGACTAGGCGGTGAACAAGAACTTTAAAAGCTATAGCGAACAACCGCCTTTGGCGAACTAGAAGTCCAAACGTGTAGTCGAAAGAGTTGAAAGCATGGTCTTACGGTCCTTCGCCTCGTCCTTCTGCGCGTAGTCCATCCAGTTGCGCCTTGACGAGCTCAGAATGTAGTGGGTGATGTAGCTGGAGCCCGGAGACCGTGCTCTAGGTGGAAGCCTCAGGATGAGAGCGACCACTTCGAGTAAAGATTTTACACGGAATTAGTGGAAGAAAATGAAAATTTGTTTAAATCATTGAGTAAAATCTTCTAGCGCGTTGCGGTCACTCCGGTCCGGTCAGCAGCTATGTACTATCAAACAAAACTTTTTGACCAACAAAAAACAAGATACCGAAACTTGGTCTGTTGACAGTTAAATTGAAAAACTTCAGCTTTTTGGAATTTTTTTATTAACATTTTCAATTTTAAAAATTTTTTTGCTGGCTTGAATGAAAAAAACAAAAAAAGCGCCTAACTAAAGCATGGTCTCCGCTCGACAACGAGTCGAAATGCCCGAGCTCAAGGCCTTAAGCTAGCAACTGGCGGCGTGTTGTAGTGGTAGTGGTCTTGTGCACTGTCAATATTGTGACCATGGTTAGAATCCTTTTGGCGGAAATCGTTTTCGCTGGCTCATAACTTCATCATTTTCACATTTATGTGAGATTTTTTACGAAAAATTACATCAAATTCAGGCAGCTTTCCTCGGCCGCCTGTGGATTTTAGCAGAGTTTTATTTTTGATCCGAGTACGCTCATCTAGGCCTTCCTACACTGGGAGCCTCAACTCTCAACTCATTGTCGAGCGGAGACCATGCCTAGTAAGAATAGCTATTGGAAAAAACCGTTTTTCCAAAATTTTGAAGTGCGACTTAGTGTTTTGTCTTAATATAACGATGGGTGTTCCATATAACCTATTTGGAAATTCATTTTTGTTTGGAAAAAAAACTTTGTGCCTGGAAGTTTCCAAACATTTTTGAAGTGGTTTTAAAATTGTTTACCAGAACGTTCTCCCAATTTAAAGATAACGACTGGTCTACTTGACAAATTTCTCGGTTTCAATTTAACAAGGAAGTTGAAAAAAATTTCTGCAAAATAAGAAATATTTGGTCAAACGTCAAAAACAAAAGGTTCAGCCAACCTGAAACACTGAAAAACTTTTGCTATTTTTGACGGAAATTGTTTTTCGCTCGTGTGGAAGAGCGACTCCTCTTGAGTTTATCTCAGTGGGAGAAGACGCCCGGCGCCGCCTGGTGATTGGTCGGCAGCGCGCCAAAATAACAACACAAACAGAGGCGGCCCGGGCCACAGTTTGAAAACGTTTTGCCGCAGTCGAATGACCCGTGTTCCTTCCAATAGTGACGTCGCTTATTTCATTTCGAAGCTTTCGAAGAGGTTGCTCAAATCTTCCTTTCTGCTGGTTTCTAACGTTTTTTGAATTGTAAATTACCAATTGTCTTTAACATTGTAAAAAAAAAAATCGAAAAGGAAATTCCTAAATTATTGAAAGACACATGCTCCGGTTTTCAGTGAATTTGAAGTATTTTTTTTATTTTCTTTTTGATTTTTGAGCTAGGAATAAATTTCAAAGACCACGATTTTCACGACTTTTTAGAAAATTTATCAGTTTTTAGCTATTTAGACATCCAATACTTTCTGTCATTTAACTCGACTTTCAATATTGGATAATAATCAATGTTTTGATTTTTTATCACCACAACGTCATTTCTTTTTCTCCATAAAAATTTTTTTTAATTTTTTTAAAAATTTTTTTATATATCTTGGATTTTACGCAACCTTCTAAGTCTCCCAGAAAGTTGAGCCCAAACGCCGGCCTCAGATCAAGGCTCAGAATATTTCACATAGATTTCTGATTGACGGTTAAACGCCTTGTGACTGTGATAAACGTCTCGCCCATTTTATTCTCTCGTTTGTCCTACATGTTAACCGCGGGAACGTCTTTTTTTCGCGTTCCTATACGATTTTTATCACTTTCTGGGACACCGGCCTTCTATGTCATTTTTACGAACCAGTCTCCATTTTTCTGAAGTTTGTTGCGATGAACTTTTTATTTGCGTACAGTTAGCGATGTTAACTGTGTGATCGATGAATATCACGTAACAACGTTTAGATTTTTTTTGCTATTTTTTTTTTCCAATCGTTTGGTGTATGTTTTTTTTTGGTTTAAGACGTGTTTTTCAATTTTTTTTTCCAAGGTCTTTTTTTTCTTTTCTACTTGTAATTATTTTCAAAAATAAACTTAAGCTTGGAGCCAATTCTCAAATGCAGCGACTTCATCATCTGTTCGAATATAACAACAACTTTTAAAATGTTCGCGAAGCCTCAGTTTCAATGAAAATTCACCATTTCCAGCCTGTTAGAAAAATCTTTGTTCGCTGGAGAAACTACTCTATTCATCAATGGCTAAAGACTTAGGACTTGCGGCACATTCTGCCCTCTTCCCATTTGAAGTATTTTATTTTTATTTTATCCTGTCAAGATTTTTATCATGGCCAGTTTGGTGTCGGCTTTGAAATCAATCAATTCTCAATTCAAAAGTTAATCAAAAAACGATGTGGGCACGATATTTTGAACATTTTTCGATTTTCCTAAATTTAACAGTAGGAAGTTGTACTTTCGACCTTACCGAATATCATCAGTAGTCTGATTGTTTCTCAACCTCGTTGAAAAGCAGCTGTGACGAAGAAAAACAGTCTCTAGCGTGCGTACTTTGGACTTCCCGCATGAGTTATTTGCTCGGCACTTGAGGAGGAGATACAAAGACTACTAGCATTCGATCTGATGGGTTTCTGTGATATTGGCAGCGACGTTCGACCGGGCAACACATGACGCCGAGCGAGCGATCAATCAATGGTCAACGATTGCGACGCCTGGAAGAAATTTGAATACCTTGACGCCGTTATGTGTATACACGTCTTTATCTCGACGTATCGTTACTTTTATTTGTTTTAAAGAATTTCCGAGTACCAACACACAGGCGGCTCAACTTATTTTTCTTATTTTTTTATCACACATCACAACCCGTTAGGATTGTTTGTGGTAAACAAGTGCGCTGATTGATTGGCTGGTCTTCATGTCTTACTTTCTTTCATAGCGGTTCTGGTTGTGTCAATGAGCAGTTCCTGTTTTCTGACTTTTTCTCAAGAGATTCTCAAATTCACAGATTTTTACGATTGACTCTTTGTAGATGTTATTGTTGAGGTGATTCAAAAAAAGAGGGCAAACTTTTAAAACTTTTGATACATGTTTTTGAAGGAAGTAACAAAAAATCAATTTGTTTAGAAAGAACAAAAAAATGTCGATTTTCTGATTAATTATTGTCATTTTCATGAGAAAGCTGATGAATGTGTAGCTTTACATACATCCTTTGAAAAGTGAGAATACATGTTTTCCTACTTTTTTGGAGACTCTTTTAATAATTTTTTCTATGTACAAGTTTATCTTGAGAGAAGAAAATGCCCCTGATATCTTGAGTTTACAAAACAGAGTACAAAAAACGCGATATCATTGTTCAAAGGTTCTTCGAAGCAAGCGAACCACGTGATCTTTTCACACAAATTTCTATGAATTCGCGGCGCAGTTTGTTTCGTTTCTTCCCGCGGCCCGTCGCATAACCTCTGACTAATAATGTATTTTTAGAATTAGATGGAGAATACAGACATCAATTCAGCCTTATCGCAAGATCGGCCTTTCTATCTCACGATCCTTTTTTTGGTTATGAAGGTGAGAAAAAATAGCAAAGATGACGAAAATTTTCCTTTTTTTTCAGTTAGGTTTCTTCTTGTATGATATTGTGACATACATTCCGTTCAAAATCTTCGCCAATCCTGCCGAAAAACTCGAAAAATCACAAAGAGTCAAGGTCAGTGTTGATTCGGAAAGCTGGTCTCGAAAAGTACTGTTTGAGGCGGAGCCTGTTAAAAAAGGAGATTGTACATCCCCTTGGAAGAACGTCAAGAGCAAGGAAGGTCTTGCAAAGAGTCCCTTCGACGGAATCGAAGACCTCGGTTCAAATTGGGACGAATGCGTTAGGTTGGCTGTTTTTTACAGGAAATGTACATAATATCTGATTGCAGACGATATTCAGACCATGCTTGCATGGGAACAAGAGAGGTTCTCAAAGTCCACAAGGAGAAGCAAAAGAATGGAAAAGTCTTTGAAAAGGTCCCATTTGTATGAATTTTCTTGAACCTGCTTTTTTTTTAGTGGGAAATGGGAAACTATCACTGGCGCAGCTTCCAAGCTGTCGACAAACGCGTGAACCTCCTGGCCAGCGGGTTGGAAGAGCTTGGACAGAAGGAGAAATCGCCAGTCGTCATTTTTGCCGACACCCGTGAAGAATGGATGACCACCGCCCTTGCTTGCTTCAAAATGAACTACCCAGGTTTTAAAGTTTTTCCAGAAGCCTTACTTCACTGATTTTCGAGAAAACGAATTCGATAGTTTTCCTTCCAATTTTTACAGGCAAATTTAAAGCAAATTTTTTTTAACCTTGAGACATTTGGAAATAGTTGAGTGTATGGTATCTGAAAATAAATAAAAATCAAAGTATATCAGTCATTTATTAAAATTATTTTCACAAACTTTGTGAATCATGAAATTTTGTATTTAGCCTTCTCTCCGGTCATAAAAATTTGAACTTTCAGTCGCTACCGTATACGCAACTCTGGGAGAAGAGGCAGTGTGCTACGCTATCAATCAAGTCGAGGCTGAAACCATCTTCACATCAGAATCTCTTATGTCAAAAGTTGAAACGCCCCAGAAAAATCGAAATAAAATTTGAATAACCAGGTGAAAAAAGCGATTAGCAATGGAGCTAAGGTCAAGAACGTCATCTACTTTGACAGCGTCGACCCTGAGTCCAAAGGCGAATCTGTAGAGTGCGACGAACCTTTCACTTTGCTCTCATTTGAGCAACTGCTTTCCAAAGGATCAAGTGAGACAAACTCTTGAAGTTTCTTACAAATGTATGTTTCGTCTTACAGCGAAGTCAATCAAGCCAAAAGCCAAAAAAGACGATATTGCAATGATCATGTACACTTCTGGAACCACTGGCAACCCTAAAGGCGTCCTTCTTTCTCACCAAAACATCGTCGCTGCTACGGCCGGTCAAGGCGCTTGTATCACATTGACGTAAGTTGAGAAATTTACGAGCATTCAAAACCTGTTAAGACCAAGAAAATCAATGTTTTGAATGAGAAAATCATCATTTTTAGAACTGAAGACAGATATATTGGATATCTGCCACTTGCCCACATTTTGGAGGTCTGCGCAGAAATGGTCGTTTTCAGCAAGGTTTTTTGTTTCTCTGGAAGTATTTCAAAATTATTGACTTCCGCAGGGAGTCCGTATTGGTTACTCTTCAGCTCAAACTCTTTTTGATCGAGCCCCAAAAATCAAGAAAGGAGAGCATGGTGACTGTTTCGCGCTGAAGCCAACCTTGATGGCTTGCGTTCCTGTTAGTTTTAATTTTTTTTGTATTTTTCCTCACGAGAAAAATTTCTTCAGGCTGTCATGGACCGCATATTTAAAGCCGTTGTTGATGAAGTCAACGCCAACAACAAATTTTTCCGTGAGCTGTTCAAAGTCTGTTACGAGCGTAAAAGGTCGCGCTACGAGGATGGCTATAGCAGCATTATTTTGAATAAGTTTTGAAAGTTTGGCGAACTTGTCTAAATTAAATTTTAAGATTGATCTTCCAACGAATCGGAAAACTTCTCGGTGGCAACATCCGTCAAATTCTTTCTGGTGGTGCTCCTTTGAGTCCAGAAACTCAGCGGTAACTTTTGAAACGAACTCAAATTAAATAAAAAAGCTCGGAAAACTTCTTTTTCTCTGAACAGAGAAACTTTGAGCGTCTCTTTTTTATGATAAGCTTGAGTTAAAATGTTTACGCGCTGAATAAGTGCTGCAAGGCAAGAGGGAATGTAGTTTGCGTACAAGCCTTCTACTGAAGTTGGCTGCAGAGTTTCATCAAAAAACAATTGCCTTGTAAAAGCTTTATATCCAAAATTTTTTTAAATTCCAGTTTCATGAACATTTGCTTCTGCTGCCCTGTTGTGCAAGGCTACGGACTGACAGAAACTTGCGGCGGAGGAACTTTGGCCGACTGTCAGTTTTTTTTTTCATTTGAATAATATTTCTCTTCTTTATAGTTAACGACTTGTCTACGGGAACTGTCGGCCCGCCTTTGACTTGTTGCGAAATCTTGTTGGAAGAGTGGAAAGAAGGTTCGGAAATAGCCGTTTCAAAGAAAACAAAAGAATACTTCTGAATTTTAGCCGGTTACTCACCAAAGAACGACCCACCTCAAGGGGAAATTTTGATTGGAGGACCAAACGTCGCCATAGGTTACTACAAGAACGATGAAAAGACCAAGGTTAGACTGAAAGCTTTGTTTCGGGAAAAAAAAAATAGAACCATATTAACAGAGAATATGGGACCTGAGCATCCGAACTGGTTTAGGAAACTTTTTTTTTGAATATGAGAACGAAAAAAACCAAGAAAAAAATAATAAGATAAAAAACCGACTATTTCGTTGTATTTGCCACGATATATTCGAATTTTGACAAAAAAAGTGAATCATTTTTCATTTGTGTTCATAAGAAACAAAAATGAAAAAGATTTTATCAGGTCCTGCGGTTTGTTTTAATCATGAAAATATTCCCGATCATTTCGGATCATCGAAATTTCCCTGTTTTAGGAAGATTTCGTAATGCGCAATGGCAAACGGTACTTCGCCACTGGAGACGTCGGTGAATTTAGAGCAGACGGTTCTCTGAAAATCATTGGTGAGAGAAAATAATGATAAAAATATGCCTCATTCCTGCTAACTTTTTCAGACCGCAAAAAGGATTTGTTGAAACTCTCACATGGAGAATACATATCTTTGGGCAAGGTTGAAACCAACCTGTTGACAAATCCCTTGGTCGATAACGTTTGCGTCTATGGCGATTCCGACAAGAGCTACCTTGTCGCTTTGGTTGTGGCCAATCAAAAAAATGTCTCTTCATTAGCTGAATCGGTAAAATCAATCTCTCTCAAGAAGAAGAAAAAAGAACGTTTCGCAGAACGGAGCTGGGGACAAGGACTTTGAAGAGATGTGCAAAGATGAGAAGGTTGTGGAAGCTGTGCAGAAAGAATTGGCCTCTTACGCGTCTTGTAAGTCAATTTGTTTAATATTTTTTTCCAAAAACATGACTTTGCAGCCAAACTCGAAAAAGCGGAAATTCCAAAGAAAATCTTTTTGTGCGCCGAACCATGGACCCCCGCTTCTGGACTCCTCACCGAAGCCCTCAAGCTCAAACGCAAAAATATCGAGAAAGCTTTCCGCAAAGAGCTTGATGAACTCTACAAATGATCTTCTTTTTCTTCTCTATATATCCTGAGATTCTCCAGCCATATTATCATTATACCTGGTTCATAAGATATATCCCTTTTGTTGCCTTTCTTTGTAATGCTTTTTTGCTCAAACGATTTTTACCATTTATGAAATTAATCACGGTGCGCATTTAGGGTCTATCAATTGTCTTAGATTTATTTCTTGTTATGATGTGCATTTAAATCACCACAAAGCCTTGCAAAACGGATCATCGAATAAATTTTTATTTTCTCATTGAAGGGAAGCGAAGTATTGTCCGAGTATTTGTGGTCCGGAAAAGTGTGGGCGTTCTTGGTACTGAAAAGTTTTTTAATGCGAATTTTTCGGGTACTTTAAAGAATTTTCGTTTCATTGAATAGTCAACCTGAAACTCTCATCATTCGGTTTTCAAACCTAGTGTAACAGAACAAAGTGCGCTACTGACAGGTGTCGCGTCTCCTATTGTTTTCAAAAAAGCCTTGAAAAAAGAAGAAAACAAGTTAAGGCCAATATTTTTAAACTTGAATGGTGAGGTGAAGTCGTATTGTATTTACTTCTGGTTCGAAACGCGAAATGCCAGTAGCACCACCATTACCCTATTATTACCCTATCAAAATTTTTTAGTGATATTATTGTAGTTCAAAAATAAGGAAGTTTGAAGTTAAGAAGGAATTTGAAACAACTATTGTGTTTTTTAAAAGGAAAGCTAAAAAAAGTTTTGAATAGTTTTAAATATTTTTACACCATCAAAAACGTGACACATGACAAACCAGTCAAATCGCGAACACACTCTCCAAAAGAAGGGGTGTAGCCTCGTTTACATTGACAAATTTTGTTTATACACTTTGTCGAGGGCCGGCAGGCATCGTCTTTGCCACACGGCTGACCTGCTAATCCGATGGAGAGCAATGCCTTTTTTGCTTTTTCATCTTCTGAAAACTCGAAGTCATTTTTTCACTTCCACCGAAAAAAAGGGAGAACGGACCTGCTGTTTTAACTTCATAGAAACTTTTCTCCAAACATTGTCCTCGATGCTCTCGGTCACCTTCAACGCAGAAGCACTTCAGATCGATGCAAATCGCGCCTCCGGAACAAATCTTTCCATGCAAACAAAGATTTCCAGGTGTCCCTGTTAGAACGATTGATAATTATCTCAAGTATTGCTTAGTTAATATATCAATTTTGTCTTGAGTATAAAAAAACCCTGTTTGCTTTTTTTGTAAGTTTAAGGATCATGATTTTTTTCGAATTCGAACAATTTTTTTCCAGTAGTTTCATAAAAAAACGCAAATGATTTCTTTTTCTATTAGTGAACAATATCTCTTAAAAAAATTTGAGCATTAGAAAGAAGAATCTCTTTGTCTAAAAAAATTTTTTTAGAAACCTGCACGCTTATAAAACAGTCGTGTCTTTTTTTGATTGTAAAACTAGTTTTTTTCTTATTTCTGAAAAATGGAAAATGAAAACCTTCACAAAAATCCCTCTTCAATGCACTCGGATAGAACACTTCGATAATCTCAAAACAAATCAACTTGAATAAAAAAATAGAACTTACAAACTTACAACTGAGTAAAAAAAGTGAGAAGCACGAGCAGGTGCATTGTAAGTCCTAAAAGAAAAGAATCTCGCTGATTTCGATGTTTACCTACGTGTCAGTTTTTCCGAATTGCACGACGACCCAACGTCAAAAACTCAGTGTGTCGTTTAACGATGAACGCGAATTTTTTTTCAGATTTTTATAAGTAAGGCAATTTTATTCTACACCGGTATGAAAAATCAAAACTAGTACACAAATAATCAATTTTCATGAAAGTAGTGAAGTTTGAGCTGTTCCATGCAGATGAATGTTGTTTGAGAAAAGTACTTCCTCTCGTCGAGTGGTCCATTTACCTATAAATTTCAAAGAATAAAGGTTTATGTTTAATAAGCGAACCAATTATCACATCTGCGTCTTCATTAGTGACACAGGGCAGGAAAAGCGAGCGGAATGTTGAGAGGAAGTCGTTTGACATGGAGCAGTAAAGAACAAAGCTGACGGAGCTGTAAATCAAATCTTTGAAAGGCGAAATGAGTAAAATTAAACCTGTACAAAAGTGTGAGCATTTCCATGAGATTACCTAGAGGGTCATAATAACGCATTCCAAAATCTTCACCGTACATGGCTACGCAAAGATTCAGAAAACCCATCGGTAGTTCAACCTGCATTATTTATAAAACATATACATGACTTTCTTCTTACCATAACACACAAAAGAAGGATTATGACCAGCATTCTTGTTGTGCGAGGACGAGTGGCCAGCTTTCTTTTTGCTTTTCGTTCAGAATTTGTGCAAATCTGAGCTCCATGGTTGCGTTTCCATTTCCTCCTGCGTCTTTCAACACTTTTCAGAGATCTGAAAATTGTTTGGAAATTTTATGTTTTTCTGGTAGTATGAGAAAATATTAGCGTTAGATAAAGGCATTCTGAGAAGAAAAGAAAGTTCTTTGCTTTATAAAATTTTTATTGGATGTAGTCATTTCCAACGACAGTTTTTGTATCAAATCTGGTGTACTCCAAGGAACTGTTACGGGGCCTCTCTTGTTTTTGATCTTCATGAATGATTTAGCTGCTCAATTTACAGATGGTGTTTTGAGCCATCTATTTTCTGATAACTTTGAAATCCCTACTTTTCAATTCTCATATTTCAAAAGAAGTCACCACCTCTTTGCTGAAAAGAAAAAAAATTCTGAAGAGCTTCCGTTGTCTCACAATTCAACAGTATAATATGGTTGATAATGACTGCTCGGTTCATTTTTCGAAAACAGCTTAATAAATTTGAAAAATTGTTTTTTTTTTCTCCAGGAACCTAACTTTATTTCAATAATCGAGAGACTCACTTGATCAAAGCAATCAGGAGAATGGTCAAAACCACTGAAGGAAGAAGCTTAAAAACAATCCCAAACGTCCAAAAGACTGCAGAAACAAGCGGCGGATTTCCTTGATAACTCAGGTCATACAGCTCTCCTTCCATCGAGCAGTTCAAGTTGTAAGCTGTCAAATTAACATCTATCGACTTGACCTGAACAAATCGAGTTCTAAATCAAATTTGGTTTTTGAGGAACCTCCGAAATGAAAAACACAGGGGCACTTATCAAGGGTACGATAAGCCAGATAAATATGTTGGCCGTGACTGCCAACTTGGTTTTGTAAATGAATCGATTTGCTTGAATTGGAAATTTCAAAGCGCAATAGCGAAAAACAGCCACGATAATTGTTGTAGCGAAGGCGACTGGAAAAATATGAAGTCTATCATTTCAAAATAGAAAATTTTCACTTGTATGAAAAACTGTGTTGAAGTTGACATTGAAAAAGCGATACCACGTGAAAGCTCTCGTCCAAAGTACTTTGATGCTGTAATTTCGTTTCGTGGATGATCTTCAAACCAAAACTCACCACTGCATACGGTAGTACTCCAGAACAAGAAATGAGAAATAATTCGTTGCCAAAAGCCACTGCGCGAAGGACAATCCCGTTAAAAGTACATTAATTGGAGTTCTCATTCTTTTTCTGAAAAGTAACTGATTACAAAGAGAGGAACCCAAAATAAAACATGCCTGGTGAGAACAATAATGTTGAAGATGTTGGACATGGCCCCGAAAAGACAGATGGATATTGATAAAGGTATGTGAATCTCATCGTAAACCTGGAAAAAGCTATTCGCTGAACCGCCCAGAGTTTCAAAAGTATTCAAGCAAAAAAATTCCGGCCCGAGGGTTGCGAAAAAGGCGACTCAAAATGTTTCTCAGGAAGGTTCTCAACATTCAAATCATACTTACCAGTGAAAAACTTTGAATAGTGCATTCGAAGTAAGCGCAAGAAATTTCGTATTCCTTTTCAGCTTCACTGTCATAATCCATCTGAAAATTTCATGTCACTTAAAATTAAAAAAAGTCAGCGACGAACGATGAAGTTAAAAAAAACTTGAAAAAGCTTGAGGACTGTTTTCTAATGTGGGACGGTTAAAAAGCAAAAAAATATGTGAGCAGTTCATTGAGGCTATGAAAACTATTTTAAATTTCAAGATTATCTTTCAGAGTTTCACAGATCGTGAATTGAATACCGCGGACCAGTTTAATGAAATCAGCTTCGAAGTAATATGAATTCCTCTATTGAAAGGAATAATATTTCGAACATTTTATTAACTTCATAAAAAAACTTTCAATATTAAAAAAAGAAATTAACTAACTGCGATTAAAGATAGTAAACCGGTCAAGTCTTTAAAAGAAAAGTAACAATAAGTTATTTCACATTTTTTTGCATTCTTCAAAACGAAGATCTGAACGAGAACCATATGATCATAATTTTCGGTAATAACATTAACCCGGCTTAGGTGAATTACCAGTTCTGAGTAAAAAGGTGTGTCTGGGCAACTCTGCAATACAATGGGAACGAGAATGACGGCGAAGTCGGCTAATGGATGGGCAGATTTTTTCTGAAAAGCTACCCGCTTACCATTTCAGCGGCTCAGCTCCGCAGTGGAAAAAAAACCGAAGAATTGAGTATTATTAGACTAAGTTCAAATAATGTTAAGCTCAATTGTTCTCGGGTTCTCAAAGGTGAAATATGAAAGCATTCAGAAGACTTCGAGGATCACGAAAATTTATTTTCCAAGTATGAGTGGTTTCCGCAAAGATTTCAATAAAATCGTTGATTCTCATCTATTCACAACAACTTGCAGTCTTGAGACACGCTCCAAAAAATTTTGGAAAAAATTCAGTTGTCATATTTGAGCCAGAAAATGAGTTTATAACAGCTCTAACAGTGTTTTTTGAAAGTTGTTGTTATGATCGAATTGCATGTAAAGCTAACAATTAGATTGGACAAAAACGAGGAAAATACGGCAGTTTGCAGTGGCCAATCAGTTTCGAATGAATAAATCATTAATATTCATCCCAACCAAAATCTTTATCTTTCCCGCTTACAAACAATCCCTTTCACTAAAATTTTTGTTTATTCCTGCTCAAAATTAATTCAGGGAACTGAAGTAATTAATTTTTTTTAATTTGTTAATTTTTTTCTGAGTCCCTCAAGGATTTGAAGTGTTGGAATTTTAAGTGGAAACTTGGTGGTATGAAAAAAAATGACCAGCTAATTTTCTAACGGCGACTCTTTCGATTTTTTCATTTCGTCAGGGAACTTTCCGACGGAGAAGCATCCGACTCATCCTTTTCCGACTTTTTTTTTCTCGATAAAATTTTTGTTTTGAATGTTCCCATATAAAGTGGGTAGTTGATTCATGATTAAAACACAAAGAAATAATAAAATAGGTGTTAATCGATGGTTTATAAACCGATAAAAACAAGGGAAAAAGTCGGAAAAGGAATCGTCGGAAACTTCTCCGTCGAAAAGTTCCCTAGCGATATGAAATAATCGGAAAAGTCGCCGTTCGAAAATTCGCTGGCTTTTTTTTCAAACCACCGAAAATTTATTTACGAATTGAGAAAAAACACGATTGAGTAAAGTTCGATTTTAAAAAAAATTTCAGAGAAACAGGGTCTTTGACTTTTCGCTACAGCTTAAATAAGTCAAATCAAAGACTTTAAACTTGTTTTTTTGCAGGGACTTTGAAAAATCGAGATTAAAAACACAGAAACAACGAATTTTACAAAAAAAGTCCTCTGAAATAATTTTTTTCATTTTTTTTTTGTTCACAACTTTTATGTATAAACTGAACTCTAACTGTAGGAATGCGGAAATTGCCGAGAAAATCATTTTTTAGTTATAAACTGGTCTCCTGTGGAATGAAACGAAAAACTTGCAATGAATGTCATATGAGAAGGTAGACAAGGATTTTGTGGAACTCTATGAAATTTTGATCAGTGCCAGTGTTTTTTGAAGCCGTTCTTCTCAAAAAGGCTTTTTTGCGTTAAAAAGCTTCCCAATAAATTTTCATAGTACAGGAGAGTCACTTTGGAAGAAGCTTTTAAAAAGTGTCCGTCACCAGTTAAAATCTTTTCATTACAAAAAATAAATAACGCATTCAATCAAAAAAATAGGCGAACAGAAATATTTGTCAGCTCTCAAAAAATATGAGTAGAAGATTAGCGCACACGGAACAAAAGGTGCCGCTGAAATCCAATAAAATAGCGGGAACTTTTTGATTTGATTGAGTGTTTCCTGTTATTTAAAAGGTATTACTCACTTCACACCCATAAAAAAAACTTGAAAACATTGAATTTTCTTTGAAAAGCCTTAAACAGAATGGAAAAAAGAAGAATCTCTCTGTCTATCGTCGCGTGAAATTTCCCAATTTTTCAGCTTTCCCAAAAGCTTTAATGGGGTGAAAATAAAAGCAATTCGTTTGGGTATATAACGGGAAGAGCACAAACGAAAGATTCATTACCAACAAAATTAGGCCTATAAAAACAGCAAAGGTCGAATGTGCAAAAACGAGTGGTTCATGCCCTCTGTTCTTTTTTTTTCTCATTTTTTAAAGAATGTTTGAGCTTTTAAATCTTTTTTTTCATTTCAGAAAGTTCGATAAAAAAAGTATTCATAGATGAATTAAAAAAGTCGCATATGAGAAAAAAAGAGATACGTGTGTATGGGGGCAGATCAAAGCCGAACAAAAGAATAGTATGTCGAGCTGTGATTTTCTAAACAAAAAAACTAAAACTTGTTGAAATTTCATATGTATACCATTCTCCGCAAACTTCTGAAAAAACTTCGAAACGCTTCCGGATTCATTTTCTTTCCATTTTCACAAACGGTTCTTGACAAAATATCAAAACGGAAAGTCTGGATTCGCGTTTGCATATATTGCTGGGTGAACTAAACATAGTCGGCCGCCAAAAATAAAAACATAATAGGTGCTTCAACTTTACCGGTACAGATACCTCAGTTTTCATATACCGATGACCAGGTCGAGACAGATTTCTGAATGAGAAAAGAATAATCCCACTTTTTATTCGTTGCTACCTTTCGCGACTTCGGTCTCCAAGAATCCAAGAATGAAAGAAAAATAAGACGCATTAATCTTCCCACAGCGACTTTATGAAGAATTTGGAGATTTTTGAAGCTTGGGAGTCTTCTCTTATACGTTCAAATAAAATTTCAAAGCTTAGAACTATGAAAGTAAGACACAAAAATTAATGAGATTCTCAAGTCAAAGTATTTAATTTTCAACCCGATGTAAATTATTCTGACTGATAGAAACATCTGCTCGAAGCGACATTTCTATAACTTTCTAAATATTCTAGCCGAGATTCAAAAGGGTTCCTGATATCCAAACAAAAAGAACTTGAGGGCGTTTCTCAAAACTTTCGATGAAATAAATTATAAGGAGGAAAATGCGCCAAACCTTTCCTTGTTTTCTAAATGTCAAATGCATCCAACATAATAAAAAAAAACGATTTCACGTGGTTCGACGCTGCTTGAGTCAACGGCGGAAGTCTTTGAAACTTCCTGAAATATGGAATCCATTCTGATTTTGGTGGTGAATGAAAAGATGAAGTCAATAGATGAAATTGGTGGATAAAAAGAGGAAATCGAGCGGTATTTTGCATTCTGGCGTTCACTTATTATTCTATCTCCCAACCTCTAAAGATGGATATTTTGGCCCCAAGCATAAACAAATTTGCGGTAAAGGGACTTCAAAAAAATTTTTTTTTAAAAGTTTGCTAGAAAAATGCGTTAAGCTTTCAAGAAATCTGCAGGTTTTTTTATGAAATTTCAATTTATCTTTTTGTGAAATTCAATGAAACAAAAAAATCCAAAGTTCATATCAGAGAATTACTTTCAGATGAAGTAAAAAAACTCGAAAGTCATTTGTGCTTAAATTTTCAAGAGTGATGCTTTTTTTGGATTTTGAAAGAAATATTTTTTTAATTAACAGCACCCCGGCTATTTTTTTTAAATCTTGTTCATTTCTTTGACCTCTTGGTTTGCGAAATTAAAAATAATTAGTTTCGGATAATTTCGAAGACAATTTTTTTGCTTTTTCATAGGAATCAGTTCTTGCAAAATGTTGGTGAGACCATATAAAAAAATAAAAAAACACTTGTTTAAATTGGATTTTTTTGTGACTGAAATTCGGAAAAAAATTCCTATCATGATTTTGTTCGACTTTATAGCTTGTAAAAAAATTTCATTACATTACAAATTTTTTTGAACATTTGTTTTTTTCAAACTGTTTATGATCTATGTTTTCCATACGCGACACTAACGTTCCGGGATTTTCGAGAGAAACATGGAAAAAAATTCCTTCTTGGGAAGCTTTTATTGTTTTTTTTCTTCGCATTCTCCCATTTGATCGAGGATTACTGAACAATGACAAATTTTCTTTTTGAACAACAAAAAAGTTCAAAAGAACAATAGTAGCCAACTCTTGCGGACTGTTTTTATTAGTTCGCTTGCTCCGAGTTGTTGCGGGCTCAAAACGAAGCGATTTAAATACATCTGACCGATCTACCAAAATTTCAGTTTGTACAGAAGTCCGTGAAACCTCTAACTCATCTTCTTGACACAAGAAAATTGAGAAGAACTTAACGCTGCCATAGCGTTATCTTGAAATAATTCCGTTGTTTCTCGGGAAAGCATTCAAGAACGTCCGACTTTTCAGACAATGTTTGTAGGACGACCTTTTTTGCAGTTCATTGAGATCAACAAAAAAATTTATCAGAAGTGGCAGCAAGGAAATTGGCACTATGTGTTCTACTTGCCAACTCTCGCTCCAAACATTAGATTGCGTTTTCCGACTCGAGCGATATACAGCCGCTTAGGTAAATCATGATCGTCCTCCGGTTCAGAAGCATCTCTGAAAAAAAAGTGCTGCGATAGAGGATTTTACATGATGCTTCGCTAGCTTGAGCTATTTGTCTTACTATGATTTGAGATCTAGGCTTCAGACACTTTTGGGTAGCCCTACAGTTTCCTATGCATTTTCAGAGCTCAAAGGGAGCAATGAATCAAGAAAAAGCTACCCTCGCTTCCCGACGCGCGGATACGGTAGAAGAAGTGCCGACGCCTGAGGTGCACGGGCGATTCTGTGCATGGCGTATTCTGGAAGAAAAGCCTTTCAGAACCGACAAAGTCTTTCTCAAACCTCCATAGTCGCCGTAGGCGTAGACTGACGTCAGAATGAGGAGACCCAGAAGAGCTCTCAGCATGTCCGCCGTGTAGGTGCAGGCAGCAGTAAGGTATGGATAGTTATTTTCAAGGCAACGCCTGGCCGCCTTTTTCAATTTCCGGAGGCTCGTATCAAAAATTGCGCACGCACGGGTTTTTGTAGACTTTTTCTCATACCTTTTTCCTTAATCGAACGAAACTCTCACGTCGCTTATTATCCCGACGCCAACAATTGTTTTGATTGCGAGAGCCATTTGAAAAACATAACATGAGTGGTTGTGGAAAAGTGAGAATAATATCCTGGCCTCCATAGACAAACAATTGACATCGACACCTTTTTGTAAACGATGCTGCGGTCAAGTCGAATCACTGACCGTAACAACGGTCACAACGAGGTATGACGCAGTTGGGGTATATTCTCTTTGAAACCGCAAACTTGACTATTTTGGGAACTTATTGATAAGAAGGCTGAGAAGTTATAGGAAGTTTGAAGCAGATTTTGTAATCAAGTTCGTTTGTAGTGCTTTCAGAAGGCTCATTCTTTTTTCTCCCATTCAAAGAAGCCGTCAAATTTTAGTAATTTTCAATCAAAACTTGCCTCAAGTCAATTGAAAAAACTGAATACTTCTCGGTTATACAAAATGGTTTCTACAGCTTTGAAAAGTCCATTTCTTTTCAGTCTTTAAGACATAAAAACCAATCGATGACTTTTCACATGCAATGTTTCGGAACTTGTTTCTGTTCTGAAAAAAAAAGCGGGATTTTATGTTTTTGCCCAAATGCGTGAAATAACTTAAAAGAACTCTTGTCGAAGACTGTCGGTGTTTTTTCTCGTATTTTATCCATTATTCAGTATATAAATGCCTGGTTGAAAATATTTTTCAAAGTCCTAAATTATCATTGTTCCCTCGGGCACGGCATTTTCATTTACCGAACCGTATTTATCACCTTTTGATTCCATCATAAAAAGTTGGACTCAAGAGCTGCCAAGCTAATAATTTTCAAATTCAGATGGAATAATCCGAAAACTTTGTTTTGAAGTATTTCATATTTTCCCACTTTCAAAAATTTTTTCGTGATGATTTAACAAACTATTGAATAATAGCAAGCGATTATACAGTAAGATTACTTTCAGACCTCATTAAAGTATAGAATATATGAATTTCCTCTTCCAGCAGAACGGCGGGAGCTTCTGAATAGTATAACTAGAAGCAGAACTGGCTGAATGAGCTGAATGAACTGAATGATAATGAATGGTAAACCGTGCGAAATGAAGCTTCGTCGAGGTGCAACTCCTCCCCTCGTGCCAGTTGCGGTCGGGCGCATCACTGTTTGCCACGCGGATTGAGGCTGTCTCTACGCCTCGCGCTTCCAGGATTAGCCGGCCATGTTGCCTCTGCAGAACTACTGTGTGCGGTCTTTTGTGTGTACCTTCGCTAATGTCAGACTAGTGTCCACAGCTGTAGGCCATTCTCCTCCCAAAACTATTGCACTTTTTGTTTTAAAAAAGGTTGAGTCAAAAATTCCTCAGGTAACTGATAGGCAGGGCCATTCTACTCTCCGGTGAGGATTTTTCTGGAAATCGGGCAACATATTCCTTGTTGGAGAAAATGAGAATCTCGAAAATCTCACCCTTTTCAATTGCCGTCAGTTACGGTTGTGTCTGAACGAAAAAACTAGGTATGCATTGCTGAGATTTACAGAACACTTAGACACTGTTTTTTAGGAAAATTTTTAAAGAAGAGTCTCGAAATATTGGATGTAAACCATGAATATAATCTCAACAAATAAAGTTTCCTACAAGCTACCCTATAAAAACCTGAAATCATACACACCGAGGGTTTTTTGAATTTCATCAGAATATTTTCTTGAGCTTGAGTTTTGTAACTATACTCCAAGAGCTAAACCTACATAAATCCAATTTTTTTCGAAAAAAAGTAACATCACGTTTTTCGTGAAGTTTCTCGCTGAAAGTTTTAAACACACGGTTGTGTTTTTGAGGGTGTGATTTTAGGGATTTCTTTTTTTCGTATTTTTTTGTGTTTTTTTCAAGTATATCCAAATGAAAACTTTTTTCAATTAGTGATTGCGACTTCAAGAAAAACGTTAGCGACGAGGCTTCGGCATTTATATGACAAGGTGCAGGGCAAGAGACATTATCAAACCAACAATCAAATTTATCATTTTTTTCTGTTCTTCAAATGTTTTTTTGTAGGTGTTATTCTCAGGACGGGTCGGAAGTGGTGACGAGATCTACTTGCGACCAGAGGGAATGAAGTGGAAGTTGTCGCCGCCTTGCGGGGAAGCCATGTATTCGGCCAAAGACAATCCCATGGACGCTGTTAAAAAAATCGTGAAAATATGGATTTGATATGAAACTAACGGCTTCTCTTGGACTTCAAAAGCACCGTGCGGTAGACTCTCGACATGAGTTGGTCCACATTTTCGTCGCTCTGAAATGAAAAACGAACAAATCCTTATAGTAAAATACTTAAAACATACGGAATCAGACCAGGCGTTGACATTGATGGCGAAAAGGATGCAGAGGACCGCAAGGACGAGCCACTTCATGATCCCTATTTTACCTGAAACCTTTAGATTTATGAGTAAATGTAATTAGAAAGCTCGATAAGAAATTATACGGTTGAACAAAATGGATACAAACAGAATAAGCCGGAATTTTATGGAAATCAAGAAGAAGTAAGAAAGCAGAAGAAAAAATGCGTGACGGGCGTCTGTTGATGCAACTTTTTGGAAGTAAACCCGCCGCTCGGCCAACAATCAGGCCCCTAATTGTAGGCACAAAAGCCGGCGGATCTTCGCATGACGCTTTTCCTATAAGTTCAACACCGACAAGCCAGAGAAAAACAGGAAGGACACGACGAAAACGGCGATTGTAACTAATCCGGCGCGAACCCGTCCTTATATAGTCTTCTTAATTTGAAGTGGCGATAGGCTGCCCACCATCTGAGCTCTTTGTATATCTTTAACTTAGTTATCTTCCACCACACGTTATATACTCAATTACATACGCCCACCATGTATAATTCACGCATTATATCAATAAGGAGCAAGATGCGTTTTTCCTCTCACATCATATTTATTTAGGACGTGATAGACTTTAGGAGTGCATGCCACAAAATCATCTGGCACCCTTAGAAGTTGGAAAGTCGGAAGTATAGTTGGTTCACCACGGCTTGAAACGTTATTCTATCGCTTGAGATGTTCCAAAACATCTTAACATTGCCATTTCCTGACCGCTAGATTTGGATTAGGATTTCAGTGTTTAGCTTGAGGTTGCTAGCAGTTTTGAGGAATTGTTTATAGTACTGCCTTCAATAAAATTGTTCATTCACATAAAACGGCCAGCTAGAAATATGGGTGACGGTTTAACGTGCGGTCCATTGGCTCACCAGAAACTTTTTTCCAAGACTTCCAACTTTTCAGAGATACATTATTAGTGATAAATTCAGGACAAGAACCTCTAATGTAAACACCTTCGAAAATCGCTTTTTTTCACACTTTCAGCAACGAGAAAAAAATAAAAAAAGTTGTATTTTTTTCATGAATATAATTATAACGTTTTTTTAAAACTCTTCGAAAAAAACCGGGATACGCTTTCAGATGTTCTCAAACAAATTATTTTTGAAAATGTTCGGAAAGAAAAAAATTTTGACAAAGCACTAGTTTTGGAGATCCAACACTTCTTATTTTTGAGTCGAGTAAAAGTTACCGATTTTCCCAGTCTTGTTCCAAGTTTTTATGATAATTTGGTGAAATGTCCTTTCCAAGGCCTTCCGATTAAGAATGGAACAGTTATAATTTCGCTGAAGTTTCAGTAAACTTTTTGTTGGTTTCCCATCGCGATTTTTGTTTGTGTCATTTCATCATGCTTTGCAGATTCTCAAAATTCAAAAATGAAGCCAGAGAACACAAATGCTTTATTAAAACAAAGGGAAAAAAGGATTCAATGGATGTTAACAAATGGGCAGAACTGGTCGTCATGTGCCTGTAATCACAGATCGTCAAAATGAAAAAAATGAAACTCGATACCTGGTTGCAATAGTATTTGAGTCGTTTCCTGTGGGAGTTCCACTGTTCGTGTTCGGCCGTGAAAAGGCCGGATAAGGCGCAAGGAATGCTTTCTCGTCGTACAACTTCGCACAGTAACCCACGAGCCTGAATATTTAAGTAATTCATAAATCGAATAGTTATAATTACACTAAAAATGAAATGTAGCCAAATTTAGTTTTCAGTAAAGTTCTTCTACCTTAGCTGCTAACTTTAACATCGATTTCAAAAAGTACATAAAAAGCTAGCCCCATAAAAATTCGTTTTCAAGGCTTGCGAATTCGAAAAACGAGCCAGTTTTATAGATTACCACTTTGAAAAACTTCATTTGCATCAAAGAATTTTGGAATTAATTAACCGTTTTAAGGTGAACTTCTCCCATTTTTATGGGCAATATGGATGATCAAGTCTTGAAAACAGAGTCCTACTCACTTTTTGGAGCACGACATGAGCATCCATGTGATGAGCAAGTGAAGAAAAGTAGAGTAAAATCTCGTCATGGGGCAGGTTTTGAGAAATGACGTCTTGTCCATAGGTCGCGACGATTGCAACACAGACAAAAAGATGAAAATAATTGGTTCTATATCGTGCCCAGCAACACTGAAAAATTGGGTCTTACCAAAAGTTATAAATAGAGTTTTACCTCCCAAATGTGAAAAGCATGATCTTCGGGAAATTCTCGTTTGAAACACAAAAGTATCCATCGATGTACAAACATTAACTGCATTGCGTCTGGTTTTTGTCGATCCAGGTGGTCATAAAAGTCCGGTACTAAGAGTCTCAACAAATTTCGCAGATAAACCTGAGAAAAAAGGGACGTATTTTAGTGGAAAGTATAAATTCACCAAGTTTATTTCCATGAGATTTTCGTTTCCTTGCGGCGTCGAAGAAAAAACTGTTTGTTGCATAAAACCATGGAAACACCAATACGCCTCAACTTCATCTCTGGAAAGAAGAGACTTCATTTAGTTACAGAGAAATCTACAATTGAGCAAGAAATGGTTTATGTGTTGAGATCTTAAACAAAGTTAGAGCTTGTCTTGCACACAGCTACGAATTAAGTCATTCCGACTGCGACCTTGGAATTTCGAGTTACGCAAAGTCTGTATTTTTCACCGACTTCAGAAATGAATTAGATAAATAAAAAATATTTTAAAATTGCCATATTTTTAATTGAATTCACGAATTCAAAAAAATGAAAGATTTTATAATAACCTCGAACAATAAACTTTTTTTATTCTTCGAGGCTAGAGATTCAGTTTCCAAAGTTTGTATCCAATTTCTTTTTAAAGTTTTTCTTCTCAAGAATGACTAATCGTGTTTAAACTTGCCTCAGTGTGCTCAAAATCGGTGACAGCAAATCCGACATTCCCTGAATGTAATTGACATCAGGATAAGCCGCGGCATAATTGAGAAGGATGTTTCTGAAGGTAACATTTATGATATGACTAAGAGATTCGAAAAAAAAAAATTAAATGAGAAATGTACTTCATCACATCAACGTTAGGGTTATTGTCGCCATAGAAAAACGGATTCCGACGGTCGGTGCGGACAACATCTTTTATTATTGAATTTTCCGTGGCTGCCCATTGAGCTTTCATGGTTTCTGCTGCTTTGTGTCTGGAACAAGACCTATTTCAGAAGCGGAAAGAAAATGAATTCACTGGCCTTCTTTTTCGTATCTGTTGGTATTCAAGAAAAAGCTCATTTTTAATGGCTTCGCGCTGTTCGGCGGAAGACATCCACGGGTAGACTCCCAACAGGAAAGGCCAAACTTTTCTCCTCATACAGGATTCCATCGACGCAAAAAAGACATTCTGTCAAGGGAAAAAGTTACCAATTTTCGACTTCAAAATCACAATCAATTAATCGTTGAAAAAATTCAATGAAATAAAGGATATAAGTTGAGCATGATTTTTTGTTCTTCTTCAAAATTGGTCAGAATTAAAATTTATCTTTTCTTCGAAGAAAGGATGTGAAATTGCGAAAAAAAAATGTAGTTTTTTCCGATAAAATTCGAATTTTAGCATCATTTTTTTGTTGGAACAGAATAAACAATTATTATCGATTGCATAAAAAATTTTGGAAAACTTCAACTAATTAAAGTTGATGAATCAATTTTGGTCTCTACGAAGGTAAAATCGATTGAATAGCTTCGTAGAGAGTTTGTTGTGATGACCACCTCCGCTGCTACGATCAGTTACCTTTCGTATAGTCGCGCTGTCTTCAATAACGCCATCGGAACTTTCATAACTCCTCCAGGAGTGAAGCGCCAGCCGATCGAACAGCCCCTCTTCAGGATCCATTTCCAGCCGACTGACTTCCGGATGGCAAATTATGAAGTGTCTATCTGGCACACCCGTCGGAGACCCCTAAAAGCTTTTTTCTTCCAAAAAAGAAGTGGTTATACTTGAGATCTCACATCTTTGAAGCTTTTGGCCTTGATTGCGGACCATTGTTCAAACAACGTTGCTAATTTGTCAAGACCGCCGTGATGAAAATGTAGAATCTTGAAAAAGTGTTAACTTCATAGAAAAGGTCATATTATGTGTCTTCTGAGCTCTTTTCAGAAAATTATGCAGCAATAAAAAATTTAATTGCACAACATCTTCAACGGGTTCCTAGGAATGGGCTCTGAATCAAAAAAATCAAGAGGAAGAAAAATATGCAATTTTTTGGTTTACAAAACTGGAAATCTAATGACCGTTTTGTCTGAAGCTATGGATAGAAATTCCTTTAGACTATTTTTCAGACACTTCGAAAACCTTGTAGTGCGAGTCCAAAGTTGCAATAACGAGTTGGCCGCTTGTGCATTCTGTGTTCGAATAAAACAATCGCAAAGACCTCATTTTTCCTGAAACAATCTTCAATGAAAAATATGCTTTCTTAAGGGGGGAACCACGCGGAGACGGTATTGTGAATTATGTCTGTTTTTTGACGAAATGGCATATTTTGGGTTACAGTACTCGGAAAAAGAAACTATCTTATAAGTTTTGCAGACTGAAATTTTTTATTTTGAAAAAATTGATGGTTAAAATTAAACTTCTAACGTTGGTCAAAAATTCTAAACCAGCTTCAATACTGGAATTCCTGTAGAAAAAAGCGACTTTTTGAGTTTTGAAACTTATAAATGGGTGAGCTCTTTACTTACCCGAAGGATACTAACTCATTAAGGAGATATTATTCTTTTCGATATGTTAATCGCTCACTAAGGCGTTTTATATCGGGATTCATTGAACTCAAATACTTGCATATCTTTAATGTGTGTTTTTGTGTTTCAGAAGAATAAAAAAAATTGAACATTTTCAATCTCAAATGACTGTTTTGTTTAGAATAAACCAGAAAAATTGAAAACTTTTTTAGCCAATTTCGCTAGAGTTTCGATATTATGCGCAGTTTTGACTCCGCGCGATTTTCGTGTTATCTTGAAGCTGACCTAAATTGACTGAAAACAAACTGGCAGCACTTTTTCTTGGAGTCCGTTTTTCCTCATTTTCCAC